GTTTTTTCATTGTTCAAGCGATTTTTCATTGTTTGATTTTTTGTTTTGAGGATACTGTCGAGGCCCATCGTCTTGTGGTCTGGTGAGCGATCATGTCGCTGTGGAAGGATGTTCAGGACCTGGTTGGTGGCGAGCAGAATGCCACCATTCTGGCCGTTTCGATCTCAGTAGGCTTAGTGTTCGTCACAACTCGTGAGTGTCGATGTGCCCCAATTCTCAGACTATTTCCAAAATTGTCCAAAGCATGTGTATCTCACTTGCTACCATTTGCTTTGATCTTTGACAGTTCTAATATGGCTGTGCCGTGGATCAAGAGCGAGAGGGCGGAATTTTCTCCTTATTGGCTTGAATGGTGCTGGAAAGACCCTTATGTACTCTCAGGTGCGTTCCAGAAGATCACAAATGTTTATACATTGGGATATTGTTGAAGCAGGCTTGTGGCGAAGGCCAATTTACTACTGGACTACCATGCACGTGGAAACAGTCGTCGCAGCGTGGTCAATTTCCTCGCCCGTTTCAGTGAATGAGTCATGTGCATGTGGCACAGCACAGCTAGAAAGTTCCAGCATGGCAATAAAATTAATAACAGTCTGCAGAATTGTATAGTATTACACCCTTTCCAAGCACAGTGAGAACCGAGAACGCTGTGGATATGCGTAATTGCGCCCACTTCAAGTAATTAGAAGGTAGCATTCACTTCAGTATCCACCCGGCACTGCTGCAATACTTCACCGTGGGGTGAGGTGCACGTTGTATGGACTTGCTACGATCTAGAATGGCAATAAAAAAATTAATATACAGTAAAACCTGTGTTTGCCGGACCCTGTACCAAGCAGAATCCTGTATTGACCGGACAAATACTCATCCACCAAAGTGCTGTGGATCAAACGTTCATCCCTGAATTATGCTGAATCCTGTCCTGTTTATACTCTGGTTTCACTGCACTGCGCATCGTGTGTTTGTGTTTCCCGTGCGGTTGAGTTCTTTTGAGACTGCTTCGGAATTTCTTTCTCTGTTGTGGTGTGTAGCTGCGGTACCGGGAAGAGAAGCACACTGTCATGTCAGTGGCGGAAAACAAGGGCAAGGTGCACATCCGTGACAACAAAATTGAAAAGGTACGGTTGGTGCTGCCGCAGGCACCGATGTCGCATTCTCATTCCCTGTTTCCTTTCACTACATCATCTATGGAGCAGGATTGTGAACTCCGGTTTGGTGGTGACCCCCGTACGAAAACATACGATGCCGTCATTCGCATGGCCTCTATTCCTAAATTAGCCTGGTGTCAGTTTGATACGGTGTACAATATGTCACCAGTATGTGTATAATGCTACAAACGGTAATGACATGTTGTTTGCTGGAACATCAGTTCTGGAGTAGGGTCTGTTTGAAATCACGGTGAGTGAGGACGTTTGAACTCGGATGGTGCTTTTTTTAATCAGTGAGGAAATTGTACTTCAAAGCCATGTACGATAGAATATGCCCCAGTGGAAACCGAGTGTCAATCGCTGAACCTGAGAACTTTTCTGCCGAATGTTGACGGTCCCGTACAATGCACATGATCGTAACTGCTCTGCCCGCCTTTCCGTGTGCATTGCTGTGCTCTGCTTGCAAACCCGGCGCTGCTCAGGTGTTTGACATTGTCGATATCCCAGGCCACGACTCGCTACGCAAGATCCTGCTCGAGAAATACTTGCCAACTGCAAGGTACGGTATGCTAGAGTAGCACCCTGCCAACAAAACTGCGTGGAAAGCTCCGGCTCATTCTTGAATATTTGCAGAGCAGTACAGTCTTTGCTGAGGTACTCATTTATACGTTCACCTGGTTCTTTTCAGGGACCCGACCATGAGATCAGTTGACACAGTAGAAAGTACAGTCAGACCTCGCATAACCGCACACATCCGTGTTTTACGAATATATCCGAAGAGGCAAGGGAACCGGATAATCGAACACGAATACTGTATGTGTGCATGGCAGATGCTGTAAATCGGTATTAAACCAACGATTTTGTTCTGGATGGCGAAGGATCCGGATAAAAGAGGAGCGGATAAGCGAGGTCTGACTATACTGTACGTTGTTAAACACTGAATCAAGAGTACATGAAAACCAGAGTGTGCAGCTCGGATGGGTTGCTGTCACGGCGAAATTCCGTGATTGCGTCATTTTAGTGGTGCAGTGCGTTCAAGCAGGTCTCTTTCTGCACAACTGCAGCTCAGTTGTACGCACTACGCCATTTCCCGCCTCAGATCTGCACCAAATATGATGTAATCACGGAATTCCGCTGTAACAGACACCCATAGCAGAGAAGGCCCCAAGCTGCACACTCTGGTTTTCATGTACTCTTGACTGAATAGACATGGGTTTATCTCATTCCATCCGTTTAGTTAGTTTTCAGCGTCCCCGAAGTATAAGACATGCTGGTTATGCATCTGTCATGGAAGTGCAAGAAGTAACTGGATGCCCCGCCACTTTGCTTTTATAGGTACTTCAGAACGTCGACCTTGAAACGTGTGATGGACCTTCCCTGGATTACAATCAAACCTCTTTGGGACGAACACTAAGGGACCGATAGTATTTGTTCACAATATCGGGTGTTCTTTTTTTTATGGCAATAAGTAGGACGAGCTGAAGCGACATGTGGACTACTTTATTAACAATGTAAGCGATGGAGACGATGCAAGAAACAACCTAAAGGGTAAGGAAAAAATACATGTAAGAAGAAAAAGGGCAATGGAAAAAGATGATTCGAACAAGTTTTCGTACAACACTCTTCAGGAATCACCGTTGTACTAAAGAACAAAATGAGAACAAAGGAAATAATATAGCAATCAAGGTAGGATGACACATGTTCTTTTTTTTCTTTTTTTTAACCCTTTACCATCTGTGTGTACTTGAATCGATCTCTAGAGATCGATGGACATGCATACACTGAAACATTCGTAGCTCGATCGATTCTTTGCGGAATTTAAAAAACTAAGTATCTAGGAAGAAGCCAAAGGGCTCAGCTTTCCATGGCATCAATCGGTGAAGAGCTGCGATGTCGCATTCCAAAGATATGACGCTCGACATTTCAGCCACGGCAAAAGTCGAATTTCTTTCCGAGTGACTGACCTTGAGCAAGGACTTTCCCCTCTCCTGGCATGCTGAGTCACTTTGGCATGCTTTGAGCGCGTGGGCAGCATGAAAAGAAACTCAAAGAAACATTTGGAATGTTTACGATGAAGGAGCGAGAAATGGCTGGCGAGGAGAGAATTTCCTCGTATATCCAGCGACGGGGTGTATTTGAAGCTCCCTGGCGCTGGATATGTGATCTCGGTAGTGTCCTGTTTGAGCTCAATGTACGCAGCTCGTGGAGAGCTTTCCAGAATGCCCAAGATTGCGAAAATTGGTTGATTAGAACCGAAGATATTCTCAGAATAAGGTGAGAAAAATTGCATTTGGGACTGCTGGGGAATTTAGGTCGGATGGTAAAGGGTTAACACTGTCGATACACGGTGATTCATCCAATAGGATTATGAGTATTAGTTCTTCTAAAGCGAAAGTTTGTCTTATCAGTGTTCCTCTTAATGAGGTTTCCCTTAAGTAGTAATTGAGTAATTGCATCACCCAGGGAGTCTGCTGTGCTGAACTGTGTGTGCTGCTCGCTCTGCAGAGGAATCGTGCTCGTCGTGGACAGCAGCAGCTTCTCCAAGGATGTCCGCGACGTCGCCAAGCTTCTCTTCTCCGTACTCGCGACCTCGTCGGTGCGCAGGAACAGGGCGTCAATTCTGATTGCATGCAACAAGCAAGGTGTGGCCAGTTGAAACTGTCACCGGTGCTGCATTTTTATCTTGACTAGTTAGAGCACTTTTGCAATTAGAGAAGTTTCAGCACAGCAACACAGCAGAAAATCAGTTGACTCTCTTCTTAGAATTCTGATTGCGTGCAACAAGCAAGGTATGGCCAGTGGGACGTATGCAGCCATTTCCCGCCGTTAGGTTTTGCGGAGCAAGTCCACTACAACTGTACACGCTGTGATACCAGCTCTGCATAAAAGATCATGAACCTTGTAAGGTCATACTCGTATATGTACTAGAATGGGTTGTACCTGCCAAAAATGGGGCAACTTGCCCCGCAAAAAGGTGACGGCCATCTTCGATGCATACCTCCTATTGAAACTGTCACTGGTGCTGCGTTTTCTTGATGCCAGACTGGGCAGAGCACTTTTGGAACCTTGAGAAGTTAGGGAAGTTTCAGTACAACAATACGGCAGAAAACAGCTGACTACTCTCCTCCTATTGCAGACATGCATGCATTCAAGCAATCATCAGGTGTCTAGTTAACTGGCGTGTGAGGTTCTTTTGAGAATTCGTAACTCCGCACCCGTGGCATACTCTGTGTTGGCGATGTTTGGTTTGTTCAAAGCTTTTCATTACCCTGATAATGGGCCAGGCCCGAAAGTTTGGTGTAATGTAAATTTTAATTCTAATCTCAGTGAAGAGACCGTTTTTGGAGTTTGGAGTTGAGAATTGAAGTTTCCTAAATGTGTAAGTGGCTGCGCGGACAATTAGAAAATGTTCGAAACTTATCGAAACAAAGGGCATGCTACTCGAACAATGTGTCTGACGTCAGAAAGCGAATGTATTCAATGGATGAGAACAGCGCTGGGCAAACCTGTTGAAATCAGCAGCTGTTGCATGTACCGGTACAAGTAGTAGTGAATCCAATGTATGGTGTGGGAATTGGCTGCTTGTACCATCCTGTGAGGCATCATTGGCCGCGTCTCATTTTCTTCTGTTTTCTGTGTGCTGTGTGGTCCCGCAGATATACCCACAGCCAAGTCAGCTAAGCTTGTCGAGCAAATGCTGGAGAAAGAAATGTAAGTGTTCCGGTATGGTCATGCTGCTGTCAGAAACGAAGTTATTAGAGAGGTTCCGCGCTACGTAATGTTGAGCAACTTTATGCTAGTGGGCGGGAAAACCCGTGAATTCCTGAGTTTGCACTCTGCGTACGGAAAGTTGTCTACATGGAGTACGTGTAACGGAGGTGCTCCGTAAGTTAACTGGGGTATAAATATATGACTCTCTCCCTAGGCCGTCCACTGGTGCATTCGGAGTTGCCAAGGGCAGCTTCGTCGCCCGAAAACTCTATGGCGGAACACGGATCAGCATAAGACTTTCCGTAGAACGACAACGTTATTTTTGTAACGCAATTTCGTTGTGAAGAACCTCTCTACTTGTATTATCAAGATGTGAACATTGAAGCAAGTTATAATGAGGGTGTGATGCACCCTAGTGGTATCTCAAACATCCACTGACCACAGACAACCAGCTCCACAAGTAAAACGTGATGACGTAGCCCTTCACGATCGTGATGCTAGATACAAGTCAATATCACCGCCTGTACATCGGAAAAATGTTCCAGCCGGAGCTCAAAAACCCGGTCGGTCGGTTCAGCTGAAGCAAAAGACTTCTTCGGTTTGGCCTCAGGGGCCAGCCGGCATTATCGATAATAAAATAAAAATAAATTCAAATTTTCACGAAACGAAAAAGTTTAGTCCCACTTGGTCCTCCACCCCCCCCCCCCCCTCCTGAACGAAAAATAGATTGACCTGACAGCTAGAATGCATTGATGTCTCACATATCAATTTTTTTTAATGAAACTCTCCGAAACTCTCCTTGCCACACCAACCCATAAACGAAACTTTTTTTCTTTTCGTGTAAATGATCGATAATTATGGACGACCCCATTCACTAAATTTTCACAATTTCTGAGAACCAGTGAGTTTACAGTAACAATTGTTCACGGGGCACTGTTTATGTGACCACAGACAAACACCCGCTGTTGAAGTTTGATTTCACGCTGGTTGATATTCGCGTTACGCTCTTCTCGCTAAATGGCGAACATTAGGCAGCTCACGGTACACTGTACTGTACCTGGCTCTACAGTGCTAGTGGCTTGGCTCGTTGTATGCGCTATGCTTCTGTGTGGAACATTGAAATCCGTTGAGAATTGAAGCGGCCACTGGGCGCTGGCCTTGCAGCCGCGAGCACTGCTGGTCCATTTTTTGCCGTGTGTGCTTGAGCGATAGTGCTTGTACGCGTTATTTAAAGGCGGTAAGGGCGCCGGCCCCGGTCTGTACACCGGATTTCAATGTCCACAACAGCACTTGCTTGTTTGCTGTGACTCTGTGACGGCAGTGATGCATTGAGAACGGCGCGTGCCGCCTCGCTGTCGGAGTAGTGTTTTTTAAGCGTGGCTGTACAGTACTTGTGGTGTGACTCGCTGTATGCTTCATGCCACTTGCTTGTTTGTTTTGCTGTGTATGTGATGGCTGCAGTGATGCATTGAGGACGACGCGTGCCGCGGCGCTATCGGACACGGACGACACACGCTCCAGCGTCCAGGTGGGCAAGAGCGGCAAGGAGTTCTCGTTTGCCGATGTCCATCCCTTGTCCGTGCGCGTTGCCGAGTGCTGCGCCAAAGATTTCGACGCACTCGACGACCGCGAGACAGACCTGAACAGAGTCATAGACTGGCTACTGGCCAGTGCAGCATAGAACCCCCAAAGACATAGCCAGCAGTGCACACTCTAGCTGTTTGTTTTACAATATGAACTGCAACACTCGCCCAGGCATCCAAGTCCAGTATATTATCACACTGCGTTAACTCGTCTATATATCCTCAAATTTTACTCATTGTCTGTGTGTGCGTGTATTTGGACAAATGGACCTGGGCCGTGTGTTCTATTTCTGCTGGCCAACTCTTGCCATGCTCTGGTCCGAATATACGACCAGCTCCTGTTGGTGAGATTGATTACATTCGTTTTATTTTTATTTTTCCAATCCCCGGCTTGTTGACCGTGCATGGTTGGCAGCGGACCAACTGCAACTCGGAATGCTCATGTCTAAGTTTGTTCTCTCGGCTGTGTGAAGTTTGTGTTCTCTCGCTTTATTACAGTCGTGGCCAAAGAAATCCGACCCGTGGGTCAAAAGTAGCGCTGCGTTTCCATTTCATGCACGTTCTGAAAACCAACCCGACGGCCGCAGGGGCCACGTGTAGCGAGCCTTGGCGCTGCATTCGGCACGTGGGTCGGATTTCGTTGGCCGCAACCGTAGCTATAGCAAGTGCACATAGCCCCCAAACGTGTGCAACTGCCTGCACAATCTCTACCCGGTGCTGCGACTGCAGAACTCCACGTCACGGAACATGGTTCAATCGACAATGGTGCAGTATGGAAGCCAGGGAGTCGTAAAATACCGGTATTTTACGACTCCCTGATGTAAGCCCAGTGCACCGGTACGGACCTACAGAGCTGCTACTTCGATTTTGAAACCCGACAGCGCGGTCAAAGTATAAATGGGAAAGCTCTGGAATGTACAGCGCAGCTGAAAGACGACGTCAAAAAAACTTACGACATCATCATGGACTAAAATAGAGAACGCTAGATCTAGAAGGCGGGTGGGGTCTCTCTGGTGATATAATACAAGTGATGCGGTAGCTTAGAAAATGCCTTTCTCTGGCAGTACAGAAGACTGAAGTGCAAATCAGTCGGGGGATCGCTGCAAGATGGCGAACAGGCAGGCAGAAGGCGAGCATCAAGCCTTAGTGGCAATGTAAAACTGGCAAAGCTGCGGTGCGTTGCCTCCGCCGTGAAACAATATAGAAAGATGTATTTAACATTGTCCATGTGATTCTCCATGCCCCCCCCCCCCAACAATATACAGTAGCTTTGTGCATGCAGGTATCATCGTAGATACACGGACCTAACAACAGAAATTGTAGTCAAAACTCAGGCAGCATGAAATTCAAAAAAGGACTATGTATGAACAAATCGAAGGGGCCTGCACCAATGTTGCCCAGCAATAGATGCGCCGGACCAGCCAGTGTCATGATGCTGAATTGGTGACGGAAAGGCCGAGTGAGCCACGTCGGCATATTCAACTTGCAACAGGTGACGTGGTGGCAGCAGAAGTTTTGATTTGCCCGAGACCCTGCACCTCCCGCATCAGGCTGGCCTCTATGCCGGGGCTAAACGCAAACGCTCCGGCCGCACCCTGCGGCCCGGCGGACTGCTGCTGCAACGGCGCTGCGAGCGCCTGATCAATCAGGTCCAGAGCGTCGCGACGCTCCATGGTGGCGAGCGCTTGCTTGAGGCTATCAACCGTACCGTCGTTCAGCTCGTAGTGTAGCAGCAGCTCCTGCGTGGGGCTCTGGCGCAGCGAGAAGCCGACCGACAGGCTTCCCAGGCCCAGCAGGTCGCTCAGCGTCGACCAGCTGTGGTCGCGGTCCAGCTGATAGGCGAGCCTCTGCCGCGTCATATAGCTGAGGCGGGTCAGGTCGCCGACCGGCCGCTGCTTTGCGGCACTCATGTCCACCTCCTGCACTGCGAGCAGGGGCAGGATGTCGGGCGGCGCCATGCTGAGCGCCGTGTCTCCGTCGATGTTCTTAACCGTCGGATCGGCGCCGGCTGCCATCAGCAGGCGCACCATGCCGTCGAGTCCGCGCCCGGCGGCCCAGTGCAGTGCCGTGGCGCCGTCGTAGGTCTGCGCGGCGATGTCCACACCCACGCTGGTCAGCAGCCAACCCGCCACCGTCAAGTGCTGCTGCTCGATGGCGTGGTGCAGCGGAGTGCGCCCACTCTTGCCGTCCTGCGCGTTCAGATTGGCGCCGGCCTCGCGCAGATGGTGCAGGCAGTCGCTGCTGTCACTGACCACCGCCAGGTGAGCCGCGGTCAGGCCCTCGAAGTTCCGCGCCTCCAGCCACGCGCCGCCGGTATTCCGCGGCAGCAGCACCTTGAGGATCTCGTGGCTGCCGTCCTTGCACGCCAAGTGCACAGAGTTGTTGCCGTGACGATCTGCTTGCTTGACGTCGGCCCCGACGCGGACCAGTCGTGACACTAGCTGTGCCTGCTTGGTGATGACGGCAAGGTGGAGCGGGGACTGCCTCAGGCGGTTCGGCGCGTCGATCAAGCCCTTGGGCAAGCCGTCCAGGACGTCCACAAGATGAGCCAGAACCTGCGGCTGTTGACGGATAACAGCCAGGTGCAATGCAGTGTCACCATTCTCATTGGGCGTGCCGGCAAATCCACGCTGTGTGGCGAGCAGATAACGTGCATCGCCAGTCGTGGCATAGTTCTGGAATGCCGTTGAAAGGTGAGCCACTTGCGCATCCAACACCCGTTGCTTCTGCACGGCTGCTGCTGACGGGTCCCTCTGGCCAGCTGCCTGCGCTGCCTGCGCTGCCGTACTAGCTGTGCTTTGATCTGCTCTCTGTTGTGGCTGTTGCTGCTGCTGCTGCTGCTGCTGCTGTTGTTGCTGCTGCTGTTGTTGCTTCATTAACAGCAGTTGCTGTTGTTGCCTTGCTAACTGGTTTTGCTGTACATCTGCCACGGCGGCAGGGTGCTGCAGCGGTGACTTGGCGGTTTGCATGTGCTCCTCTTCTTGCAGATGCTGGTCAAGGTGGGCACCGAGCGCCTTCTCCACCTCTTCCAGAATACCCGTCATGGGCTCTGTCTTGCCCGGCTCACGGCTGGAGGAGTCCTGTTGCTGCTGCTGTTGTTGTTGCTGCTGTTGCTGTTGTTGCTGCTGCTGTTGCTGCTGTTGCTGCTGCCTAGGTTGCTGTCGTTGGCTACCAGGAGTAGCAACTGCATCGCTGGCAGCTGTGCGTGCTGCTGAGAATCCATACGCCGATCCTCCCAGCAGATCGCCAGCGCCCAAGTCCAACTCACCCCAGTTGCCAATGCCCCCTAGTCCACCACCGCCCATGCCGCCATCACCTAGCCCCAGGCCATCACCAAAGCCACCGGGCAGCAGTCCCCCGCCGCCAGCCCCGCCGCCGCCGCTTGGGCCCGGAGGACCGGATGGCGGACCGCCAAACATTCCGCCGTAGTGCGTCTGGTACGGCGCCAGCGGCTTCTTGCGCTTGCGTCCAATCCTCTCCTCGTCCACGGCCTTCGGCTGGTACGTGAACGGCTTGGGCTCGCTGTGCTCGTCGTCCGACTTGCGCTGCAGCCTCACCCAGCAGCTCACCGGCGAGTTGATGTGCTGGTAGCGGTATGGCGGCGTTTTGAACACGATGGCAAACTGCCGGTGCACGTCGGACGGCGCAAACACGCCGTCCTTCTCCCAGGTGACGGCGCCGTCCTTGTTCACCTCGAAGAACTTGACGCTGATGTCGTCCTTCTGCACGCGGTCGCACAGCAGGTAGACCTCGTCGCCGCCCTCCACTCGCCCAGAGTGCCGGTCCAGGCGACAGATCTTCAGCGCGGCGGCCGACGGTGCCTTGCTGTCGTGGATGACGACGGAGATGCACGGCGGCAGCGGCGTGGTGAACTCCCCGCTCTTGTCCTGCAGGAACGCCTGGAAGCACAGGCGCACGGCGTTCAGCTTCATTGTCCTCGACTGCTCTTCCGCCAGCTCTGTGATCTTCTGCACGTCGGAGCGCGGGAGCCTGTCCAAGGCCGCTCGCCCGCCGGCCAATTCCTCGTTCGCCTGCGGCTCGCCAAACTGAGCAGAGTCATCGTCCTGGCCGCCAACCAAAGCCAGCGCATACCGCTCCACCAACACTCGTGCAACGTTCTTTTTTGTCACGTGCAGTATACCAAGATTGGGGAACGTCGCCCGCCAGTCCGTGTCTTTGCCCATCTCCACTACGCACTGACCACTGTACACGCTGCGGCCCACTAGCGAGTGAGCGTGTGGTCTTAGCGGATCATCGGCGCAGATTAGCGACACTACGACCCTGCACCTATCGCCAATGCCGTTGTGGTTGTGTAGTCGGACCGTAGGGTGCGTGCGCCGCTTCGTCGCCTGGTCCGAGCTAGCACCGGGTAAGCCTCCATGAGACGGTCCCTCGCATTGGTAGCGAAATCGGAATCCGCGCTCTTTCGGCTGCTCCTCGATCTCAAGATAGGGAACGCCGCTCTCGCGAGATGCATTGATTCTAGCGTTTGAGTCCGACTCCGTTAGTACAACCTGGGGTTCGCTATTTGTCGTCGTTGCCGATGCTGCTGAGGGCGGGCCCCCTTGCTCCGACAGCTGAGCAGGACTCGCCACTCCGCCATCGGCGAAGTCCAGCTGACTCTGAGTTCCCTCCGTCGTCGGATCTTCAGGATTTCGCCATTGCCTCAGCGGATTGGCCATGGCGATCGCAGCGTCTGACTCCGTGCCACTCTCCTTTGCCCTGTCTGGGTCGCTACGTTCGTCGATCACGCTGCAAGTAGTCCCCACCCAGGTTGGCTAGTTGCTGCACCACGCTTCACCTATAGGCTATACCTACGGGATAAATACTAAAAAATAATTGTGTAACCTTCTGCTCGATGGAGGTGATCTGATGAGCCGAGACTCGTCTGCGGCTGCAAAATTTATTCTGCCTGGCGACTTTTTCTGCTGCTATTCGCTGGCGCATAAAGCCATGCGTCCTAACGGTAACGTAGATGGTCTTACACGTACATACAATGAGCAGGTGACTGGTGGTGAGTGCTCGAGTTCAGCGTAGCTGGTGCAATCTGCGCTTCGTCGGGTCGCTTGCAGCTTGGAGGTCGTGGCTCTCCGTCCGGGTGTAGACGGTCGGTACGCGCGGTGTATCTGGTGTATGATGCACTGGCCACAGTTAGATCTACATCACGATGTACTAGTAGTAGTAGTAGTAGTAGAAGTACTAGTAGTAGGCCTCGGCCTCCACTGCTCCAGACACACTCTCTCTCAACCCCAACCCGGTCTACCCAGTCATACTCATAGTCATGCGCATCGTCATGACATAAGATAGCATTCGCACAGACTCTCGCAGTCTCGGGTCGGGATCTAGTACAAAACTAACTTCAAAAGTCACATTCTTCCTGTCCTAGAATAGAATCCTCTACTCGTCTAGGCCTAGGCTATAGTATAGGCTCAGGTAAACATGGTACTGTAACGGCTAGGATCTCAGGTCAGGATGCGCTAGCCTACCATGCCAAGACTACGATGGGTTCATACACGTACCCGCTTGCCATGCCACAAAGGTATAGTAGACCGTTTACGCTTTACAGACACAGAACAGGCCCAAACCGCTGATGGCGATGCTGCTCCTAGATCCTCGCCACAAGCCGGAGATCGAGAAGAGGCCGTTGACGTTGTGCTTGTGGTTGGGCCGGGGTTCGCGGGAATTACCCATCAGCTCTACCCGTGGCTGGTCTGACTCATCGCACCCCGGCATATGGCGCGGTCACACTGAGCAAGTAACAGTTAGTCACAAGTCAGTGTAGTGTACCATGGTGTACAGCTAAACTGAAGTCTGAACAACACTGTTGTGAGTGTCACAGTAGTCGACACAAAGTTAGTTTAGTATTACTATTAGTACTGCTATCTGCAATCATGTACCATCGCACGCATATTGTTACTGTAACAAATTACTGGGTCTCCTTTTTGTAGTGTGACTCACAGGCACTCACAGGCACGTTTTGTTCCTGCACGTGATGTCTTCATGTTCTGTATCATACAATTAAATTATTTACAAAGGCCTCCACCAACACTCACACATGCCGAATGGACAGAGAGTGTTCATTCTAGCGTATTGTATAGCACGCGCAAGCTGACCCACCACAAATCAAAGGCTGAGAAAACAGCAGTGAATTATAGTGGAACTGCGCCTGAAGTTCTGGCATGACTCGCTGACTGCATAGAGGTTCTGTGTGCCGCAGGCCCGCAGCATCACAACCTGAGATTTGGCGACCAAACGACTCCACTCTCACATTAATTTGGTGAGGAGAAAGTAGCGTGGGGTTGTACAGGTCTGAGATGTCCTGGCGCGGGTGTATCAAATATCGGCCAAACCACACAGCGCAGCGCTGCTTTCTCTGTTGGCTTGGTACGAGTGCGAAGACACTCTACTCCGACTCTACTCTACTTCAGTACTTGTACTGAGTAGTTGTAGTCTCTACTCCTAGCTTGGCCCTTGCCTACATCATGTACGAGTACGAGTACACGTAGGCTTGACTTGGAGGGCTCTCGAGATTTCTGCAGCAGTTGTGACCGCTATGATTTGTAGTAATACTAGTAATAGTGTTGTTGCCCAATGTTGGCACGGTGGAGCCGGAGGCCCTGGATCATGGAGTGAATACGGACCTACTCATCGCTACTGAGTAGACCTACTGTACTGACGTGCGCGCCAGGCCCAGGCGCTAGGCCAGGGCAGAGACAGCTCTAGCTCAGCTCAGGCTGTAGACTAGTTTGTACGTACATGTGGTGCATGCTCGTACTCGCGTGCGCGTAGGCTACGAGTACGAGTGGTAGCTAGATCTACAGTCATGTAGATCTACGCCCAACTATTTTTTACTATTATAATATTTTGTAGAGCCTCCAAAATCGGCAAAATACCAGAGTCGGGTTTCTGTCAGGGAAGATCCCTCGAATGGCCACAAAAATTATGATGCAGATCTTGACACTTGACAGTCATGCAGTGACTGCAATAGCCGCTGCACACCGGTTCGCAGCATTGGCACTGGGTCCCACTGGGATTAGATCCACCCAAGACTACAAACTGTACTTACGAAGACAAGAGCAGGAGATGCCTAAATCATACAATAGTTGAGGCTCAATGGGCGCATGGGCAGAAAGGGGGGGGGGGGGGGGGGGGGGCACATGCTCCAATGCATGCAGCACGCCATCTGAACGGCTATGCACACGTACATTGTGCATGATTGTATTCGTACACCACTAGCCATGCATCATCAGTTATTCTAATATCAACAGTGTTGGTGGTGGTACAACGTCGCTACTGCGCAATGGGTTTTTGGGCTTATTGGCACCACTTTTACATCTACCAACAAAACCTACTCAGCCACACATACAAAAGCAACCTGAGCTGCAGTGGATGAGCATTCCGTTTCCAGAACGGCAGTAATAAGCAGTCCCAAAAGGCTACGGCAGCCACAAGCCATGATGGAAAACTTATACGTAGCCGAGAGCCAGGTGCGGAAAGAACACCAGCTCCAAGGAGAAATACATGCACGGCGGAAACGGGAACATACTCCACTACTGGCGTGGCGTAGCGGCGCAGAGTAAACGAAAGAATAGAGATAAAAAACGGACCAGCCAAGGGTAACATGGGACTCACCAGGAGTTAACTACCACTCACTCGACTACAGTAGTGTTAGAGTGGTCTTAGGATAACCATGCTGAACAATCTATAGTTCGAGTAGCGGCGGAGCACAAGCTATAAAACAGAGTTAAAGATCTAGTGTGTGTGTGGGGGGGGGGGGGGGGGGGTATTCAAGACGTAATGAAACGTTATAATGATGTATCAAGTGGCAGCCACACGGACGCTACGGATAGCTACTAGACACTGGGGACGAAGGCCAATAAGATAGAAAAGACAACAAAGTTGACAACAGTTGTACTGACAGCGTTAGCACCAGCACCAGCACAAGCACGAACAAACGAAAGTCAAAAACAGGACCTCGCAAACACAAGCAACGAACTAGCACAGATCTGCTCAGCCACGAACAGCGCAGGTACATTTAGACTCCGCTTGGCTGGAAAGTCACCGGCGTCACCCGTTGGTATTCGAAGACCGGCCAGCCGCAAGACGGAATGCACCCGTTGCTGGTCAGTGTTCACTGACAATGACATTGGGGTGACTGAGAGATGCAGTACGATAGGGCATCTATATATGAGTCACCCTAAGCACACGAGCAACACACAGCCAAGGAGCATTGAGAAAGACCATGACATGCACATGAAATGCAGTAAGGTCGTGCTTCGAAGAAGACATAGGTCACGCGTACTACACATGTCCAGGCTGGAATGTTTAGTGGACAACCAAAGGGGACATATTTTTCGTCTTTGTTCTTGGTCAGTGACTCACCAAGTGCCTTTTAATTAGGCTTTGGACACCCAGAAAATACCCAAAAAATTGAAAGTCGTTAGATTCTCCTGTGTGATGTACAAATGAAAGAGTATACCCTGAAGTTCTCAGATCCTGAATAGTATCTAGATCAGGGAGTAGTAAAATACAGGGAGGTGACACGAGCATGTACGGCCAGTTTGACGATTGCCTCAGCACCGTTTTCACCCGGCGGGTGAGATTGGGGTACTATGGGTACCGAAGTGTGTAGACACGCGCGCGGATCAGGATTCTCTCGATCAGGGAGTAGTAAAATACCTACCGCCAAAGAGACTCCTACTGCAGCCCGTAGAAACTCAGCGCTGAGAATTTCCAACAATTGTCTGCCTTCACAAAGTTTGGTAGTCGACCAAACTACCACTATGTCAGGATAGAAGTCCAGCAAGAGTGGTATCACTTTGCGAGATATCCCTGCGTGCCGTAGATTTTTCCTGTGTCGATACAAGCTGTTTACGACGACGTAGCCCGCATTTCAATCCTTGACAAACTTAGGAACATTTCATTCCGAAAAGTGAACTCCCGAATCTCTAGCATACCATAATATGAAATGCTCATCATCACAAAGAAGGTAGAGAAGTACTGGTTGATCACAACTGAGGAGAAATTAGGGGCGATCGTGTGGTGTCCTAGAGATTTTTTCGACTTCAAAATCTGTGCACTCGCTTTTCATCTCCAATCGTACACGTATTGTTCTCAAGGAAATCACCTTCCTTCTATTGCTCCATGCCGTCGATCGGGACGATTTTCGGAAGGGTGGTACCTTTCCATATGACGATGACACAGATGTATCACAAGAGCAAAACAAATGCTGTTCCATGAGATGGATAGACCTTTTCACGGAATTAGTTCTTCGACAAATACTCAAGATTGATTCAGCAGATCATCTTTTTTTGCGAAAGAAAAAAAAACAAGCGCGAGGCACCCATCAAAAATCACGATTAGTGGCGTGTCACCTCCCTGTATTTTACTACTCCCTGATCTAGATACTCCATGTATTATCGATGAAAGTACATGTAAAATGAGCGCACTCATACCACGAGAACAATGGAATAATATTATGATTTGAACGTCGTTTTCATTGTGATAATCATCAGAAATCGTCTTCACACTGAGAGCTTCTTGCATTAGTTTAGATCTAATAATGTTCACTTTTACTGTTTTCTGATGATCGCTTAATGCGTGAAACTCGGAGTTAAAACACTTTCTCTGTCCTCTTATTGTTTGAACCAGCTCTGCCTCTCGGTATTGAGCACTCTCTTGGACAGCCTGGAACCTCTCTGTTTTTTAATGTTCACTTTATGGTACCATAAATATCTTTCCTTTGTTGTCCAACTCTCAGTGTGATGACGATTTCTGATGATTATCACACGAAAACGACGTTCAAATCATAAAATATTTGTCCATTGTTCTCGTGGTATGTAGGCCTTTCCCAAATCGGCCGGCCGAAAAATTCGCCGAACAGTACCCTTTTCAGAAAATCGCCGATCTTTTGGCCGAATTCTGAGATTTTACCAAAAAATCGCCAAATATACATGTTTCGCAGGGTCGTGGGCAACTGGGCATGACCGCTCGTGCGCGCCTGCGTCACGGTGACCACGTACACAGAACAGGCATCCACAGCACAGCACAATCCACTGCACGTGCGACGGCGACTACGACAGTTATGACCACGTGAGGCTGTCCTCCGAACCAGAAAGCAAAACAGAAACCGGCCTGGCGACAACCAGTCTGCAGCAACATGAGTACATAGCATTGATTACTAGTGCTCGGCAAAAGTCACAGCGCATGCACATGAATACAAGCAGCAACTGCCCGTGCGACGGCGACTACCACATGTACACATGCCAATTTGCATTTTTTCAGCAGCTAGCATATATATTGCAGCTCGTCTGCAGTTCGTCTCATCTCCTGTTGCAGCCAATGTTTACAGAAATTTAGTGAGAAGTTATTTTGATCATGGAAGATCGCTACCCCGGACTGAATATTTCTTCGTTGAATGAAGGAGCCGACTCAGCCGAGGAAGAAAAATTAGAAAATGATGCAGCAAGGCTTAGTGATCCTGACGTTCATTCGGAAGCACCGGCACCCGCAGCTATAGCGCGGCCTAGGTCACCGCCATCGAATGTATCTCCAGCGCCTCAAAAGAGACGAGATGAAAGAACACTGAAGAAGAAGAAGAGTGTATTGGGTAGGGTGTCTGAGTTTCCTGAAGAAATGCTGGAGCGAAGGGACGGGCGCTTCTTCTGCAGTGCTTGTAGAGAGAGGATTCGGGAGAAGAAGAGTAACGTTTACGCTCATGTGCAGTCCAAGAAGCACACCGCAGCGAAGCAAACTCGCCAAGGAGAAAAGATGAGAGAGGTGTCAATGACCCAAGCGCTTCAAAAGTGGGACAAGGAGAAGAGGCCAGTCGGCGAGCCACTCCCTCTGCAGGTTAGGGCCTACAGACTGAACGTGGTGCGTACGCTCATGAAGGAGGCAATGCCTCTGAAGAAGGCCGATGGTCTGCGTGACCTTTTAGAGAAGGATGGTCTGCGCCTGACGACGTCTTCGCATCTCACCGAGTTCATACCTGTTGTGCTCTCCGAGGAACAAGACACATTCAAGAAGAAGATTGCCGGCCGGGATGTAGCCCTTATTTTCGATGGGACGACCAGACTCGGCGAGGCAATTGCAATCGTGCTTCGCTATGTCGGCGATGACTGGAAGATCCAGCAGCGGCTTGTGAGGCTACAAACAGTATCGAAGAGCGTCAACTCGCCGCAATTGGCTCAAGTACTGAATGAATGCGTGTCTGTTCGCTATGGAGTCCCCCACAAGCACATAATTGCATCGATGCGGGATGGTGCAGCTGTAAATGGGGCAGCAATGCGCACTCTGTCTATCCTGTTCCCAAGCGTGCTGGATGTCACCTGTTTCTCCCACACGCTAAGCAACACCGGTCGTCACTTCCAGTTTGCTACCCTCAACGAAGTTGGTCATCTTTAGGTTAGCCTCTTCAGTCACAGCTTCCGTGCAAAGTTGGCGTGGAAAACCCTCACTCGATCATCCATTCACTCATATTCTGCAACCAGATGGTGATCCAAGTTTGAAGTCTTCAACCAGCTGGCAACACACTTCGCCGACATCCAGCCATTCCTCGAGGCCAATACGGACGTATCGCCACTCACCTGTCGTCAGCTCCTGTCAACCCTACGTGATGATGAGGATTAAGCCACACTCCAGCTCGAGTTAGCTGCAATGATTGATTACGGCAAGCCCCTGGTAACTGCCACACATGCGCTTGAAGGTGATGGCCCCCTCGTGCTCGACGCCTACAGGCACATGCAGATGGTATGCACGTCTTTCGCCCAGCAACACCATCCCAACCCATCAGCTGTGGCACGCGACCTCGCTGATGTTGCAGGCGGTATCACGGAACCGGTGCTGGTGCAGGAGACTGTAGCCAAAGCCCAGCCGGCAGTCACTTGGTTTCTACGCAAGTTCAACATTGACCTGGTGACAATCGTCAGAGCATTCAAGGCAGCTAGGCTATTCAGTCCTTCACTGGCACAGAACATGGCTTTGGATCCTCAGAAGGTCCAACACCTGGACGTCTTCCCGTTTATCAGTGACGACGATCTCCAGGACCTGGTGGAAGAGTTGCCAGCCTACATCGCTGCCATCGACGGTGTGCGCCGATGATATTGTGCGTTGGTGGTCACAGCAGAGAGATCTGCCTACCTGGAGGAGAGTGCTGAAGAAGATTCTGCTGGTGCAGCCATCGCCGGCAGCCTCGGAGCGCGCATTCTCTATGCTCTCGTCCTGCTTGCACGACAACCAGGACAGCGCACTCGAGGACAACGTGGAAGCCATCGTAATGTTACGATACAACAGGAGGAAGTGAGTGAGTGAGAAGAAAGCAAGTGTGTGGTGCTCCTACTTGCTGCCACCTGCATCAAGGAACACTTTCCATGGCTATTTGTGCATGTCAGAAGTCAGCACTAAGCAGCGCAATCATTAATGTACTCCATGGACATTCCCATATTCATTGTGCTTCAGTACCAACATTCCGTGTCCACTATACATCCATCATGTACAGGTAGCTTTGTGCTGTATAGTTTGTATAGTCTGAACTTTTCATTTTTCCAATTTTTTTGTACATGTCACAACCGTGAGGTCTTGCCGAGTTCTTTAGGCCGCAGAGCCGAATTTCCACCGTTTACAGAAATTTTCAGCCGATTCTGGCGATTTTTTCAGCCGATCGGAAAGCCGAATAGGCCAAAATAAATGGCCAATTTGGGAAAGGCCTGGTGGTATGAGTGTGCTCACTTTACTTTCATCGATATTAGGTTTCGTGTCTCCACGCCGACTTTTTAACTCCATGTATTACTAGAGACACGGTGCGTTGAATGTTGAGTACGTCAAATTTCAAAATTGAAATTTAGTCGTTATTAATTTTGCATCCACTTCTAATTTGTATTTGTAATTCTGTGCTATTGCTATTCCGCGGCCCAACCCATGGATTCTGGCTGTAAATCCTAGCTTGTAAATGTCGTACGGGATCTACTGGACCTACTGGTCAGACTGGATGAGTCATAGGACGTGGGATGACGCGCTTGTGCAGCCAAGCGTACCGTACCATGCATGCAATGCTGTAAAAAAAGAATAGAGAAGAATCGAGTGGGCTCTACTCTGAACTGTATATGAAACTGCAGGAAACCTCCCCACTTTTACTTGGAAGAATTTGAAAGCGTTGCAACGGCACATGTCAACGAGCTCACGGAAAGGGCGCCCTGCCACGAACGGAAAGAAGAAGAGATTGTTTTATGGTAATCGAATCGATTCACCACTTCGAGATCAAGTGTTGAGTCTCCAGCTCTCGGGGCTGCTGCGAGCGCCGAAAACGAATCTGCCGAGAACATGATGACAGAATAGGAAAATTTGGATGCTACGACGTTGAAATTGGCCCGCCTCACGGATGATTCTCATGATTCGAGTGGATTGTCAAGCAGTGAAGACTCTGACTCTGACGCAGAGTCGTGTGCTGGCGATATCAGGCGAATAGTTGATGTCTCACCGCCACAGGAATTGATTTCGGAAGCTGCTGTGTGTCGCAACTGCAAAGGTGGTGACTTGCACCGAAGTGAGGCCCAGAGGTCTGGTTCGGCTAGCCATGTAGCATTGACAATTTGACATGTAGCGAGTGTGGCCATGTACACCCGTCAGTCCTGACAAAGAAATCTGGGAAGTTTTTTTAAATGAATAGGCAGGCTGTTATGGCCAGCCGCCGCATCGGAAAAGGGAAGCAAGGACTCACGACCTTTTTTTTACATGTATGTCCATGCCGAAGCCGATTGGCAACAGTGCTTTTGATGGCCACCGTAATGCGCTGTACAAGGCAGCCAAGGTTGTGGTGGATACATGTTTGGACAAAGCTGCGGCTCACCTTACCTGCAGCTCTTCCGCTACCGGCACTAGTGACGATGGTAGCTGGAAGGGCGTAGCTGTAACTGTAGATGGTACGTCACGGATGCGACGTGGTTATTCCAGTATGTGCGGTATTGCATTCGCAATTGTATGGGAAACTGGCCAAGTTGTTGACTTCTGTGTTCTCTCTCGGTATTGCCAATTTGCCATACATGCAAGTTGTGGGTGGCAAAGAGGAGGTCCGGTGAAATCTCGCAGCAAGAGTTAAACGATTGGAAAGTGACCCATCAGCCATCTTGTAAAGTGTCCAGCAACGGATCTGCTCCGGCAATGGAGGTTGAGGGTGCCAAACTGATCTTCTCGCGCTCTCGTAGAAACCTACACATTTTCGAAATCTGTACAAAATTCCGGGTACATTGAACTAAGAAACTATGATATTGTAGCAGTCGTAATGCTGTTGTTGCTGCTGAAGACACAAGCTTGCGATATGTATGCAACCCTGTTGATAACTATGCATTTCGGAATGTAACTTTGAACTGTATACAGCATACGTGAACAACATAATATCACCTGATGAGTGCCTGAGATGGCATGAAACTTTAAGTTGTGACTGATCAAGCCATCTGTTGTTCTGACTAGTGTTAACAACATAATTACGTACGTATGTGGCCATGGTTGGCAACTGTTGATAAGAATAACATGGACTCACTACTGCACAGAGGTGTTGAAGAGCCACATGCCAAGGCAACACGAGCTCGCACTCTGCACGGAACGTGTGCAAAAAAACCGCTTGCCAATCTCATTTCCGATGTCAGCTCTTGCTTGTGCGAAGTTGAGTTAAAAAATTAAAAAAACTTTTTCCGGCGTCGGTTGCAAAGGGTTTTCCAAATGGGTTTAGTCGAGGCTCTCGCTCCAAGTCTGTGAGCACGTTGACAAAGGTAGAGAGCAAGAGGCTAGCTGCAAGTTGTGGTTTTGTGTTGACAATAGAGGGACTACGAGCAATGTGCTTCCTCACTTGACGTAAGTGCACCCGTCCGCTTTCCGCTGTTGAGCAATAGAATATTCGTCCGTTCGTTTGCTACAGTTTAGAATATTCGAACAGTGCATTCTAGTATTCGTTTCAGCACTAGAACGTTGTAAAAAGGGTTACCAAATGATTGCTATTTTGTAATGTAAAGTTCACACCCTATGGCAAGGTACATGAAGTGTTCAAGTTACAATTAGACACACTCAGATCTCATATATCCGGGCAGCCCCAGTTCTACTAGTAACGTCATTACGATGCTTACCGGCTAGCAATCAGCGGCCCAAGAAGAGACCGTTTGGCGTCAGGATCGGCGGCGCGGATGTGGGCGGACTCATCACTGGCGGCATCAGGCTTCGATGGGGCGGTTGTGATGGTTGTTGTTGCTGCTGCTGCTCCTGAGGCTGCGATTGTTGGTTATCGGAGGTACTCTTGGGTGAGGCGATGCCCCACATACTCTCGGAATCAGATAGGCACATCGGCGAGCCCTGGCTCTCGTCACGGCTGAACGCCGACATCTGCGACAGGGTGAGCGGGAACGTGGGGATGCCGAGTGGCTCACTGCGCCGCGTCATGTCACCTATACTCATGTCCATGGGCGACGGACAGTCGAGAGTGGTCGGGCACCAGCGCTTCTCTTCCTCGCTCGCGCCGGCCGACGCTGTGCCGTGCGCCGCGGAGCTGGACACCACAGGATGATCGGTGGAGAAGGACCATCCGGACGAGGAGGTGATCGGCCGCGGACTGGTGGGGCCATTGAGATTCAGCAGGAGCGGGCTGGCAGCACCGCTGCTACGCGGGCTGGACGTGAAAAACGTGGTCACGGGACGCTTGGCAAGAGGCAGCACGAGTTCTTCGACGTCCGATGACGATGCTGTGGAGAAAGAAAAGCCAGAGCAAGTCATGGACAAAGGGCACAACATGTCATGGCAGTTCCACGTGTCTTGTAAAGAACATAATTACGCATCAGGGATGAGAAATGATTTCTCGCGAAATATTTTCAGTTGCAGATACCGCATCTGGTGTGTTCTTTATTGTCGCTTCTATTACCCGACGTCTTCAGTCAGTTTTGAGTCTCACAGCTGGCTGCGGTCAACTACCCTTCACTTTGTGTAGTGTCGCTATTGCTGTCTATGTCTGTGTGTGTGCCAGTATATGTGGAGCGAGATGGGCTATGCAGAGCAACAGCAGGCTAAGTACGGGTAAAACCTGAACACCCACTACTTCATGGTCATTGCATAGAACTGCCTCTTGTGCAGCGTACTGTACAAGCAGAAATATTCGTCTGGAATTTAATTTCGTCTTTTTCGTCCAACGAGCTGTTGGACTAAATTAAATGCCGGACTAATATTGATTTGTCCAGCTTTTCAATACACTCTTATGATCCATGGACGAAATTTACAACCGGACGAACTCCCTTTCTTTGGAGTTGGACGAAATTATTGACCGACGAAATTTTCTGCTTAGGCGACACCAAAAAAAAATAGAGATTCCCGGGCCCTCCCGCACCAAAATCGAGCCAAAGCCAATTAATTTTTTAATTTTTTAACAGTTCATACATGTACAGTACTGATCGTGTGAGTAGATCTGTGACGTGGAGTCACACAAACCCGAGCTTGTACGACTCCCTAATGAATAGATCAGGGACATCGTTGGCCGAAATATAGAAAAATTGAACGGGTTAACCGCGTACCTGTTGTCTGTAAAAAAATTGAATAAAAATTACCGGAAAATGCTGTAAAAAAAGTTCAACATGGCACGCACACATATAGTCATGTACGTACATGTGAAAAAAATAAAAAATAAAATTCGCCCGCCCGCACCAATTTCACATGGGTCCTGCCCGGGAATCTCGATTTTATTTTGGTCTCGCCTTATACAGTACGTAAAAAGGGTGCTTAGCAGCACTGGAGTGAAATGGATAAAAAAGTTGAAAACCCCATTCGAAGTTTCAACTTGCCAACATTTGTAGCTAAAGACCGCGCACGAAAACCACCACCACCACAGCATTATTAAGTTATTAATGTTGCTGGCAGATTTCCACCTGTTTAATAATACTAGTATTACAAGTACCGTAAAGTCTTGTATAAAAGCCGCGGCTTCTATGACCTTCTTGGTGAAATTTTGCAGGCTTCTATATGAGACAGGCTTCTGTACAAGACAGGTATTTCTATGTATGTCAGCACTAAAACCAAGCTTTAACCCTTTATGGACGGATTACTATTACAGTATGCACCAGAATTACAAAATGTCAGTACAATTTTCAACTTTTACATGTCATAACTTTGGTGTCCTTCACTTGATTTTCACAATCAAGGGCTCATTGGAAAGCTCTTGGCGAGAGCAACGCCAGGGTACCAATCTCCATTATCCAGCCACCACAAATCAGGCGCGGTAACACAGCAAAGTCGTCTCCAAGCCTGATATGCAAGCAAATTCGTCCTATCAACGCCATTCCACTCTCCTTCATCGCAGAACGCTCAAATCTGTTTGAGACGATTCAAACTTCTGCCGGCTACGTCATTATCTTGTGCTCAGTCACTCAAAGAGCACACGAAAAGGGATTTTCCCCCAAAATGGCGAAATGATCGATCACAAATTTGAATTTGCCGAGGTAAGAATACGGCGTGCGATATCTCAGGCGTCCGGCATCGTAACTCTTCGGCGATTGTTGCATTGGACAGCTTGGAGTTTCCGCTACCATGTAGACCCTTCGATTGTGGAATTTGCTCAAGAAACGATGGAGTTACGAAGATTTTACCGCCTGCAGACTTTCGATCTTATTAGATCGAAACTCGTACGGTCCGTCCACAAAGGGTTAATATGTGTGATTTTATGGGCCCAAAATTACGGCTTCCATTCGAGGGCGGCTTCTATTCAAGTGCGGCTTTTTTTACTTAACGGTATACTAGCATGAAAGGCTGGAGGGGCTAGCCACCACAGGGGCGTGATAACTCAAAACCCGAAGAGCTGACCCATAGCACGCGATTCACGTGCTCTGCACCCTATAGTTATAATATGTATCGGAACAGAAACCCACTCACACACATGGGTACACACACACACACACACACACACACACACACACACACACACACACACACACACACACACACACACACACACACACACACACACACACACACACACACACACACACACACACACACACACACACACACACACACACACACACACACACACACACACACACACACACACACACACACACACACACACACACACACACACACACACACACACACACACACACACACACACACACACACACACACACACACACACACACACACACACACACACACACACACACACACACACACACACACACACACACACACACACACACACACACACACACACACACACACACACACACACACACACACACACACACACACACACACACACACACACACACACACACACACACACACACACACACACACACACACACACACACACACACACACACACACACACACACACACACACACACACACACACACACACAATCGCTCTGCAGTGTCAGCTCTATGACTGGGGGATCGGTCGGGTACAGTAGTACCTGACACCATCGTCTATGGATGCCTGGTCATCCACCCTGATACGGACTAGTTTACTGTAACGTCGCGTATAAGGGCCCGGCTTTTTCTTGTAGATCAGACCCACCACAAAGACTGAAAATCCCATTCGCTGCATCCATGCTGCCCTCCGCTTGAGGAACTGCACCTGTGCCTTGATCCACAGAGGGCGGCGGCGTCCCTGCGGATGCGCAAAACTCGGCCTCCAGCCGAGTCTAAGGGCGCGTTTGGTTGGTACGAACTAGAACAGGATTCACCAGAACAGCGCGTTTGGTTGGGACTGCACCTGTTCTGGGTCGGCCAGAACATGTTCTACTTGCTCCGGCCTCGAGGCCGGAGCAGACCGAGCAGTTTCACTTTTTCACAGTGAAACCTGGCGGGAGCATCGATTTTGGTCCCAAATGATCACGTGCATACGCTTTTGGGTTGGACTCGTCGTACTGTACACAGTGACCATGGTGACCCATACACATTTTGAAGAATGCACCAAGTTTGGCATACTTTTCACAAAAATATGCTCTGTTTCTGGAGTACCGTTTGGTTGGCATGCGGCTGCTCCATGTGCACCAGCTGCTCGATCCTGTTCTAGATCGTACCAACCAAACGCACCCTAAGCAAACCGCGAATTCATAGATATATTTTATTCTCGTAGAAGCCGATGTCAGGGCTAGGTTTCTATTCAAATCAGGCTCGTATTCAGACCAGATATTTCCACGTAACGTTATGTCTACGCTAGAAACAGGCATACTAGTTTGTGCGGGTTGTACAATCACCTGATAGCATGTTACAAGGCGGAGGACACACTCAACACAGCGTGTCCTCCGCCTTGTAAAGTGCTGTCAGCCGTCCAATGTGTTATGTACTTCGATTGTAGCACTCCCACGACTTGCACAGTACAATCATGTGGTATGAACTCACCGCGTCGAGGCCGCTTCAAGTCCAGGGGACTGGTCTTGATGATGGGAGTACTGGGACCCAGCCGACTGCAAACACGACATGCACCAGCATCAAGGATAGGATCAAAACTGTCCATCAATACCACCAGAGTGTGTCAACATCATAGGCCTCCACTGAGAAGATCAATACGGGCATGGTAAGCATTGCTACCACTATAATGCTACTACAGTGCTACTACAGTGCTACTACAGTGCTGCTACAGTGCTGCTACAGTGCTACTACAGTGCTACTACAGTGCTACTACAGTGCTACTACAGTGCTGCTACAGTGCTGCTACAGTGCTACTACAGTGCTGCTACAGTGCTGCTACAGTGCTACTACAGTGCTACTACAGTGCTACTACAGTGCTGCTCAATGAAATCCAGTCGATGCACTCGTGCACGCGCCGGGCGTTGCGCAGCCCTAGACCAGCGAACACTGAGATTCGAAATGGTGCAAGGCGCAAACTTGAGTGCCGCGACTGGATTTCGTTCAGCAGGACTGTACAGTCAACTTCGCTTATAACGGCACTCGGCGGGGCATCAGAAAAGTGTCCTTATTCGTGAAGTGTCGTTATACCCGAAGTCTCATTATATGTGTCACAGTTGGATGGGACTTTGCTCTGGGCATGAAAATCATGTCGTTTATATTCGCGAATTGTCGTTATATCCGCAGTCGTTATTAGCGAAGTTGACTGTACTAGCCAGCACACTTTCTGCACACAGGAACACAACACGTACAGTAGTGACAGTAGCGGGTGATGATCTATTTGCCAGCTGCTTGCCACAGCACAGCACAGCGCTGCAGCAGAGCACTGGGGCTACAGTGCAATGAGGAACCTAAAGATACTTCTGTGCCAGCCATCCAATCGCCTTCGGAGAATCAACACACATGCCACGCATACACACACACACACACACACACACACACGCACGCATGCACACACACACACACGCACACACACACGCACACACACGCACACGCGCATGCGCTGGGAACGAACATAATCCAGAGTAAGAAAACCTTACCTGGTGAACGAACGCCGTGTTGGGCTTGGGCACGGGCTGGGTGCTCTACTGGAGAGCTGAGTGGTGAACAAAAACCAGGACAGACAATGAATTTAGCTCCTGCAAGCATTCTTTCCGAAAACAACGGCACAGAGGTACCTCCTTCCAGTAGAAACAATGTCAAGAGAAGCGATCATGGTTCCAATCAACAAAGTATACTAGCAAATGTATACTGGTTAATGTAGTACAGTGCAGAAAGCTCAAATTAGACGCCAAAGAACAGATCTTGGTACATGTAATGCAAGAACTAAGAAGGCATATGCAAGCATGGACGCATGTGCATGCGTGGCATGCATAGCAAGCAAGCTCATGCCACCGCCTAGCAGCAGACAGGTAGCCACGGTTTACCATAGCGTGCAACAACTTCTACAAACACCTGGTATTGAGAGTCTAGCCGAATAGTTAGACGAGAAGGCAGAACTGCCGGTGTATCCGGTGAAGCAAAAAAAAACAAAAACAAAAAAACAAACCTTCTACAAACAGCCATACGTACACGAGGGAGAAAGCGAGGCGAGGACGGCGACATGCTAGTTGTCAGGGAGTTGGATGGCGACGCACTGTAGAGACCGGGTGTCGACGTTACCTGCGCCTGACTCTGAGGCAGCTCGATGCTGGGAGACGGAGACTGTTCAGAACAAAGAAAGGGAGAAAGACAGTTATGAGCGACAACAACAACGGTAACACCAGCAGCAGCAACAACACCCACTACAGCCACTGCCACTGCCACTGCCACAACAACAACAACAACAACAACAACAACAACAACAACAACAACAACAACAACAACAACAACAACAACAACAACAACAACAACAACAAGTGGTCCACTCTGCCTGCACTCCACAGATACACTTAAGAAGATCAACATGAAGCTCAGTAATTAGACTTACAGATGGCATGGCAACTTCAAAGGTCTTTGATAGCGAGGCGTTCTGCATAACACTCCTGTGCCATTACAAACAAGCCGCACACACGCAAACACACACGAAAGCATGTACACACGCACGCGCGTGCACACACAAACACATCAACACACACACACACGCGCGCGCGCGCATGCACACCCACCCACCCACGATGTACAGCCCATCAGTGTTCAAAGTCAACTACAGTCAATTACGTCTGATGCGACTTATCAATGGTGAACAGAAAAAGGTTATCTACGAGCTTGTATATACACAGCCACACTCGGGTCGGGTTTATTTCTCATTACTATCAGGTTTGACTTCACTCCTCTGCGCTAAACTGACAACTCAGTGATGAATTCACAAATTTCAAAACGGCACTGCACACAGATTGAGTACGTCGTCGACGAGACAGAGTTTGGTGCCTACACATTTCGTTGTCTGTTATATATCCATTGATAGGTGTGAGCAAAATGATTGGCCTTTCAAAAAAAGCGAGTGCATGATTGCAGCTGTCCCTTTTGACAAACTGAACCGTACACAAGAGACTGGCAGAACACATAAGGGGGGGGGGGGGGGGTCAGGCAGTTGCTACATACATCACATGACACAAAGCAACACTGCACAGCGGCACCTAAGAGTATCACTCACCGCTCATGCAACAGTTCTTGTCTGGGATCTTCCTCCTGAAATGTTTAGCATGTACAAAGCAACACACACACACACACACGCACACACACACACACACGCACACACACACGCACACACATTTGATACTGATGCTCGTTCACAGCATAGTGCAAGCTCACCTCCCACCATTTGTTTATTCTACGCCACAAAAATAGGAGCTGGAATGCATACAGTCAACCACACGAATAACGACCTCGGGTATAACAACTCGCGAACAACGCCACAATCTTCTGACCTACACCACCCACCATCCGACTGTATACTTTCAACCTCGCGCATACCGAGACTTTCCTCATGTACGGCCGAGGGTCGGCATTCTCAAGGTTGACGGTATATCAGCCACTACTAATATAGTAACACCAAAACTGACCTTCAGCAGTCGGTTCATGATCGGGTTAAAGTGGACCTGTGAAAGAATAATACATGCATGCATGCATGCATTCACACACACACACACACACACACACACACACACACACACACACACACACACACACACACACACACACACATGCCCGCAGGTGCACACCCACACACATGCGCACACGCACATACACACACACACACACACACACACACACACACACACACACACACACACACACACACACACGAGTACATACTGACCTAGTGGTCGCTGCGCAACGCAACCAATACAAAAACAGGCAAGGAACAACGTCATTAATGACGTATGGGCTGGCCATGGAATGTAATATGCCGTATTGAAGACTCAACACACAATCATAATACACCACAGCATATTTAGGCTGTAGCGGTAATTAAAATCTGATCTTAGGATGTATTTAGGCTGTAGCGGTAATTAAAATCTGATCTTAGGATGAACCAAGTGCATGCGGCCCACACCACAACATCATCGCTATGGACTCCGCGCTGAGCAGTGAACATGGCGCTACCCAGTGTACCCATCAGGTATGGTGCCTGATCAGCAGTGTACAGTCAACTTCGCTTATAACGACACTCAGCGGGGCATCAGAAAAGTGTCGTTATTCACAAAGTGTCGTTATACCCGAAGTCTTATTATAATGTATTACAGGTGGATGGGACTTTGCTCTGGGCATGGAAATTCTGTCGTTATTCGCGAATTGTCGTTAGCAAAGTTGACTGTACATGCGTGGCAGAGTGGCACACAAACTTGAATGGCGAAATCTGTAATTCATTGGCCAGCACTGCACATTGTACCAGCGGCGACATCATTAAATACCGTAAAGTTCCGTTGATCCGCCCCCTCTCTAATTTCCGCCCCCTCTCTAATTTCCGCCCCCTCTCTAATTTCCGCCCCCTGTCGAATTTCTGCCCACGAAGCGACTTCGGCGTATACAGTGAAATACGGTTTTGACCCGACGCATGCACTGCTGTACGCAATACGTGCCAGTACAGGATGACAATGTGCACAATCAAGCATGCCAAGTCTGATCTTCTGCTTTGTTGTACATCGTATTGCACTTGACCGACTTGATCTAATTCCTGGCCCCTGCAGAAAAACCAGCTGGGAAGCGACATAGCGTGGGGGGGGGGGGGGGGCACTTTACGGTATATAATTCAGACTTTCTACACTTGTATGGTCAAGTTTCCAAACCAGAACAGCGCACCATTAGCCAGGGAAGTGTGTTCGATGAACAAGCACCACCAATGCACCGACACGACGTACAATAATTATTACGCTTGGCTTACACAGTTCAAGGAGCAAAAGAATAGGAGCCCGGCCTTGTTTCTTGCGAAATGATGACGTTCTAGCTTTGAAGAGCGAAGTCTAAGTTTCCACTGTTAGTGTTACCGCAGCTCCATACTCACCATACAGTGTGTGTGGTGGCATCATACTACACGGGGTGTGCAGTGGAGACCGGGATTCAGCATTTTTTCAGATGTGCCGGAAAGTGCCATTGAAGGTACTAGTAAGCATTAATTTAATTTAATTATTGGTACGGGAGTTGGGACCAGTGTAAACACAATGCACATACCGTGCGTTGTTCGCATTGCTTTCAAATGTCAATGTCAAACAAAGTTGATTAGAATGATCATGAATGGTATTACGACACAGTAACTGAGTTTAGTTTCTTTCGCATCATTCACACTCACGGCTGGCTGATTAATGATCGAGTAATGAATAGATCAGTAGCTGTTGGAGTGTTGGGTTATTCGTCAACCAAGAGTACTCTTGGTCGAACTACTTGCACTTACGGGCTCTAGTGGTAGAGAATCCGGTAAGCTTCGTCGCGGGCCGATCGGGGCTGGCCTACGCATCCCTGCAGCCCCGAGATCAGCAGCAGATGCAGTTGGGCAAGCAGCACTGGACGTGACCAGGGGACGTCGGATGGTTAGAGGCGACAAATCCAGAGCTTTCTTCGCCAAGCTGGACTTGGGCTTTCCAGCTGCCTCGCCAGTCGTGGCATAAGCGAAATCGGGCGATCTCATATCCGGTACGGACGTAGAGCGCCTCATACGCCCTACTGCTGCTGGTCTTGCTATGGAAAAGCTTTCCATCTCTTGATCCATCATTGTTTTTTTTTCTCGTGCTTTATTGTGTGAAAACGAGATCGTCGATGCTACATAGAACTGGAACTATTAGGCATGCTATAGGCCACAACAGGTCAACGATATAACAGAGAAAATCTTCAAGCAAGTACTGAGGATTTCTTTGGTGACAAACCACTGTCCATAGCTAGCAGCAGTGAACCAGGGACTTCGAGAGGATTTCAATGAAAAGCACAATCAGTAAAATCGACACCGCTTTCACTCTTGAAAGCACCACATGCAAATAAAGTGCGCACATGTGCAGCAAGGCAGCAAACGAAGTGCACACGTGAAAATGTGTACGCGTGGGTCCGCGGATACTCTAGTTGCCATGCCAAAGCGGCACTCAGCTGATCAGCTCAGCTAGCTCAGATCAGGCAGTGGCACTAGGCCTAGCCCAAATTTGCTCGGGGCGCTTCGATATTTTGCCGGCAAATTTTGCCCTAGCACTTTCCATATTTTGCTTGGCATTGCCTTTCGTTTCCGATATTTTGCTCCATTTTGCTCCTGCTTTGTGGCAAAAATGGCTTCGAATGAACCGTCTACTTTGATAAAAGTGGATGGTGACTCTAATGAGGAAAGCAAAGCTTATAATGGTGTCAGTATTCCGGATTTTGTAGCATGATTTCAAATGCATTTCAAATTTATGTACCCTTGACAACCTGCACGAGCTACTTCAGAACTACGTTGGCCCAATGAAACCAAAGAAATTTGAATAAAACTGCCAAAACACACCCGGATCCTCTGTAAATTCGATATTTTGCTCGGAATTTGCCAGCAATTTCTTTTCGTGGGAAATTTCGATATTTTGCTGGAAGAATTGCCGCCAGTGACCAGGGCCAAGCTAGGGCCGTAGGGGCCAGGGCCTAGGGAGTCGTAAAATACCGTGGTATTTACTAGTGTTGAAACGAATAATCGAATAATCGAATAATTTAGAATATTCGTGGGGTGAACGAATAATCGAATAGTCGTAGGAATTATCAGAAATCGAAAAAAAAAAAAAAAAAAAAAAAAAAAAAAAAAGTCTATGCTCAGTGCTGACCCTGCTGATATTTGCACGGTGTAGATCTGCTCGTAGTATTTTTTCTTCTCAATCTCCTCTCCTCCAAGTTTTAATCTCCTATCGGTATTATAGTAATACTTCTGTTCTTTCCATACGAGGGAAACATGGTTGCAGTGAATGTGATTTTCGGTCTTTGACCACTTTCGACCAAGACCCTATGCAGAGCTGGATCAGGCGTTGCACACTCTGCCTGATCTGGGGGGTTATGTATTCTTGGCGGTATAGGTTAAGGGGGCACATCACCCAAATGGGCCAAAATCACAAGTCCGTGGACATTTCTGGGTGTAACTCAGCACTAGAACATTGGATTCAGTTCAAATTTTCAGGGTGGCTCCCATGTGCATCAGGGAGGAGATTGACAGCATTAGTAGGCACATACGCGAATACGTTCCAATCTTTCACGCAAATTCAAAAATGGAAATTTGCGATTTTGCGATGTTTGATAAATTTTCAGCAGAAAGTACTGAGAACAGTTGTGAATAATGATATTTTTCAATTTACAGACTCTATGCAGTTATGTTGAGGTGCCGAACCTCCAAAATAGGACAGAAGGAAACAAAGAAGCAGACTACAATCACACCAAAGTTCTGTTTCCGGCCGTAAGAAAACGATCAGAATGTTTGAAGACATCAAATGCATTTTCTGCTTCACTCTACACAAGAAAAGAGAGGTTCAGCACCTGGGAAATTTGAAGCAGATGCGACTACATGTAAGGTTTGTTATTCTAGCATGAATAGCACTAAAGTTATGCCGGAAATACTGTCACCATGTCCTACGAAAATCACTAAAAAACTATGTATGTTGGGCCAGCTAAAATCCACCCGCGGTGTACGTTACACCCTCTCGCTCAGCAGCTGCATCACCAAACCCCATCTTTTTGGGCTCGTTGACTCTTCCTTGCATCTTGCTTGCTTGAGGATGACTTTCTGGCCTTGTGGTACTGCTTCTTGCGGTCGAGACCCTGCAGTGCACTACTTGTGAGGGTGCCAGAGCTGCATGCCATTTCGGTCAATACGGCTTCCAGTTGTTCGTACCCATCGTTAAAGATGATGACAGCCAAATACACAGCTGTTTCCACCACCTTGGCGCTGCAGAATAGCTCCTTTGGGCAGATCTGCCAGATGAGGCTGTTGATCGCTTCATTGGCGTTCTGGGTGGCACCACGTGTACACCGCTCCAACAAACTTGTCTCGGCCAGACGTACATAAATAGGCTTCACGGCATCACGGATTGCGGGTGACAGACTCTTGGTGTGGCTGTAGGATCTCTTCTCAGCCCTGGCCTTCTGCCATCCACACCAGGAAGTGGGGCCATCAGGACAAAAGTCATGGTTGGGCGTCTGGTCAGTGGGAAAGGTATGACAAAATGATGCCCATATCGCCCGTGCCATATCTATCACTGACCCTGAATTCCCCCGTATGGCCATTCCGTAATAATTCTGCGTGGAGTTGATCAGCACATCAGTCAACATCAACGACTTTGTGGACATCCCAGGCAATCGAAGTCTGGACACCACAGAGAGAGCTGAATCCCCTCTTCATCCAGGTACCATCTGTTGTAACTGCGATGTCTACCGGCTCGCCTTCAGACTCGCCACTTCTCAGCGCGTCGGCAACTGTGGCCATGCTGTGGTTGGCTACTTTCTTTGCTGCTGCATGGAGTGTATCCCTATGTTTGAGAAAAGCACTGTTGGCTACAGGAGGTGGAATGTCCAGGATGGCACTGGTCTTGCACAGGGCTTCCCGCGATCTACCAATACGACGCATGGCAAGCACGCTCTTCCTGTTGACCTCACAGAATTTCTTGCCCACAGGTGTCTCTGCCATTTGGGAAGTTGTCTCGGCTCCACAGTCATCACAGCACAAAGTCAAAGTCGTGGATCTGCCTGCCAGCCTGCCTGTTAGATCTGCCTGCCTCCACGAGCTGAAGAGCCCTACGTTGCATACTGAGCACACACAGCTATCAGCGACCAGGCGGCTTGCAATGATGGCAAATGAATTATTCAATTTCTTTGTGAGCCATGATCATCAGGCTGCTCCACATCATCTCCATCCTCATCAAACCCGCCTGCAGCACAGCTAGCATCCGAATCACCACCATCATCATAAGAAACAGTCTCGACTAGAAGTGGTGGAACGTCTTCAGGTAAACTGCGATCGCTCTCAGATTCAGAATCACTCGGTGGAATTTGAATTTTTTTTGAATATTCAAGCGAATTGATTTCCTTTGAAAGCTCGCTTTCTGCTCTTGTATCGACGACTGCCCTTTCTCTTGTTGCCCATAGTCTCACTATGAAGCTATCGACAATGCTACACAAACCAGCTGACAGTTCTGTCGTTCTAAAACTACAAGAAGGCCAACCGACGGCAACCGTCGTCCTCAACTGATTCTTCAACTTACGAAAAATAGTGAAAAATCGTGATTTTGGAAAAAAAGAGCGGCGCGTGGAAAATCTGGTCTTGTAACCATGGCAGTCAAAGCAGCGTGTCTTTCTCCGCAGACGGTGGGAGTTTGAGCGAAATCCACCACTATTTTGAAGTTTCATTATAATTTCCTAAAAGTTGAAGTTTTTCAAAGTTTGGTATTCAATAACAATTGCATAGAGCAACTTCAATGCTCCATAACTTCGGATTGGTGCAACCGATCGACCTCAAATTAATTATTTTCACAGAGTATTCTTCAGGGCACATACCACCAGAAACCAGCAACAAAATCCACTTCGGGGAGATTTCGATTTTTTAGCATTTTTGGGTGATGTGCCCCCTTAACCGGTTTTGCACCTCCACATAACAAACTCCCGATCCGATATGAATCAGCAAAAAATTAAAAAAAAACTACTTAAAAAGTGCTGAAAAAGTGTTGAAAAATGCCATCATGCGTATGATCAAGAGTAGATGTTTATCTACTCTTGGTATGATAGAATAATATAGATTATTCGTTCGATGGAGGGCGAAATTATTCGATAGATTATTCGTTCGAAGAATCCGTGTTCGGTTTAAACACTAGACTATTTACGACTCCCTGACATGACTGTACTGATGATCGATGACCGGACCGCGCACAAAAAGATTTATGGAGCTCGAATGTTTGAAGATTGAAAAAATCATCAACCTAAAAAAAAAACAGAATAGAACGAAGAACGACGATTTTGTGTTGGTAGTAATTGGCCAATACTCAATAGTGGCAACACATACATGTACTGTAGACATCCCGACCTTTTCCACGTGCAGTAAACCAGCATCTCTCTTCTGTACCTTGCTCAATCACTTGTAGATTTATAGTGGAACTTTCTGGAGCTGATCTAGGAATCCAGAGCGCAGATCTCGAGCTGTATCTGAAGTATATCTTTCACCATGGGCCTCAAGGTGTTGCTAGAATTCAGGTACTGTATGCTCCTCAATTGTAGAAAAATTATCTATTTTAGAACTGTACTTTACGTTCTCTTTCTTGATGGCAGCTGTGCTGAGCTGCTCCTATTTCCTAAAGATGGATTTCACTTTTGCCCAATGGTCACAGGCGCGTGCGCCGGTGCCCTTCAAAGGGGGGGGGGGGTTCCGGGGGGCCTCCCCTGGGAAAATTTTCAAAAAATGAGGCAAAATCCTGCATTTTGAGCGGAAAAAGGGGGGTTCCGGGCACCCAGGAACCCATACGGGGCACGCACCTGGGTCACTCATTGATCATACCCCCTACACACACACACACACACACACACACACACACACACACACACACACATCACATCAAGAGTATAAACCCCCAAGAGTATGCAACTCCACCACTATGTATTATCGGACGTATCTTGGGCCTGTGGTGAACCAATCCCCATTGGCCCTGTACAAACTAGCGCCTGGAAAAACGTGTGATGTGCTCACACCCAGTACAAACGTCGTAAATCATCGATTCACTCACGCACGGAGCATTGCATCATAAAGATGGCGTCAACTTGAAATTCTGTCAGGACAGCAGAGTCATTCTACAGTCAGCGGCAATTATGTGAGGAAACGTGGGAGTTGAAAGGGCTAGAAACTCCACAACCACACCAAACCTGTTCTTCCTGTGAATTCCATACCAATTTATTTGAAATTTCTGGGGCCGAAAACAGCAAAAACCCCGAAATATAATACTGTATGCTGCAATTTGACTTCGACAGTCATGATTATGGTTTGTTTGGCCGTTGAGTGCGTAACGAATTTCCAAAGAAGGCAGCTTTTCATTTCTTTCTCCGGCATTCTGAGGAGATTCTGCAACCCGCAGAAACGCCAGAATTGACGAGGGACAGTTGTGATGATAGGGATCAATCATACAAGCACTGTAAAACAAATTTATTTTCATTGCTACCGGATTCGGCCTCGTTTTCTTTGTGCTGCGCTGATGAGTCCACAAAGGACGAAACAGTTCTGTCCGCAGATTGAGTACTGCAGAGCACGTTATTTCGGTGTAACTTTAATTTTCAGTGATTTCGGTAGAGAACCAGGCACCTAAATTTAGATTACTACACCTAAAAGACACTAGAGTATGCACTAATCTATGTGTGAAGGGAATGCTGGTCACCTAATTCTACTATACAGCTGAAACCTGGCAGGTCCCTGGCACCGAGTTTCTAATGCACCTTATAATTTCATGTTTTACAGTACATGTAGTTTGTTCGACATGTCATCGTGTGGATAGAATCAATCCAGCAGGTTTGAGAGGGTAATGCTCAGTTGCATATAACCCAGCAAGGAGGATGTGTACGTGTGTGTGTGTGTGCGCGTGCGCTTGTGTGCACAGATAATGAATTGTGTGTTCACTTTGTTGTTTCTGCTCCATTACTGCAGTGGTGGAGCGGAGCTTCTCTTTGATCGCGTCAAGCAGCACACTGTTGAACTTGCAGACAATGAAACATGTGAGCTGACCCTATCTGGCATTTGGGGCTTGTGTGCTGAGAGCATATTTATTGAATAATTTTAATTTTCATACGTTTTGAGGGAAAGTTGTAAACGGGAAAAGTCCGAAGAAAACGCTGACTGTCACCACCAGGACTCGAACTAGGGACTTTCCCTTGTAGCCAGTGATGCTCTAACCACTGAGCTATGGTGTAGCGGTCATCCAAGCAGAGACCTTTTAAATCCCAACTGGCCCCCTTTTTTTGTCTTTGTCGTTCGAAACACCCCACACTCTGTGCATCGAGCACTTTGCCGGCAATTTGCCAAAATTTACGCCTTTGTAAGTTTAATTAATTTTGATTCATGCCTCATGGACAGTCCAGTTGAGTGTTGCGTTTGAAAGGATGTTCGTGAGATCCTGGAAGCAAGGAAATGCATTGGAGAGCTGGCACACTGGGGCCGGGAACACTATACAGTTGCTATAGCCTGGAGCATGTATCGCACTTCTGAGGAACTAACTTGCCTGTGAAAGTGTGTTCAGCTGACAAATTCTACCTCTGGGTTAGGCGTCTATTTCTTGCATGACCACATTTGAATGCTCACGGCAGTGCGTTTTGAGGCTTTGCTGCACCCGGATTGCACCTCGGAGCAAGTGTGTTCTATTTGTGCCCGGCTGCACTTTCCATGTTTCCCTCGATCTAACAAAACACACATTCTGTGACGGTATGCCCTGCTTGCTGGTGGCTGAAGCTGTGATTGTGGGGTCTGGGGCAGCTTTTTCCAGCAACCACCGCGTCACTGCGCTCTCCAGCCGAATGCTGCTGCTTATCCTTGTTTAATACGTACCTGGGGCAGATGTACCAACGGTGTGCTTCATCGCTGCTGTGCTATCTGCTTTCTCGTTTCTTTGTTGCAGGGACACTTGGAAAGCTGCTTATATGGATTCGGGAAAACTTGCTGAAAGAGCGGCCAGAGTTGTTTATGCAAGGCAATACTGTGTACGTTTACTCTTTTTCTCTTGACTATCTTGCATCTACTACACTGGAAAGCATGCCACTATAATGGTGTTGAATACATTTGTACGGGGAGATTATTCTTGTATCGCCGTACATCAATTCTTCCAGTGCGAGGGAAAGTGATGTTTGCTCATTTGGTCGTCTGTTTTTCTTGTCGTTCGCTGCAGTCGACCCGGTATTCTGGTCCTGATCAATGATGCCGACTGGGAACTCATGGTAAGACATGAGAGCCAGTGTGACAGTGTAACCCGTGTGTGCCTTGGGGTAGAGCTTTGAATTACATTTATGTATCTATGTGTGTTTATGAGCTAAAATTTCTTTTCTTTTTTTTAACTGAAACAATTTGGAACGAAAGGGCTCACACCCAATTCACTGCAAGTCACAGATTCGTTTTTAGGGAGAAAAAAATCAACGTTTTGATCATGAAATGATTGTCTCTAAATAATTCAAAATGCATGTAGCTGCCTCGGCCAGTCCGAGGCTATGGCTATTTTGCTAACACTCCTTGCAATGTTGTTGACTGTGTGATCCGCATGCAGGGTGAGCTGGACTATGAGGTCGAGGCCAACGACCGGATAGTCTTCATCTCGACGCTCCATGGCGGCTAAGAGCGACGATGTCAATGCACTCGTAGCCGTGAATTCGTTGCGAAATGCCGCCCGGACGCTGCACAGCTTGCTGCGAAGAGTGTCGAACAATGGGGGAGATGGCTAGCCAGGCTGCATGGCTTGTTCAAGCCCGTGTATGTAGCGGGTGCACTTCACAAGCCTGTGCCACAACATGCTCCAGTCTTGACTCAACTGGATGGAGGCTGTTTTTGCTGCATTTAGACTTTTAAAAGCCGGCCAACACTGTTTCAGCCACCGGCCTTGATTGCACTTGAGCTTTGTCCAAGATTGCAGATCGTTGCTGCTGCGGACACCTTGGATTAGTGTCTCCTGCGGAGCATTTGTTTGGATTGTAGCCTGCACTGACTCTGCTCAGCATGTTATTCTTGCGCAATCTGTGATCTATTCTCAAGTTTATCTTTGAGCCTGCTCTGAGCGATGTAGGCTGCATTCTGTAGTTAACACTATCCAGTTTACAAGCCCCCCCCCCCTTCCCGGCGTGATGTGAGCTTTTGGTCACCCAGTTGCAAGCGTATCCCATATCACCTTATCCGTGCCGCGTTTGGCACCTTGAACGTAATGAGATCTTCCCTCAGATATCATAACGTATGTACAGTGATTGGGCTGGACAGAGTTAACGCTAGTGTTTCATGGGGAACTAAACTGCAATAGCTGGCAATCAGCTGTAAAGTCCTCGAGACAAAGGCAGGAGGTGTAGCAAGAGGAGAAAAATAGCATTGCTTTGAACTGAATAAGAACGGGGGAGTCTCATGAACTCGCCTTGAATCGATTGATAGAAAATTAGAATGTATACGTAGTGAAAGTGAACATGCAGACCAGCTGCAGTCAGTGCTAGTGCAGCGAATTTGCTTGCACAAACATGTGTGTATACGCTTACAGCAGCGTACATTGTATACAGTCATTTACAGCATTGTGCGGTGTCAGTAATCCATGCTGTTGGATCCAGTCAAGGCCCTGAATGGCATGATACGTGGATCATACAAACTTGTCTTGAAGTGCACATCGAGGGCTCACTTTGTTCAGGTGAATACAACCCGTTCTCGGATCGTGGCCAGTGAAATCTGACCTGGGCTAGCTGATGCAAACCTAAGAGCATCACCTAGTGCAAACCATCACCAGACACCATGCAAGAGACTCTACTGAGCACTTCTGGTGTGCGCACCAGGCACCTTGGGCACTGCTGATGTGCGCAACAGGCACCTTGGGCACTGCTGATATGCGCACCAGGCACCTTGGGCACTGCTGATGTGCGCACCAGGCACCTTGGGCACTGCTGATGTAGGCACCAGGCACCTTGGGCACTGCTGATGTACGCACCAGGCACCAATCCATGCAGGCCACACCAGGATTGAACTGAGCACAACTGTATGCACCAGGTACAATGCGAACCATAGTCACAGAGATGACTGAGCACTGCTGATGTATGAACCAGGCGCATTGGGCACTGTTGGTGTAGGTACCAGGTGAGGTAGCCAGGTCTACCATGCAAGACACACTGAGACTGGATTGAGTCGTGCCGACGCATGCGCTAGGTTGGATTTCGCCTGTTCGATTAATGAAGTTTCTGTTGCAACTACATGCTTGTCTGCATTCAGCTGTGGAAATACAGCCCTGCGGTCCACTGCAGCAACAGTACTGCGAACGAGTGTGCCGGTGGAGACGCTCACAGTTGTAGCCATGATGTTCAGCACACACACACGCACACACGCTGCTCAAGGTACGATGTTAGCAGCTGGTGGTCAGTGTATGAACTCGTGCAGTGGAACTGCTTCACGCAACATGAACATCATCTCTAGGTCACTCCTTGTCTTCGTCCCCCTTCCGATCGACGCCAAAGTTGCTGGTAGTATGAACGCCTCCCCACTCGAGCAGCATGGCGTCCGGGTTCTCTTCCCAGCGGCCGGGACGCTTCACCTGACGGCGGCGCTCCACTTGCTTCTTGTCCCAGTCCTTCTGCTTGCGCTGAGCGTCCTGCAAGTCTGCTCCGCCACAGCCCCACACCTCCACAGCACGCACCGTCAGCTGCTCCCTGGACTGGCCAGCAGAGGAGGATGGCGGCGGCGACACGGTGAGCTTGTCCAGACTCTCATCGATGGTAAGCGCCGGTCGAGACTGATCACGGCCAACGGACAGTCCCAGGCGAATGCCGCGCGTCTTCTCGTTCAGCACCAGTAGTCGCGGACCCGACGCCAGCGGGCACACGGCGGGACGCAGCTGCGCCAGGACGCACTCGTTGCCGCCCCACGCGGTCGACGACTCGCGCCACTCGCCGTCCACGCCCAGCGCAAACACCGTGTCGCGATCGCAGCGGATGCAGCAGACGTTCGGGCCGCGGTAGTCCATCACGTGGTGCTTGAAGCGGTTCAGGCTGAGGCCCTGATCACGGCTGTTGTACAGTAGGTTCCATTGCCCCCCGGCTGACGCACCGGTGCTCGACGTGGCCGCAGCGGCACCACTGCTGGCCATCTTGGCCTTGTGATGTCCTAAATAACACGGCGGTAAGAACGTGGACAGCAGCCACATCCCGTCCACGCCTAGAAGATCAGACGCTGCTGGCGAGCCACTGCTCGAAACCAATCGTGGCAGTTCGAACGCCGACACATCGCTGGCTCCACTACCCGACGACCAAATCGCTCGCTCTAGCCAGCAGTGCAAGGCATCAAATAGTCCTGGCATGTTACACTGTACCCATTCGCTCACATCATTCACTGTGAGGGAGCTCGACTCACCGACGGATTTGGCTGCAGCCTCGAGGAAGTGCACGGAGCTCACATCAACAGTCGCCTCGTCATCTCCACCTGCCGCTGAGAGCTGTATAGCCAGCTTGCAAGCACACGTCAATGCAGCAAGGGGTTGCACACGTCCACCATCCGAGAACACAGTCAAATACTTGACAATAGTTTCTGATTGCCTCGCATCGCGGCTCAGAAGCCTGGCGAATGCCTCGACAAACGCAGGCTTGCCGACTTTGGGCTTCTCCTGGCCAAACAAGGCCTTGAAGAGACGGCTGCCAAAGCCGGGCGCCGGTCCGGAGAACAAATGCTCAAACGCCGCCGCCGTCACGACCTGATCGGTGTCTGCCAGTTCGTCGAAGCACTGTCCGGCTGCTACTTGCAGAGGTGATACTGGCTGTGAGGTTGTGCTGCTGCCCCCGGTGCTGCTCTGCCCACCTCCCATCGTTAACAGCGTGTGCAGTGCTTTTCAATATCACTGGCTAACGAGGCAGTGTATCACAACAGTTGTTGAAGACCACCGTAGTCCACGCTTCCTCAAATATAGAACTCCACTACTTCCAGGCCCAACGCACGCAGGACAGGCACTGTTGATGTGTGGTGCTTGCAAATCCAGAGCTTGGGACAAATGCACATTCACTGCTTCTTTCCACTAACACACTGAGCTGCAAGTGTCCATCTGGAGATCTTGCCCATGTAAGTTGTAGTAATTGTAGAAGAAAAGCTTCGTGTTATGACCAAGAGTACGTGAAACGTTCTCTTGCTATGACTTATGACTGTGAGATCACTTTTCTCACCGGATGAAACGCAAAACGATTCTAGCTCTACCTCTCTGACTTGACATCCGTGACTTCCAGGAGCCGTGAAAGCCAACACAAGAAATCCGCAGAGGTGCAATGATCCAGTAACACCTAATTCAGTACTCCAGCTGACACTGCAGCAGATAACCTACACAGGATCACGACGACGTGCTCTGAAGTTGAAAAGCAAATTGTCCACGATCAGAAAGTAATCTCGTTTTGCAGTTTTGTTTTCAGTTCAAACGATAATAGGGGAATTCCCATAGTAGCTGATGACGTGTGATCACACTCTTTTTTTGGATTTTCACAATCATTGTTGCATCATATTATTATTAGTGAGGTTCTGCCACACGGTAAAACGTGCCAAAGTACGTATGGAAACTTCGCCGCGGTACGGGATTTAGTTTGATACGGATTTTTTCATACCGTTTTCCGTGTGAGGCGCGCTTCACACGGACTGGACTCCGTGTGAAAAGTGAGCGTACAGAGTCCATGTGGCGGGGTGTTCGTGCATGCTTCGAGCATGCTACGTACAGCAGAACCGGTGCAACGTACGAAAAATCCGTGTCAAACTGCACTGCAGTTGACACGGAGTTTGGTACGTAGTTCCGTGTAGCAGAACCTCTCTATTATCATAACGTTATAACGTGCATGCATACCATTGCCAATTGGTACAACTGGTTGCTTGGTTTATATTTTCCAAACATGCATGCACAATGCACATCGTCAGACTCACATACAGTGGTAAAACAACGAGTAGATATCAACGTAGGAAGATATGATTCGACCGGGCCCTAGCGAGCAAACTGCATTGGCGTCCGGCTCCACATATGGGAATGATGGAGCACACAAACATGGCGGGGGGGGGGGGGGGGGGGAGGGGACACACATCAACATGCTCACTGAGTAGCGTTTACACACGGCACACAGGAGAAACGCAATCAAGCAAACTCTATCGGTAAATGTAAGTCTCGGACGAGCAACCCTTCCAGCACACTGAGACCCCCAACCAGGGAGTCATAAACTACCGGTATTTTACGACTCCCTGCCCCACCCCATACCACCACCGGCAACCCAACAGATTCCACGATTCCATACATCGGCGGCTTTCCAAACGAACGCGAGGTTGACTGCCCTGCCTACTGTGTGCCGGGAAGTCGATCAGAACAGTCTGCAGTGGCAGCACGGAAGGACGCGTGGGTAACACTGGCAAACTGGTGCCGCTAACAACATCATGACAGCAGCTTGGAATACGTGTACATGTCATGTACTTGTACCATCAAAATTAGAATTTACATTGAGTCACTAATTATTATTATTATGTACATGTATATAATAATAATATATATAACTCTAGTTCCGTCAAATGATACAAATATTCTGCCCCTGATGCCTGCATCAATATTAGTGTGACAGTATGTACAAGTTTAACTCTGATGCTACACATCCGAATTGCAAACAGGGAGACATGGCATAGCAAATGCAAACAAGGCAAACGCGCAAGAAACCAGAATAGGACAGAAAGGTATTTACAGGAGGCAGGACGCACAGGAAACTACTCTGCAGCAAGCAAATGTGTACATGGCAGTGGTTGTAAGTCCAACTCTAAACTAAAAAAAGGACCAGCATGACTAAAAACAAACGCGATGCACGTTAAATCTCACGCGCTTCACCGGTTCTGTTCGGCTTGGTAGATGATAACGTGCACGGCCACCCTACTATTTACAATAACGATCCGACTTCATTTTCGCTCGCCTGAAAAACAGATAAGCAGTGCACATACATGTACAATTAATTGCACATACGCTACAGGGCTTTGGGAACTCAAACAATCAGTTATGAAGGGCGTACAGTTTCCACCAGGAATACACATGTTCAAACTTTCTGTCGTGTTTGATATGTGCCAACTCTATGACTCACATAGCAGCTCTCTAGCAAAAAGAAACAGAGGACGACACGGGAAACTTCTACTCGTAGATTCTTCAGCTGTTCAGGGAACAACGTGAAGGCTGTTGCAAGCACCGTCTGCAAAGGCACTGTCACTCAGTGGTGCATCACTCCAGTGAACTGCCAAACTTGTTGAAATGTAATTTGACTGTGCATGCACATGCTACTAGTACACTGACACATTGTTTCTACTCTGTACAGCACAGCTCATTTTTTTCCTCCCAAATCCACGGATCTCCAGACACTGGGGTGAATAATGGAGTGTGGTGGTGGGTCCCATTAAGCTCAGCCAACCATGCGGGCCCATCAAATGTAAATGATACGCTTGAATGCAAATCAACATTCGAACGTTTTGTAAGTTTGAATGCTAACTTTTCCCTTTGAATGTTCGTTCCTTCAAGAAAAAGTTCATCTACTTGCACAATGTCTTACCGATCCAGAAGGCTCTCGTGCAGCTTTCCCTTTTCTCGTGCACCGCGCAGTTCATCACGACTCTTCTGCGTGACGATGACGTGGTGATCTTGGAAGCTTTGGTAACGATTCCTGCAGCCGAAACAGCAGTGAGAAAGTTGCAACTGTCATACATGTACGCGTACGGACAAACTTGAGTAAACATTGCATCACTGTTGTATAGGTGAGCATGAAGGCACAGGGGCTCTATGCTCCAAGAAAACCAACACAATCGAGGGCTCCAGTTGACGGGGGACCGCATGTACAGTGCTACACAATGAAATCCAGTCGCGTCACTCAAGTTTGGGTTCGCAGCCCAGTGTTCGCAGGTCTAGGGCTGCGCAACGCCCGGCGCGTACTTGAAGGTTGCGACTGGATTTCATTGAGCAGTATTGTACATACACAGCAGATTTAGCTGTACAGCACTGTACCTACGAGCACTGCTTTAGGGTTTATACACTTGGAGTCCCATACATTGTCGTCGTGATTAGGGGGAGGGGTACCGTATTGTCTCCATTAAAGTTATAAGCCCCGCGCATATAATTTTTCAACCAGTCCGGATCCCGGGCTTATATTAGAGACTGGGCTTATAATAGGTCAACAACCTGTAAACCTCAGAACATGAACCATACCCCTGGCAACTGAACACTCACGGCGGAAACTGATTCATGCTTCACAGAAAACGGAGGTTTCAATACTTATTGGACTCAAAACCCCTAAGGAGTAATCTATAACGTAACGATTAGTTGATTGTTAAGGAATTATCGATCGATTACCGAGTAATTGGTATACTGTAATTTCACAAATTTTCGGTGTACTTTTATTTTGGGTACTGTACAGGCAGAACATTTCGTCGGTCAATAATTTCGTCCAACTCCAAAGAAAGGGAGTTCGTCCGGTTGTAAATTTCGCCCATGGATCATAGGAGTGTATTAAAAAGCTGGACAAGTCGACATTAGTTCTACATTTAATTTAGTCCAAAACCTCCTTGGACGAAAAAGACGAAATTAAATTCCAGACGAATATTTCTGCATATACAGTACTTTCGGTGCACCTGTTTCATACCTAAAATTTCAATGCTAACACTAACACACATAATCCAATACGGAACTGATGCTCTGTACCTAATATTTTTGTTCACGTAACCTGGCCTTTTGCCCTTACATTGAGCACCTAAATTTTCTGAAATAATTAGAGTAATCATTTCGGCTCCTAAAATTAAATATTGAAAGTTTGAAACCCCTTTTTGTGAAGTAATCCCAGACCCTAAACAAGCACGACAATGTATACGCATAATATCAAGAGTACATAAACGGTTTATGTTTCTCTTGATAATATGTATATAAGCAGAAAATTTCGTCGGTCAATAATTTCGTCCAACTCCAAAAAAGGGAGTTCGTCCGGTTGTAAATTTCGTCCATGGATCATAAGAGTGTACTGAAAAGCTGGACAAATCAATATTAGTCCGGCATCTAATTTAGTCCAACAGCTCGTTGGACGAAAAAGACGAAATTAAATTCCAGACGAATATTTCTGCTTGTAGTGCACGGATCCGAGGAGAATATTCTTCATAATCCCCAAGGCACGCAGCGCAGCGGGGATTATGAAAAATATTCTCCCTAGGACCAATCCGTGCACTATCCTATATAGCTGGGTTTGTCAGGGGTCAGCCATCACGCTACACAGTTGTTGACTTTCAACACGTTTTCAGTTGTAAACAGGGAGTACAGTAGTACTTTTTCAAGCTCAACAAAAAAAAGGAAAACATGATACAGGAACACTACACAATCAAATGGAAAAAAACAATACTTCTACATCGATGAAAGTACTTGTGAACGCATTCATACCACGAGAACAATGGAACAATATTTTATGATTTGAACGTCGTTTTCATGTGATTGTCATCAGAAATCCTCATCACACTGAGAGTTGGACAACAAAGGAAAGATATTTTATGGAATGAGTGCGCTCACTTTACTTTCATCGATATTACGTTTCTTGTCTCCACGCCGACTTTTTAAATACTTGTACAGTTGTACTACTCCCTGCAGGGCATGATTAATCCGGTATTGCATCGCAGTTTGCAACGCAAATGTGCGTACTTGCGACGCAAGCTCAGGGTTGTGGAGCGAAAATCTGCGATGCATGCCGTGCAGTGCAGTGGAAAGGCCGTGTGAAGAATGTACCTGTCCCCCGCATGTTCTGAGCACTCCGTACGGTACTGACTCAGGCAGTAGCACAAAAACGAAGTCGACTGCGCGGATTGTGGAGTCCACAGACTACATGTTACATTGTACACCGCACTGATCTTTCATGTATTGCCGTACACTGTAACACGCGTGAGTTGCGACATGCCCCTGCAGCTTGGTACTCATTGTACCACAGTAAATCATAGTACACGTGCACACGCTGACAGGAATATTATTATTATTATTATAGCTACTAGTACATACTCAGTAAGACTATGCCTGCAGCTGCAGAAAAAGTGCTCAACATCCAATTTCTTGGGGGGAGCAATGACACATGTCAACAAACAATGGATCACTCGTAGTGTTTCGCTACTCTGAGTTTCATGCACCGTGTGCAATCATCAGGCAAACAATATTCAATGCAGACTGGTCAAAGCATACTATGTTTTCGATTTCGACAGCATGTTACAAGGCGAGGACGCAACGTGCTCCTGACTACAACAATAACCCGGTTGGCAGAGGAGCACCATGCGTCTTCGCCTTGTAGCATGCTGTCGAAATCGAAAACATGTTAAACTATCAAGCAAGGCTTCTATATACTAGTACATACTACTAGTCCAGAAGCAACTGAGATTGTGTTTCTGTTTGAACAACACTCGCCTTGTTCACAAGTAGATTACTCCCTTCTTTTCTAGTAGCAGTAGGAACATGTTGGTGCAATCAAGTACTGTGGAGAAATGGAGGTGCGAGCTAGACCCAATCAAATGGAGGTGCGAGCTAGACCCAATGAAATGGAGGTGCGAGCTAGACCCAATGAAATGGAGGTGCGAGCTAGACCCAATGAAGGAGTGGATCGTGGTTAAAGGGGAAGTATACCCTAAAATCAAATTTTCACCAGTTGTAGTCTTCTGGGTGCTGAGTCGAATGGTCTTGGTCCGAGGAAGCTGCGACGCTCCCTTCCTACTTGAATCCCAATCGAACTCGCGCACTTCCACCGAAACTGGGTGACTGCGCCCTACTAGATGGGGATTTGTATGCAAAATGTCACTAAAAGCGCCATTTCGTTCTTATAAAAGCACGGATGACCGCGATTGGCCCATATGTTGTAGTCTTTTGGACGCTGAGTCGACTGGTTTTGGTCCGAAAAGGCTGCGATGCAGCGTTCCTCCTTTATTCCCAATCGAACATGGTTGAACAAGCGGTCACGTGCTCCTGGGTGCCCAAATCACCTGGTCACCGCGCCAGCAGGCGACAACTTTCACACCAAGGTTCAACTCGAGTTCAACTCGAGTGACAGGACTGCACCCAAAAAAGGTCAAACAGGCTAGTAAGTTGTACCCTGCAGGCACGGTGACCAGCTGACTGGTGTACGCAGGAGCACGTGACCGCTTCTTCAACCATGTTCGATTGGGAATAAAGGAGGAACGCTGCATCGCAGCCTTTTCGGACCAAAACCAGTCGACTCAGCGTCCAAAAGACTACAACATATGGGCCAATCGCGGTCATCCGTGCTTTTATAAGAACGAAATGGCGCTTTTAGTGACATTTTGCATACAAATCCCCATCTAGTAGGGCGCAGTCACCCAGTTTCGGTGGAAGTGCGCGAGTTCGATTGGGATTCAAGTAGGAAGGGAGCGCCGCAGCTTCCTCGGACCAAGACCATTCGACTCAGCACCCAGAAGACTACAACTGGTGAAAATTTGATTTTAGGGTATACTTCCCCTTTAAAAGTGGCCCATCCAATGTTACCGGCATCCACTGCAGAGTTTGCCAGGAGAGTGCATCGTCGCTCCGTGCTCTCCGGAATCTTAGCCGAGCATTTGTGGGTGGGATGTCAGGCAGTGCAGTTTGAAGAAAGATAACAGTTTGGGAAAACTGCTATACAAACGTGTAAGTGTGTAGCACTTTTTGCTATGCATCTTGGTTTGAGTAAATCATGCCCTGCCCTGTTTACAAGGGATTTCAGGATGTGATAGACACATGCATGAAGAAGTCCGCCAGAACATCCGCAGGTCAACGCCGCCAAGCGCAGCCGATCTGGCCAAAGGACGAGGACAAGCTCTCTGGGAAGCTGGCATTCTCGGGAGTGACCAGCCTCAGCAGCTGCTGGATACGGTGTTTTTTCTTGGTTGGCAAGAACTTCGCTCTGCGAAGTGGCGAAGAGCACCGGGCCCTGAGACATCTGCCGAACTCGCAGATAACTCTCCATGAGCCTGAGGATGGCAGATCGTATCTGCTTTATGTGGAGGAAGTCACGAAAACGAACCAGGGTGGGCTTAAATAACACCAATGAATCTTCTTCCACTATATCAATAGTCACTATATATTGGCAATACAACTTGCATAATTGAAGTACTACCCCATAATGGGTGTGTATATTATGTAAAATAAAGACATGCCATTAAAAGCCGCAAAGTCAAGCAGAAGACTGTGCGTGCATATGACAACCCCAGCTGCCAACCTCGATGCCCGGTTGCCATTTTCAAGAAATACACAGCAAAGCGACCAAGCGAAGCTCAACCATTCTACCTAAAGCCTTTGCAGAAGCCCACGGATCAAGCGTGGTTCGGCGGCAATGGCCTCTTGGAAAGAATACATTGCGGTGTATGGTTGCTGATATCTGCAGCAGAGGAGGCCTCCGTGGGTACTACACGAACCATTCCCCGCGGCGGACTTGTGCTACTCAGCTCTACGACAACGGTGTTGATGAGCAGATGATCAAAGAGGTAACTGGACACCGCAGCGATGCTGTGCGGGAGAGCAAGGTCACCACTGAGAAGAAGCAGATAGCAACATCTGACATCCTCAACCGTTGTCAAGACCAGCCATCACAAGAACCCTGCAAGCCGAAGAATGCAGTTCTTGCTCGGGAAGACACTGATAGTGAAAGCGACTCGGAATCCCTCAAGCGTAAGCGCCGCCGGGTACTGACCAGCATTGGCAATGTGTATGCCGCGGAGGGTGCCACCGTTGTCATCAAGCTGTCACGACCGACTCCTGTTTTAGTTGCACTCCTCTGTTTTCTTCTTTTTTCAAGTCCTGATCCTTTTATATTGCTGTTGTTTTGTAGTGGGAGTTTAGGCCCCACGTTCCAGGTCGCCTTTTGCCGAAGTTTTCCTTGTTTTTCTTTCGTTGTAAATGTTGAAGCCCCCCTTCTGTGCAGTAATCCCAGATTCTAAAGCTGCAGTTCATACTGATTCCTTCAATGAGCACTCATGCACATCGACAGTTTGTTGAGAAAGGAGAAAGAAGAATGCTACGCGGTACGTACACATATTCCATCTCCAGGTTTGACAGCTTCTTGCCGTACTCCTTCTCGACTTCCGTCTTTGCCTTCTTGAACTTACTCTTGCTGGTGCGCAGCTGTGTAAACAAATAATGCAGGTCAATACGGTCAGATTACGCCAGTGGCACGTTTGACAGCGAGAGGCCAGCTGAACATAGAGAGTAATCACGTAGGAATACAAGCCATGTTTCAAGATGCATGCATGTGCAGCAGAGCCAGTCCACTTGTCTAAACAGATCAGCATGCTGCGCCATAAGTGGATCATTAGCACAGGTCGCACTGTAGGGTTTTGCTTCTTTCCAGTCATCTCACCCAGGCACAGTGTCTGCTCTAGGATTTCAAACCAACCGGGTACACGTGAACCTGGCACAACTCTTGCAACCAGGTCAGAGCCGGGTACGTTCAAGTGCGGCTACTCCATGCACTGTACATGTACATCAGGGAGCCATAAATAAGTTAGGTCTCCCTGAGACTATGTTATGCCAACCGGGGCACAAGTGACCCGGTGTTCTTTTACCAAACGGGTCCAAGTACCCCCCCCCCCCCCCCCAACCGGGTCGCTGACCCGGCTCTGGAGCAGACACTGAGACACAGTATAGACTCTAGAGGTTACGCAACTATCAAATATATGTACAGATTTTTCTGGCTTTTCTGGTATATTATCCTGAAGTTTCCTTTCAGTAGAGCAACTCATGCACTGATTATCGTCCCATAATCATTGAGGGCCATCTGCTATCCAGGGTTGTTACAATTAGTTCCGTCCAGGTGACAGGGTTTATTGAAACACTGGAGAGGCGATCTTACGGTGAACTTAGCGTCGTCCGACACTTTCTCGGCCGTGGACATCAGCTTGCCACTCTCCTCCACGGTCATGAAGCGTCGATTGGAGCCTTCGAATGCAATGAGACCCTGCTCACGTACAAATGCGCCGGGAAAACAAAAATGCACAGAGAGTATGTTAGTAGGAATTCTCCCCTTCATTCAACAGTTAGTTCGTGTCCTGTGAACGTGGTAAAACATGCATTGCTATAATTTGTTAAATTGTATGCAGAAGTTACTTTGAAGGATCCCATTTGCACATGTATACATCAAGACAGTGGCTTCACAAATACACATTTGGCAGTTTCACAGTCAAAGCATTTCAAAGTGAATGCAGAGAGGCTGCAGTTTCAAAGAGAAAACTCAAACCCTTCTTCTCCGTTCCTTGCCTACACTACCAGCTAAAACCATGCAAAACCAAATTTTCGCCATCGTCAGGGAATGAGAATGGTTGAAGACTTGAACATACAACTACAGTAAAACTTGTCTAAGACGACGGCTCAAGGGACCTTCAAAATGTGGTCTCTGTTACCAGGTGGTCTCCTTATCCAGGATCATTTGACTGGAAATAGCATCCCTTGGTCCTGGCTGCAGTGGTCGTCTGGAACAGGTGGGCGCGTTATCCGAGTGGTCACCTTGACCATCTGTCTCTGAGGACCACTGAATCTAGGACCAAGGCATATCATTTTTAACTGTATGCGTTAGTACGGATGCAACAAATTTCCGTGCTCCGAGAATTACCCTCTGCAGCACTTCCCTACCTTTTGCCCAACCCACTTAAAGTGACTTTGTATTCTATAGACTAACACAATGTCCCTCGATGAGAATGCAGACCTAGCTCTGTTTGGATATCAGGATCTGATCAACCTGGGTGAGCTGAAATCCGTCGACCAAGCATCGAGTCTCTCTCGGCCTGAACTCGTCAAGCAACTCCGGGAAAAAGGCGTGGGAGTGCTGCCTCAGCCAGCCACTACACACGGTATGTCTGTTGTAGAAGACCAGCTTAATAGCCTTGCGGTATCCTTCGCATCCATGTCCGCGGAGTTTGTGTCCATGAAAGAGGATAGAGATGACACAATATTTTCCTTGAAATTAGAGGTTCAGGAACTCAAGCGAGAAATCAAAGAGCTTCGACAACAACACATTGCACACACATCCGTACCCCAGCCCAATATGGAAAGGAAGTCGTACAGTACTGTAACATCAGGAACCGTTCCCACAACCACAACACGTGTACAGTCTGCGGCAAATTAAGGTCCGAATATAGATCATCCACCTATTGCATCAATGCAGAGAAGTCCAATGTACACAAGCCCATCCGCACATCAAGGGAACGCGGGTACAGAAGAGGCAACTGAGACCGTCTCAGCCACCAGACACTCTGAACCCAGAACAGAAACAGGCACCGGTAGTACACACCCGCACCATACAGAGTGGCAAGAGTACAGCCGCCGCTCGCGTAGACCTTCCCCACGGCCCGAAAACGGTGCTGATAATATTTCAGAAGCCCTGCGTAGCACCGTCACTTCTCGGTATGTAAAGAAGTCGGCAGATACTGAGCCGGCAGACGATCCTTGCGTCTGATAGGTGTTATGCCCATCAAGAAACTCGTTATCTATCTCGGTAGTATCAAGGTCGGCTGCAATGCAGAGTCTATCAGAAACTGGTGTGCTACAAGAGACGTCGAGGTGCTCAACTGCTCCGTCATGGAGTCGAAGTACCTGGGCACCGCCTACGCTCGCGTAACTATGCATGAAGAACACCAGGAGCAAGTCCTCGGCAGAACATTCTGGCCCGAGGCTATCCGGCACACTGTCCGAAAGTGGCGATTTAGAGACAGCAGCTCCACGACGCCCCCTACCACAAACTAACGTCGGTCTTCACCCCGTTGAGCGCTCGTGCTTTCCCGTTTTTCCCGGACCACGCACATTCTATTAGCATTGTAACTATCAACTGTCGCTTTGTAACAAACAAACTTCCGGAATTGTACGCAATATGTCATGCCAACAAGCCCACCATAATATGTTTAACAGAAACCTGGCTAAGCCCGTCACTTTTATTCAGTGTTCCAGGCTACACATGCTTCCGTCAAGACAGATCTACACATAAGAACCTGAGATGAAACCTACGTGGCTATGGTGGCATGGCCATTCTCATACGTGATGGGACATTTTCACATTGCACCCGTCGCCATGACCTTGATTCTCCCCAAAGCGAGGCCTTATGGATTGAGCTTGGTGCACCTGCAGGTCTCCGGGCCAATCCGCTACTCATGTGCTGTCATTACTGCCCCCTTCACAATCTCTTCTTGATATCACCTCCTTTTGCGACATACTTACCGACACGCTGTGTTCCTTGGACCTCTCTTTATTTGATATTTTTCTTACCGGTGACTACAATGCCCACAATTCTGACTGGTGGAGTGGTGACACCACATCGCGTGCTGGTACGGAGCTATCACACGTGTTCTCCAGCTTTGGCCTCCAGCAGCTTGTCAATTTTTCCACCCGTGTCGCTCCGAATGGAAGACTGTCCTGTCTGGACTTGCTTGCTACGAACCGCCCCCTCGCTGTACGCTCTGTTGACGATGCTGCCCCGCTTGCTGCATCGGATCATTTGCAAGTCATTACAACGCTAGCCTACAACATTGCCACTGCTAACACCTCTTACAACTGCTCTCAGACTCCTACCCCTCCGCGACATGCCTTCCGCAAGGTTACACCCTCCACTTGGTCAATCATCAACTCTGCACTTTTTTGCCTGTGACTGGCATCTTTTATTCACCTCCACTACTGTTGATGAAGCTGTGGAGAAGTTCACCACAGTTCTTGATGACGTGCTCTCCTTCTATGTGCCACAATACGGAGCAAGACCCGCTACACCCAAACATGGCAGCCACCACCCTCGTCAGTCCAGCCGTAACCCCAAGATCTCTTGGCTCGACAAAGATCTCCAAGGTGCAATTAAACTCAAATACGACTACTACAGCTTAAGTAAGAAGTACTCCACCTATGCTAATATTTCTTTATACAAAAAAAGCGCAATCTGGTGAAGTCATTGTCACGTTCTAAGTATCGAGCATATTTACGTTCGCTCACTACCACCCTATCTCACCCCTCTTCCAGGCCTAACCTGTATACCTTTGCTCGCACTCAAAGGAGAACTAGTACACGTCAAGACATACCTCCGTTATTAGCTTCCAATGGTTCGATGGTGACTGACCCCAAGTCTGTAGCTAATACTCTCAATACGCAATTCACATCAGCTGGTATTCCAGACGACCATTCCTCTCCAATACCACCTCTGCAACGTTCTGCGACTGTGTCTTCTGATCTGCGCTCTGTACATTCCACCACATCATCTGTTCGCAGCTACCTAAAAAGACTAAAAAGCAACAAAAGCCCTGGTCCTGATGCCCTACCAAATGAAGTTCTCAAAGTTCTGGCTCCATCTCTGGCGTACCCACTGTGCCTTATATTCAACCTTTCCTACTCCTCCGGCGTATTTCCTGATCGTTGGAAGATCGCTAAAGGCACGCCCATCTACAAGTGTAAAGGCTCCCGATCACAAGCCTCAAACTATCGTCCAATATCTTTTCTCTGCTCCCTTTCAAAAGTATGTGAAAAGATCTTTTATGACCAGTTGTATTGCCACATTTCACCATGCCTTAGCCCTTCCCAATCTGGCTTTCGCCGCAACGACTCAACCTCTGACCAACTAGCTCGTCTAGTACAAGACATTGCCACCCTTCGTGATGCTCGACACCATATTGCTCTCTGTTTCTTTGACTTGGAAAAGGCTTTTGATACTGTCTGGCATCGTGGCCTCCTTGCCAAGCTACATATTGTCTTTGGTGTGTCTGGCCCTGCTCTGTCCTGGCTGGAGTCCTATCTAAGTAACCGATCACAGCTTGTTTCTGCCCTCTCCATCAACTCTGATCCCCTACCAGTGTCTTCTGGAGTTCCCCAAGGCTCAATACTTGGACCTCTTTTATTCTTAGCATACGTAAATGATTTACCCTCTATAGACCCAGGTGTCTCGTTATTTGCTGATGATACAACCCTACTGTCAGCATCCTCGTCCTCAGCGGCTCTTGTACCTCGAGTGCCGGCTCAGATATGCAGTGTCCTACGCTGGATGCAAACATGGCGACTTAGACCCAACCTGACTAAAACCGAAATAATGTTCCTTCCCCCAATCTCATCCATGTCACTTTTACACCATCCTGATTTCCCAGAACCCATAAAGGTTGTTTCCAACCATAAACACCTGGGAATAATGCTTGATGATCGTCTCTCTTGGTCTTACCATATTGATGCTCTTTGCAGCCGTTCAAGCTCTGCCCTAGGTGTTATACGTCCCCATTGTTTCCATCTTCCTGTCAAATGCAAAATTTTGTTTTACAAACTGTACATCCTGCCTCTTTTTATGTACGCTGCTGTTAGCTGGTGTGGCTTGTCCTGGGTTCTCGCTGAGTGTCTCGAAATTCAACATAGTAAACTTCTTCGTATCCTGTTTAGTCTACCCCCTCTCTACTCTTCTGCTTCCCTGTATGTCCTTGCAAATGCTTGCCCACTGTCAACCCACCGTCAAAAATCAATTTGCACTTTTGCTCACAAATTTAAACTAGCTCTACATCCTCCTCATCTTAGCGTGTATAACTGGTTCCGAACCACAGATGGCTCCCAGACAAGATGCTCTGTTGCCCTCCCCTTGGCTAAAACGTCTTCCCTTGTACACTCTCCACTCTTTGTTGCCTACTCTGCTTGGCTTGCGCTGCCCGCTACTACGCGCAATGCCAGTACCCTGGACGCATTTAAATCTGCTTACTAGATTCACCATCACCTGTCCCTCCCATGCTTCTCCGTCTTGACCATTACTTTTCTTCTTTTATTCACCATGGTTGGTTAACACCCACATCTCCCGTACTGGCTGATTTTCTTTTCATGCCATGAGGTGTTGTCTATAATAATAATAATAATAATAATAATCAACGCAATAAATAGAGTAAGCTGCGCACTCAGTACAAACACCATAAGCAAAACTTGTTTTCATGTAAATAAAGAAGCTTGTTCCTAAACGTTTTCGTCGCCATCTCATCAGAGGATTACTGGCAAATCAACAATAGCTCTTAACTCAATATATATACGCACAATGCAAGTATGGTGTTTGTACTGAGTGCGCAGCTTACTCTATTTATTGCGTTGATTACATTCTTATCTCCACGGAAGCTTTTTAATAATAATAATAATAATAATTTCAGACTTTTCCCGTTTGCCTCTTTCCCTCAAAACCAGTTAATAATAATAATAATAATAATAATAATTCCAGTCAAACGACACTAGAAAAGAAGACTGCCGGTGCATGGGGACCATACCTGTAAGGTTCTCAGACTCTTCAGCGGTCGGCTTAGACAGGTTTCACTGTAATAATAATCATAATGTTGACCTCGAATGTATAGTGCTGTTTGTTGATGACAGTGTTACGTCGAGTGCTTACATCTTGGAAGATCGGGTCCCACATTTCACGCGTCCCAATAGCATCGGATCTACCCACAACGTCACCGGAAGACGACGTGCACATGTACTTCCCTGCCGGATAGCACAGCGCAGAGCAAATAACAGTGTTAGACGAAGGTCACCAGTCACAAGACATAACATCTGCGTTCACTCTTCTGCCACAAAGGAACCCATCCACTATGCCGACAAGGATTGCAAAGTATTATGCTTGTCAGCCGCCTGAACGCAAGTGAAATTGCTGCACAGCGTGACAAACAAATTGGCACATGCTGTACTCTCACTTCATTACGGCTATGGAGTCAACTAATATATCTTCCGAGAGATAGGGAGGGAGGGAGGGAGAGAGAAAGAGAGAGGGATGGAGGGAGGGAGGGAGGGAGAGAGAGAGAGTGTGTGTGTGTGTGTGTGAGAGAGAGAGAGAGAGAGAGAGAGAGAGAGAGAGAGAGAGAGAGAGAGAGAGAGAGAGAGAGAGAGAGAGAGAGAGAGAGAGAGAGAGAGAGAGAGACTATCCTTCGTTCTCCCTTGTACACACATGCATGTGAAAAAGCCAGTGACTCACCATATCCGGATTTGAGCGCCACCTTTTCATCACCAACCGTGTAACCCAGGTACTCCTCGGCCTCATTCGGCGGTCGCTTCTCTGCAGAAGGAAAATGAAGATGGAATGGAAAGACAGTGTCAAGCCCAGGTTTGAACCCAAGAAGATTCGAGAGAATCCAACAGTAACAGTTACTGTTGTCAGCCACCTACCTGATTCACCTGGCACGCCTTCCACAAAGCACCCATCGTCCTGCAAGCAAGCACAGGCCCAGCATACAACCATTACATCACGGGGTAAATAAACAGTACAAGCTATCTACAACACCATAATTATCAAGTCGTTATCACATCCATGCACAGAAATTCCAGGCCCACCCAGCATTGAAACTTGCAGCCAAGATAAAATTAAAACCTCTGGCATCACCAATCACTATCCACCACCAACATGTACATGTTTACTCCATCCTCCACTCTGCTACAGCTGATAGCTGAGATCTTACTAGCCTGGACTGCAACGGGTGGCAGGTTGATTGCATGATGAGCGGTAGGTAGGTCATGCGCCTAGTCCCTAGCAATGTCAGCCATGTCACATGACCAAGGGGAATACCCCATACGACATCATCACAAGGATTGCACATTGTCGTGCTTTTATCTATAGTCATTCAACCAAACCGGCAATGGTGCCTTCTCACAAGGAGACGACTTACCTGAGCTGCTATATAGGCACCCGTGCGACTGACAAGGCACACCGGGCCCTTGACGTCGACCAGGTCACGCACACGCCGCCACGTCTCGTGCAGAACCTCGCCTTCGATGGCATTGTCGGCGGCGGCTGCTTCGTCGTCGCTTTCGTGCTTGCGCTTGTGAGACTTCTTCTTTTTCGGCTTTCTGCGCACGTGCGAAGGAACAGAACACAAACACATATCTGTATTTTAGCTGACGGGAAGGCAAGGCGAGAATACTTGAAAGTACTTAGAAGTAGACTGGTGAAGGCTTTCACGATATTGTTCAAGAGCCTGAAGGGTGCCCTTCTTCTTAGTACTGTAAGTCGACAAATTTTCGGCCCATTCACATTTCGGCCTCTCAGGGCTAAAACACATTTCGGCCGCATTAAATTGTCGGCCTGTACTGCTGCTTCCCGTATAAACTGTCAAACTGGACCTTTCAAAACAAAATTTCGGCCAAATATGACCTGGCTGAAAATAGCTGAAAATATTCATGCGCCGAATATTTGTTGACTTACAGTAATATCACATGAATCGGAAGGTCTGATTAGCGGAACCAAGCTGAGAACAATGCCAGAGACGCTCAGACAAAGGGATTTGAAATCTAATAGCACCGTACACAGCAAAGCGAGTGAATAGTACCGCAAGTCAACAAATATTCAGCGCAAGTTTATTTTTGGCTATTTTCGGCCTGGTCATGTTTGGGCCGAAAATTTGTTGCGGCCGAAATTTTGCTTTGCAAGGTTCAGTGTGACAGTGTATACAGGCGGCAGCAGTGCAATACAAGCCGAAAATTTGATGCTGCCGGAGGATCATTTAGCCCTGGGGGGCAAAATCCATAGACTTACAGTACAGCAACCAGTCTGGACCAGGACTATTCAAGCCCGGCGGAACCGCTCCCGTTGATCAGGCCATGGCCGGACCAACTCTTGGCCACCCACGTGTGTTTATTGCTGAGGAGGTCATGTATACCCATCATAATATTATCATACACAAACTGTATGAAAGACTAGGGTAGAGCCGGACCAATCAAAAACTGCTTCCGCCGGTCCTGAGTCCATCTACTAGTGTCCAATCAACGACTGCACATGCTGCTGGTCCGGTTATCTGCCTAAACCTGGATGTACAACGAGCATGCCGTATGCATGCATGCATGCATGTGGCACGCCCTGTGTGGATAGGGTGAATATGTTCACCTGGCGACCACAACACTGGCTTTCTCGGTCACACGGGAAGCTGCAACGTCGCGTCGCAAGTGAACAGCGTACGCCGCAAGCCGTTCCACACATATCCTACATGCATGTATACTAAACTCTCTCTCTCTGTGTGTGTCTGTCTGTCTCTCTCTGTGTGTCTGTCTCTCTCTGTCTGTCTGTCTCTGTCTGTCTCTCTGTCTATCTCTCTCTCGCTGATTTGCTGCTCTCTGATTAGCTACTGACCGGCTAGTACTCCACTCCGTCAGCAAAGTCACTTCCATTTCAAACTATGCTGCACAATGTCATGTACAAGAGGATCAGGGTGTGCTTACCTATACTCAATTCAATTTGAATTTTTCATTCGAGCAATGGAGAATACCATGGTTATAGACACCATCATAGCCCTACTGATGTTGTCTCCAGCCCATTATGGAATTGTTCCTTATTTTATTGAATTAAATATTTTATTCAATGTTCAATGGCTACATTTGATATGAATGGATGGAACCGAGGGGGTACTGGTATAGCTGTATACTCTAATGAGGTTCTATGGAGACATCTGTACCCGTATTGGAATGCTTCCACAAATCTATGCTGGTATAACTATAAGTGCGAACCAACAGCACCCCGCAGTCTGTTTAGAAAACACTTACTTTTCACCCTTTAGCCATAGCTTCCCTGGTTTCGCCACATATTCAGCCATCCCAGTACCTTAGCAAAAGGATAGTTCCTACTAGATTTGTACCATCAACGCAGTGGTTCTGTGGTTGTAAATAATGAACGCGATTGGAAGTCCAGAACTAACAAACAATACTCTATCCTGAGCCTGCGTTATGGAAGAAAATTGCTTTTGATACATGTACGAAATGAAATCCACGATAACAGGACGATCACGATCGAGTGACGTAATATTTCTGTGCAAAAATGCTGGATGGCGGGAGTTCTGAACAACATCCACGTGAACAGTGAACTATGACCTGGCCAACGAAACCAACTGGATGAATTCGTTGCTGATTGTTTGGGAAACAAAAAATAGGGAGATGTTCCTTTCTTGGGATTTATCATCATGGATGACGAGGACAAAGCTTTGTTGAGCTGGTGGCAGAAGGCAGTCTTCACGTATGATAATACTGAAAATGATCCCACCTCTCGGCTGGAGGCTGCTCGTTTGTTGGCCACAGAGGCGAGACATTTGACGCTAACTTCAGGGTGCGTCTAGAGAATTTTGTTTTGATTGTGAGCAAGCAACCACACGCGCATATGGATCTGAAAATAAGTGAGCATGTTATGTGCTGTGTTCCATGATGTTAGGTCGGAAACCTGCCCATCCACCGTGTCCTGTGGTCGACATGATCGAGCCTATAGTGACCTGGCTGATAAACAACCACTGAAAGGTAGCAACAGATGTGATTATCTGAATTGTTTTTCAGCTTGTTGCAATTGTCTAGAGCTTATATCAGTTTACTGTACAGTCAGTGCAATTTGCAGATTTTAACTGCATGACTGTACAGTACTAGGTCTGGTATACATGTGCTTGTAGTTGATGCTCCAGTCTCTCCGGAGGCGTCCCGGGGTTCGAATCCCACCGCTGCCACCAGTGTTAGCTGCTCCCGGCTAATGATGCCCCCTCACACCGGAACACAGGGGTTTTATATGATTGGATAATTTATAGAAGTATTCGATAAGAGTGTAGACAGAAGGAGAACAGGACAACGACAACTCAAGACTAGACTAGAACAGAACAGAACCTGGAGCATGCGCTCTTCTATGTGAGTGGCTCATTGCCAAGGGGAACGAGCGGGAAATACGAATAGTGAGTATTCAGGTCGTAGCATACATACACCTATTACAATGCCAATAATACCTAGTGTCTGCTCCAGAGGCGGGTCAGCGACCCAGTTGGGGGTACTTGGACCGGTTTGGAAAAAGAGCACCGAGTCACCTGTGACCCGGTTGGGAATGCAATATACATCAGGGAGCCCTAACATCTTTACAACTCCCTGATCATAGGCTGATGCACATGTACAATGCACATGCAGTAGCCGCACTTGAACAGACCCGGCTCTGACCCGGTTGCAATGGTTGTGCCAGGTACATGTGTGCCCGGTTGGTTTGAAATCCTAGAGCAGACACTGAATTACTATAAGAGGAAACGCGTATAGTCGTGCACTGTGAATAGGGAAACCTTTGTGATCTGGAAATGCTCACGATTTTCGCGATGGGTGTGAAATCACCAAAACGTTGTAAATCGGCACAAAGCATAGAACAACAGTCAATTTTTTCTTCAGACTTTTCCCGTTTGTCTCTTTCCCTCAAACCAGTTAAAGGGGAAGTTAAGGCAAAAATTAAAATTTCACCAGTTGTAGTCTTCGGGGTGCTGAGTCGAATGGTCTTGGTCCGAGAAAGCTGAGACGCTCCCTTCCTACTTGAATCCCAATCGAACTCGCGCACTTCCACCGAAACTGGGTGACTGCGCCCTACTAGATGGGGATTTGTATGCAAAATGTCACTAAAAGGGCCATTTCGTTCTTATAAAAGCACGGATCACCGCGATTGGCCCATATGTTATAGTCTTTTGGTCGCTGAGTCGACTGGTTTTGGTCCGAAAAGACTGCGATGCAGCGTTCGCCCCTAATTCCCAATCGAACATGGTAGAACAAGCGGTCACGTGCTCCTGCGTACACCAGTCACCTGGTCACCGTGCCTGCAGGGTACAACTTACAGCCTGTTTTGACCTTTTTTGGGTGCAGTCCTGTCACTCGAGTTGAACCTTGGTGTGAAAGTTGTCGCCTGCTGGCGTGGTGACCAGGTGATTTTGGCACCCAGGAGCACGTGACCGCTTCTTCAACCATGTTCGATTGGGAATAAAGGAGGAACGCTGCATCGCAGCCTTTTCGGACCAAAACCAGTCGACTCAGCGTCCAAAAGACTACAACATATGGGCCAATCGCGGTCATCCGTGCTTTTATAAGAACGAAATGGCGCTTTTAGTGACATTTTGCATACAAATCCCCATCTAGTAGGGCGCAGTCACCCAGTTTCGGTGGAAGTGCGCGAGTTCGATTGGGATTCAAGTAGGAAGGGAGCGTCTCAGCTTTCTCGGACCAAGACCATTCGACTCAGCACCCCGAAGACTACAACTGGTGAAATTTTAATTTTTGCCTTAACTTCCCCTTTAATAAAGCATAGAACGGTTAAAAATAACTAATGAAATAATCCTTTTTCCCATTTCGACACCCTCAACTAATGAAATTGACTCCAATGGAAAGTTTTCAAATTGGTCTGTGCTCACAAATCATGAACTAAACCCGGCGCAAAGCGTTTCCCAACTTACAGTATGCGCAAGTCTCTCACACTTGGCTGCGCACTCTAGTAGACAGTATAAGGTTGGCGGCTATAGTAATATAGTGGCTATAGTGATCAACTTCTCAAATTCATTTTCATTTGCCATAACTAAGTATACACAGTTATCGTGTATAGTAATAATCGTCTATAGTAATATATCGCCTATAGTGATCAAATTCAATTTTCAACAGACCTCTACAGTCAGACCTCGCATAACCGCACACATCCGTTTTCCAGAAAAATATCCGGATAGGCAAGGGAACCGGATAATGGAACACACATACTGTATGTATGCATGACATGTGCTGTAAATCGGTAACCAACGATTTTCTACCGGATGGCGAGGGATCCGGATAAACGAGGTCTGACTGTACTACATTATTTTTGCATCGGCTAAAGTAATTGATGTGGAATCAAGTGGTGTCAGAGGCGAACAGGAAGTTACTTCTTTGTGAACATTAAATGTTTGTTCAGTGTTGTTTCGTGAGTTCTACCTATAGTATTAGTTGTCCAAAATACCTCCATCGTGAGGATATGCTGACGATGTGTGTCAGGAGCCTTGGCTGCATAGGCATGATAGGGTGCATTTCTCAAAGTCGGAGTACACAGGACGTACACGTAGGCTGCAACCAACTATGCAGTGTGTACAGGTATGTGCACAGCGCGCTGAGTCTTTTGATACCCCACTCACATACAGTACATGCAGTATCGGTAATAGTAATATATCGCTTATAGTGATAAAATGCTCAAAATCAAACACCAACGCTATAGGCGATACTGACTGTACTAGTAGTAGTATTTATTATTTTACTTGGGTGTACCCAACAGGCCTATGGCCTTCTTACAGGGTGCCCAAGGAGAAATTGTGAGCAGCTAGCGCGAAAAGCAGGCAAGGTACGATGGACTCTACTAGCATTGCTGAGAAAATCCAGAGGTAAAAAGCTTCGAATTCTATGTCTGTGCCACAATATCAAGCAATCTATGACTGCCGCATGTGTGTTCTTATATTTGTGCTGTGTCTAGTTCCCAATCAGAAATGGTCATCGTCGCTGAATGTGGAGCGCGCTGCCCGGACCCCAGCACTGCTTAGACTGCGGGTAAGAGCCAGGAGTACCAGTACCCAGGGGTGTCACTCGCACATGTCTGGTACGGTGACCATGTACCCGAGCACATCTGTGGAGTGGTGACCATCTACCAGAGCACATCTGTGATGTGGTGACCATCTACCAGAGCACATCTGTGACATGGTGACCATGTACCAGAGCACATCTGTGATGTGGTGACCATGTACCAGAGCACGTCTGTGATGTGGCGACCGTGACGGACCACCGGCAACCTCATGGCCGCCATTTTGCCTATTTTGCCAATAGAGTACCTACATACATGACGGCTATTTGCTGGTGTGGTGACCGGACGACACTGACTATACACTAGCTATGCACCTGGGTACCGGTAGCTATGATGCCATACTTCGACTTCTGTGTGACCATGTGTATGCAGTGTATGTGTGTGGCAGCATGACCGCGTAGAGCCTCCTCAAGAATTATCACTGCAGTAAGACCCGAGAACCACAAAATCCAGCACCGAAGGGTGTCACTTCCGCTAATGTGACCCTGGATCGGGGCACTACCTGTACACGGGGACTACATTTTGAGGTGCACTGAGTGGTCGGCTTCGGTCAGGTTTCACTGTATTATTAGTGGTGTGTGTGTGTACGCGTATGTGTGCGTGCGTGTGTGTGTGTGCGCGTGCGTGTGTGCGCGTATGTGTGTGTGCGTGTCCGTAGAAATTTTGTAGAGTTGCAAGTCGCAGGCTTTGAAGTTGGAGTGGAGAAACAGTACCGGCATTCTGTCCCTTGCTGTGACCGTGTTTTCCTGCTGTTTTTAAAACTCACTTCTGCCTTCAATGGTATAGTGTTTGACACTTCTCAACCTCGGGTGCAGTATTAACCCGTGCCTTGCTTCAATCCTTGAAGGGTGGTGGCGTTCCTACGGATGCGGAAAACTCGGTTTCCAGCCAAGTCTCACGCAAACCGTGAATTTTTTTGCTTCAATCTCCGGATATTTGTGTGTGTGTGTGTGTTTGCAGGAAGCTAAAGCCCTGCCTCGGCTTACCGTACCTCCACAGTTTGGCAAGAAGCCAGGTATGACGTGTGTTGAATGCCCTAGTGTTGATCTCATGTGTTCTTGTGTACTGGCCACAATCTCTGTCAAATTGAAAGTGTATTACGATTACAGTCAACTTTGCGTATAACGACACTCGGCCGGGCATCAGAAAAGTGTCCTTATTCGCGAAGTGTCGTTATATCCGAAGTCTCATTATATGTATACAGGTAGAATGGACTTTGCTCTGCGCATGAAAATTCTGTCGTTCTTCGCGAATTGTCGTTATATCCGCAGTCATTATTAGCGAAGTTGACTGTATAATTATGATGAATCGATGGTGGGTGCTTTTCAAACCCGTGCTGCTTGATGCAAGCCCTTGTATATGAATCGTGCCACCTCGCTTTGCATCATGATCTTTCTTCTTCCTCTGTGCTTTTGCTGTTTGAAGCTGTGGACGACACTGTCAGCGCGGAAGAGTTGCGGCCGTCCTATTCGAAGCACCGCGCGTACCCCAGAGCTGGACAGCATGCGGCTGCCACTGGCCCAGAGAGCGGCATCGGCGGAGGTGGTACTGGTGATTATGATGCGCGTGATCTGAACAAGCCCAATACCAATGGGTTGGTAAGTTCATCCAGTTTACGGTCTGCCTTTGCCTTTGGGCAATTTTTTTAAATGCACTCATATTCTCTGATAAATTAAAAAAGTGATAATGCAATCCTGGGTGAAATTTTGAAACCTCTTCTGCTGTGGCTCAGACGCCTCCTAGCATGTGTAGCTTGAGAAGGTCGTGTGCACGCCAACTTCCTGTCTGTCATAGATATGCGAGCATCTCTACCTGAGAGGAAATTTTGTTTCGTCGTGTGTTGCAGCAGTCAGCGCGTATGTCGTGTGCTGCCCCCCCCCCCTACATCCCTGCTGTCTTTGCTGGTACTAGATGAGCTGAGATTAATTAGCTGAATACTGTATTAACATGTAATTTTAGGTGTACATGTATTCAATTTCGGTTGACATAGAATTTGGTGACCAGTGTTCCCTTCACATACAGTGCGTACTCCAGTGCCTTTGCCGAAATTACTGAAATTTTAAAAGGTTAAATCAAAGGTAAGGTAAATAACATAATATACAGTAGGCTTCCCTGGAATAGGAGATGTTAGACGTCGCCGTCATCTGGTGAAAATGTTGGCACTTGGGAAGTAGAATTGACTGTGACTACGGCACGCCTGGTGAGACAGTTCCCTGGCGTCGAGGAGCGGATGTTTGCGCAGCGATATCGACTGAACAGCCAGCGTTCCGAAATATGCTCACAAGCCTTGGACATCAACGTCTGGCCGACCTCATTTGCCACACCAGCAACACGACTCCTGTTGTGGGTACATCGATTTACATGTACGTAAATTCCTCCATTCAGCAGCCCCTCTTGAATAGAGGCCTCCTCAAAATCGGCATTGAAAAAATAGAATCTCCTGGCTTCTAAATTCTAATCAAGTGAATATGGCACATCTCTGTTGCTACTGCTTTCGCTTTCCAAGCTCTTTTGAGCTATCTCCGTGCCTGTCTTTTGTTTTTCAGTTTTCTTCACACGGATCATCATCAGCATTTCCTGGCAAGAGAAAACCGCCGTATCAGTCAGTAGGCGGGGGACCTGCCGGTCTTGACTCTGGTTAGTTTGGTGATTGCAATGCCCTTGCTGCATGCATGACAGGCCCGTGTATGTTGACATAATGTTGAACAAACCAAATTTTCACACAACTTGCTGTTGTTCGGGGAACGCTTACCATTCCCGAAAGTGAGTGTGGCCTAGTGCATGTATTGTTCAAGAGCAACGCAATCCAACTTGCACACGATACGCTGTTATAGATCCGTTCCTGCTACCTAGTCGCAAAGCATCCAAGTGATGTACCATGAGCCTGGGTGGTATCATAATTGTGATGTTTTATTTTACCACTGCTGATGCACTATTGTAGAATGCTAGCGACTGTTGCATATCAACCCACCATCGATTGTCTAAAACAAGTTCATTGCTAGTATTCTTAACCGCAATCAATAAGACGAGCTGAACCGACATTGTGTACTTTATTCTTGCTGAACAAATGATTGTCTGTGTCTTACAAGAACGCCTGTTCTCTTCCCGGCTTCTTCAGAAGGCCCAGGCTACAATCAACGTCCACCTGGACATCGCCCAGACCCCCAGCAGGCCGAGCACCGTACATCAAGGCAGCATGCCGGGATGGATGCGGCGAATAATGGCAACGGCCAGGGTGCGTACTCTCGGCACGGAGGTGCACGCAGTACGCCCAGCACTGCTGGCCGAGCTCCGCCACCGCAGGACGTCGACGACTCCAACCCCTTCATCACCGCTCACGATCAACTGGTATGGTCTCGTGTGTATGTGTGTGTGCATGTGGCTGGCTGGCTGGCTGGCTGGCTGTCAATCTGTCTGTCTGGCTGGCTGTCGGTTGGCCTGTCGCATATTGATCTGCCAAAAGCACTGCTTCTATCTCTTCTCTCTCTCTCTCTCTCTCTCTCTCTCTCTCTCTCTCTCTCTCTCTCTCTCTCTCTCTCTCTGATTCCTATGCAACGTTGCAGCTAGCTGGTGTTATTTATTTCCTCCATTTCCATAGGTTATTGATCAAAACAACAAGAAGAATGGTGGATATGCATACGGCAGTAACAAGAGAAGTCTTGGGACAACCAGGTAAGCAGCCCACATACTTCATACAGTGGGATGCCCCCCCCCCCCCCCCGCCTGGGTTGAACTCACAGTTAGAAATTACATCGTACTTTCTTGGACATGTGAACATCGCATTTGAGGATAAATCAAGGGCATTCTTTTGACTTTACACCCATTGTTGGTTAAGCAGGAAAAACAAACATTCTCTTCTTCTAAGCTCTTGGATGTCTTAGCTTCTTTTGTGTTCATGTACATGTACATACCGGTCCGCCTTTTGCTACATACCGTAATGTCGCGTATAAAAGCAGGTGCTTACGGCCGTATAAGCCGGGTTCAAACCGTGCTTCTATTCGAGGTTTGCTTCTATTCTATTCTACGTCAATATCATCAGGCCACACTGTGCAGTGCATACTGCCACGCATGTTCTTGCACATGTACTTTGCAGAGAGCGGCTTCTATTCAAATCGTGCGTCTGTGTCACGAAACCCTTTGCAAAATTAGCTTCTATTCGAGTCATGTTTCTATACAGGTAATGCTTTTATACGCGACACTACAGTATGCAGTGTTCTCAGAGGCAATGCTGGTTTTCATCACTATCACATCTCTCAGAACTGTGCACTGTTCTCCTGTGTGTGCGTGTGTGCGTGTGTTTTTCTGTGTATGTTTCTGTGTGTGCGTGTGCTGCTGCTGCTGTTGCTGTACTTGTTTTGGTGGTCAAAGGCGACCTGGTCCAGGAACGAAGTTTGTCCCGCCAGTTGCGCCGGCCGATGATGGTGGCGCGACGGCTCGGAAGAAGTAAGTGTTCACGTTTGAGTGTGCACCTTTGCTGCTGGAACTAACTTTCCTATTTCCTGTATAGCTGTCTACGCAGTGCCAAGTGACCTCACATCCCCGCATCCTGCCTGCCTGAGAACGATTCCTGTGGACAGTTACGGTACACAAACTCCGGATAGTAGCTACTGTAAAACGGCTAATTTTAGTGCCGGTGACATTTTAAGAAGAGGTTGGTGCGACTTCGGCGATACTTGGGGAATTGTGCGTTGCTCCCTACATGGGAGCTCGCGGTTTTCCTGCCGACTTGAATTCTCACGTTACTGCCTCACGACTGCCGTCCAGAGCACACGAGCACACTGCATCGGGCAGGTCACACGGACGCATGTTCTTCAGTACAGGAGTACTGCCGGGTGCCAAAGAATTGGGGGTTGAGAGTCGTAGCCTGGACTGGTCTTACCTTTCGTGCAGAACTCTCTACACTGAGTTGAGCCACCGTGTACAGAAGGGTATCCTGCGCCTGGTAAACTTACCATTACTTCCATCCTGTTCATTCTTCGGTGCCCGAAAGTACTGTGTACACATTGTGTACTTCCCTTTGTTTGTGTTTAGATCTTCAGGTGCGTCTTCTGCTGCTGGGAACGACTCTAAGTCCGCCGCCGAGGAGCTCAGCAAGGACGAGCGACTCAGCGGTCTCGAACCACGGATGATTGAACTTATCATGAATGAGGTACTTGTGGAAATACGAATAGCAAACAATTAAAAAAGCCAACAGAATCCGTGCGCACTGTGTCGCGTCTCTGCACTTCCTGTACCCATGTACTGTACATTCAAGTGGAATTTCTGTGTATCGTACGTAGTCTATACTGAGTTTGTTAAAGATCGACTTTTTATTTCAAGGATTCTCCGTAGGAAATGGATGCCTATCAAAGGGAGTCTCCTGAAGAATTTCTTAGAGGGCATTCGTTTTTGTGTACAGGTTTTGGTGGAAACTACTTTTTTCGGTAGAGGCATTCCCATTTTTTCTACTCAAGAGAGCAGATTCTACCTTTCTCTACCGGCTTTACCAGGTTTGAAGCCGGTAGAGGTCGTAGAAGTTGGTAGAGGTACAGGATTTCCAGCAAGATCAAGGAGTCGTATACAACTCCATACAGAAGAGAAACAGTTCACGTACATAGCGTGAAAATTACTAAATCCGGTAGGGCAGCATTTGTGCACTTACCCTCTACCTTCTACCTCTGTAGGTTGAATGACTCTACTCTACCAGGCAGCTAAAACTGAACGCAGCCTATGTACAGCACATTGGCACATAGTGCTGTGTGAAAGAGCCGTGCAGTAGCACTGTATGAGTTTAGGTGTTTCGTTGACATGTTTTCTTTCTGGTCTGTTCTGTTCCCATCCAGATCATGGATCACGGTCCTCCTATCACCTGGAATGACATTGCCGGTTTGGAGTTTGCCAAGAAAACCATTCAAGAGATCGTCGTGTGGCCCATGCTAAGACCGTAAGCAGTGCATGGGATTATTTTCGTTTTTCTCATTCTGTGTGCGCTGTGACTTGCTATGATACTACTCTCCTTATCACTTGTGTGGTCACACTGCTGCTCTCCTACCAAGCTCATCTGCAAGGCATAGGAAATGTTCACTAGTTTGAAATCGACGGTGGTACATGTATTGGCATTGTACCTTTTCCTTACATTCATGGCTTTGTCTAGGCTTGTGTTAGCAGTGCAAATGAGTTTTCGGGCTATCCGAATACCGTGCTCTGCTGTGTGGAACTAGCACCTTTTTCTCATATGCTTTGTAATGAAGGTGCACCGTGAATTCAGTTTGTTTGTGCGTCTTATTTTTTGCAGGGACATCTTCACCGGGCTGAGAGGGCCACCCAAGGGGATGCTGTTGTTTGGCCCACCCGGGACTGGAAAGACTCTCATCGGTACGTCCACAGTGAACATTTATCAATTTGATTGAGTTCCTTTTGCTCTCAAATTTGTTTGTGGCACATCAGCTGCATGCAATAATGAATATAATAAAATCCTGTGGAGACAGCTTTACCAGTCAACAAGGTACATGCTTCATCACAGCGAATATCGGTCTGTGCTGTCTGTGGCGCATAAGATAATATTGCTTCTGGTCTATTGTCTATTGTTGTCGGCGTGTGATCGCTATTCTGGTGCTTTTGATGAGTGTCTTTGTTAACTGTGATGGTGCATATCATTGTCCTGCCGTCTAGTGACTGCCTGTGCACCTTGTAGTTCTGTGCTTCTCTTGGTTGTTGTTCTAGCCGGCGCACAACAACTGTACGTGCATGGTTGTGGTGTGTGCTTGTACAGGCAAATGCATAGCTAGCCAAGCGGGGGCAACGTTCTTCAGCATCAGCGCGTCATCTCTGACATCGAAATGGGTGAGTCCAGTTTTGGCCACTGATTAGAAAGTTAGTAGGAACATATTCTTACAAGTATTCATTTTAACTGTATGCACTAGACGGGAAAGAACGAAAAGAGATGGCATGCAACAAAAAACCTGGTGCCTTGGGCCAGCTTGGATTTGAGCAATGAAAATTTGTCAAACCCTGCTTGAAATGTAGCCTGCCCGCTCGTTCCGTTGACGTCTCAACGAGTTGCTGCTTTGCACAACCCCTCTAATGTACTGAGCAATGTTCTTTAGCAATGTGTTACATGTACTACCTCTGGTGTAAGGCATAACGGTGAAACCTGTCAAAGCTGGCCGCTGAACACGAATGTGGCTCCCGTGTAGAGGTACATGTCCAAATATTACACAGCAATGAATCAAGCAAGTGTCTTTCCGCTGTTACTCCGAATTTCGTGTGAAAACACTTCATCAGACAGCATATGACCAAGACTAACAATCACTAGAATATATACGGAGGGTCTTGAGAGAAGAGGGCAGAGGTGATGGAGGTACATTTCAATAGCGCGGGGAAAAGGGGTGACAAAATCAGAGTGATTGTATTAGAGGTACATGTAGGTGGTCTTCTGATCCAGGATCATATCAGTTGACTGTTAAAAAAATATCCCTTGGTCTTGGTTGTAGTGCTGGGGTAGGTAGCGGCCTGCCCTATCAGAATGGTCACCTTGGCACAGGTTTCACTGTAACCTTGTTAGGGGCCGTCCGTAAATATCGATGTTTATTTAGAAATGAAAACTAGTCGTTTGGGGGGGGGGGGGGGGGGTTGAGCGCCTGTTCGTTTCTCGAAAAATATCGATGAACATTTTGCATGTATGAGCATGTCCAGAAAAAGAAAAACATCAAAAATATCGACACTATGTACCATTTGTATGTGTTCGTTTCTCAAGGAGGGGGGGGGGGGGGGAGGGGGGTTGAAGAGAAACGACTAGTTTTCGTTTCTAAATAAATATCGATATTTACAGAAGGCCCCTTACTTGTCGTTTGTTCATGCAGGTTGGTGAAGGTGAAAAGATGGTGCGAGCCCTGTTCGGCGTGGCACGGTGCCATCAGCCGGCGGTCATCTTTATCGACGAAATCGACTCACTTCTTTCACTGCGCTCCGATTCGGAGCATGAATCGTCGCGACGTATAAAAACCGAATTCCTCGTTCAGCTGGTGAGTATACTTGTTACTGAGTTGTAAGACATGGTTTCTTGTCCTTTGTATTGACTTGTTTGGCCTAGCATGTTTCTTGATGGTGCTGCTGTTGCTGCTGCTCCTGCCCCTGCTGTCGTCGTGTACCGGTGCATTCCCGTTGACGCAATGCTGTTGCTGTTTCTGCTGCGACTGTTTGAAATTTTCGTTTTGATGAGCGCATGGCATGTGATTGTGTTGGGTGTCATAGGATGGTGCAACAACGATATCAGAAGACCGTCTGCTGGTTGTCGGTGAGTGCGTCCACTGTAATACCTGCTGTCTACATGTTTACACGAACCAAATGAAAAGAGAAGAAAATGAAAAGACCGCAGTAAACAAAGCATCTCTTTGAGTGTCACTTTTGTATATTCCGATTTAGGCCCTTACCCTGTGCTGTGACTACTCTGGTACTGTGTTGATTGTGCAGGGGAGCGTTTTCAGAGCTACGGCCAGGTGCATAGGTTGGGATATGAAAAGACATTTTGAACAGTATGTGTGCTATTGGCTATTGGGATTGTAAGGCGAGACCAAAATAAAATCGAGATTCCCGGGCAGGACCCATGTGAAATTGGTGCGGGCGGGCGAATTTTTATTTTATTATTTTTTTCCAATGTATGTATGCATGCCATACTGAACTTTTTTTACAGTATTTTCCGGTAAATTTTATTCAATTTTTTTACAGAAAACAGGTACGCGGTTTACCCGTTCGATTATTTTTCTGTATTTCGGCCAACAATTGCCCTGATCTGTACATCGGGGAGTCGTACAAGCCCGGGTTTGTGTGACTCCACATCACAGATCTACTCACATGATCAGTACTGTACATGTATGAACTGCTCAAAAAACAAAAAAAATTGGCTTTGGCTCGATTTTGGTGCGGGAGGGCCCGGGAATCTCTATTTTTTTTTGGTCTCGCCTAATGAACTTGTTTTGCTGAAAATGGTTCTGGACCTTTCCTGGCACCATTATTAATGGTGTGTTCTCTTGTGTGTTCTTGTATGTGTGGGTATGTGGCCGTGTGTGTGTATGTGGGCGTGTGCATGTGTTTCTCTCTTGTGCTCAGGAGCGACTAACCGGTGAGGCCATTCTCTTCGACAGGTTGCTTTGTTGCCTCTGGCATTTCTTATTAGAAACTTCCCAGTTTCCGGTGCCTGGCATGGGTTTTGCCCGGGAAGCATATGTGCAGATGGTGTGTTCAACACTGCTTCTTTTAAAAACCTTCAGACACCGGGCCCTGAATCATTGTTATTTTTTATTCGTGTGATGTGTCTGAAGCCATAGCACTGCAACTGGTCCTTTGTCTTAGTCATAGTTGTGATGGCTGCGTTTTGTCTGGCTTTATCAACTCGGTAAGAAATTTATTGACATTACGCAACTGCAATATAGAAAGAAGGGGGGGCTGTCAACTGACAGCTGCTCTATTCAGTTGCTGTTCACTCTGATCTGCGCTGAATCCAGGCGAAACCTTCAGGAGGCCTCGAATCCGTGTATCCATGTGATGTGTCTGAAGCCATAGGGCTGCCAATGGTCCTCAGACTCCTCACTCCTTTGCCAGTCATAGTCCTGATGGGTATGTTTTGTCTGGCTTTTTCAACCCCCAGGCCTCAAGAAATCGACGAGGCTGCACGCCGTCGCCTTGTCAAACGTCTGTACATTCCACTGCCGGACTGCGGTGCTCGTCAGCAGATTGTCCTGCGTCTGCTCAGCAAGCAGATGAATAGCGTCACGGACGACGAAGCTTCCATCATTGCCGAGCTGACCGACGGTGAGCCAAGAGTGACGTAATTGCCGTACTCGCTTCAGCTGATTTCTTTTAGTTGTAGCCAGCCGCCTCGTACAAACTTTGAATGAGTTATTGTGGAAGCTTGGGATATTTTGATATCACTGCTAGGCTTCTTCGTTGCTTTTAATAAGTTCATCTTATCCAGTATTGAGTTTTGACTTCTGGAAGCCAATCTGCTCGGCAAGCTCACTCAAAGCCCGTTACTGTCTGTCGTGTCTTGCTTCACAGGGTACTCTGGTGCCGACATGACCGAGCTGTGCCGCGAAGCTGCGCTAGGCCCCATCCGGAGCATTCGCGTCGACGACATCCAGTGCATCTCTGCCGACCAGGTGAGAGCCAATGCACTGCTCAGTGAAACCTGTCCAAGACGGCTGCTCAAGGGACCTTCAAAATGTGGTCTCTGTAACCAGGTGGTCTCCTTATACAGGGTCATTTGACTGGAAATAGCACTGCTTGGTCCCGGTTGCAATGGTCTTCTGGGACAGGTGGTCGCCTTTTCCGAGTGGTCCCCTTGACAGGGTTTACTGTGTCTGTACTTTGGTGGGTATTCTTTCAGCATCGCCATATGACCTGCACTGTACCCGCGATGCCAGTGTTGAGTAACCACCTATGGTTGCACAGAGAGCCTGTCATTCTACACAGGTCTAAAATGTACGCTCATAACTCTCTTATCTGGGTGGCCCCCAGGACCCGGCACTGCCCATAACTTTGAAAGGTCTGTTACTCTGAATCACTTACGTTTCAATGGGGGAAGGGACAGAGGTCTGGCATATGACATCACTATATCCACAAAAATCGGCAACAGAGTAGTAATATTTCTGCTAAAACTCACCCACAGGGTGCCCGGTAGACCGAGGTGCCCGTAAATTTGGGGTCCGGATACGAGAGGTATTCGTGTCCACGTATGTTGAAGCATGTGCACGTTTGAAATGAACGGTCGGTGAACACAAGTGGTGTCTCCTATATGTAGGACTCAGTATAGAGTCCATGCACTATATGATGTCCAGCACCCTATATAGAGTCCATTGGTCCAAAATCCACTATACAGAGTCCAGGAGTCCACTCAGTTTTGATCAGCTTCATCCTGCCGCGCAATCCCCCATAAGGAGCACACTTTTTCTACAAGTCCCCTATTCACAGTCCAGGAGTCCAGTTTATCCAGTCACGCCGTCCTGTGTGTTGTGCCCGAAAGAGAACGAACACATTTTCAGTTTTGCTTGCCTCGTGGCAGCGCATTCCTTTCTCCACTTTAGCCATGGCTCCCAGTTCTGCTGTGCAGTTGCTGACAGTAATCTGTCTCGAGGTAACCAAGGAGGATAAGGAGACGTTCAAAATCAAATCTGGAAAGCGTCTTGTGGTTCTCTGAAGACGTTTCATCAGTGCGCGGGATGAAAGCAGAAATTGCAGAACAAGAAAAGTTCAGCACAGTTCAAATCTGACGAGTCAGGTACACTGACACTCTCTTTCGTTCGACGCCACAAGGATCCCCTGTTTGGCTGGCCATTGCTGCCAGTAAGACGTTTGAACGGTTTCATCAGAGCGAGGGATGAAAGCAGAAAGCGGAGAAAGAGAAAAGTTCAGCACAGTTCCAATCTGACGAGTCAGATACACTGACACTCTCTTTCGTTCGACGCCACAAGGATACCCCTGTTTGACTGGACAAGAGCTGCCTGTACCACCGTGTCAAAAGGCTGTCCAACTACATGACAGGACGATGACTGAGGTAAGGAAGCTTTTACTCGTTTCGATTGGTCTGCTGTTCTGTCGTTATGCTTGAATTTGTTTCCATTTTCAAGGAGCGTATCGTGTTTGTTTGATGTTGCTTGAATGAATGCCCTAAAAGTAATCAACCACTTCGTAATAGTCCTCAAGGACTGCAAGGACTTTGCATCAATCGTATACGATCGTCTAGCTATCATCAATAATTATTATTATAATTATTTCATGAGAAATGTATTTTTATCCCTGTGAAAATTATGTGAAACTCCACGACACTCTTCCTCTACAAATTCAGGGCTCACAGTCCAATACAAAAGCGTGGAGTCGCGCACGGCTTTGCGCGGATGTCACGTGATGACAACTGACCAATCACAGGCCTCTATTCTCCTCTATTCTCAAATCTTTGATCTTGTCCACTACATCGGCCCTGATGTCCACGAAGCTGGGATTCGCTGTGCTGATTCAAAACCCCCAAACTCAGTGATCTACCGCAGCGTTTCACCATTTTCCCTCCAGTTTTCCGGCACGGATTAGCCAAAGTCTGGTCGTTTTGGCTTCGATTTCGGCACAGCAAACGGAAAAGTGATCGGTAAATGTCTGGAGAATTCCACGCTGAAAAAAATAAGCCATAGATGATCAAAATCCGCCAAGAATGAGATGTAGTGGACATTTTTGAGTGAGTGCCACTCAGCGCGCAGAACGCCAAAAGTGCAAAAGCAGCACCAGATCAAACAACAAGAAAAACGCATGCATGCAGCGGAACAGCAACGCGCGCCGTCCAACAGAAAATCATTGCGCACAGATTTTTCAGTGTTCTCTCCTCAGTTCGCCCGCGGAGTTGGTTGCTGTGCTTTCGTTCTCGCTGGAGTTCTTGTGGCAGCGCATTTCGCCATCATGGAGGAACTGGTACCTCTGGAAACCTGGCCTTTAGTGGCCCTCAACTAACGCCTGGCGGATTTGCTGGTCCCGTTCGCCTCCATCCGATCAGCAGCTCCGTGTTGTATGTTCTCGGCGTTACCTGCCTGGCGAGCTCTGACTCGTTTGTTTGTCTTCTTACCTGTGGAATATCGCGATCGCTCATTGTAGCATCAGCATTTGGTCGAACAGCGGCTACATGACATGAATTTCCTGGGACTAGCACAGGTTGCCTTTCGCCTTCTCCTTCGGTGGACCAATTCTACAAGGCACAGTGAAAGGCAAGTCGTTGCCGAGGGCTGGCAGTAACTGTTCAGTGTTGCAGTGCAATTCCCAGTGAAAATAATAAAGCAAACTATTTCCACTGGAGTATGCACGATCGTAAAAGCACAAGATCGAGACGAACGGAAACGAGAATGGTTTGACACTGCATGCCAAGAGAAGCGAGGAAAGGACAGGTCCGACCAAAATATCGCGAACATCGGCTCTATAGATCTACAAGACAAGAACAGGCTACTCAAGCCCAGGTTCTTTCTCTTTACTTCTTTGTTCTGTTGGGATGCGTAGGATGTACACGATCTGTGCTCTCGTGGGGTCACGCGACTCACGTGCACCAAACCCGCCCTCGCACGACGCTTTTGTCGATCCTGCATACCGACTGTGAGCCCTGAAATTATAGTATGATGTCAAATACAATGGGATCCACAAACGCAGTGCCAGTGTTCTAGTAGTAGTAGGAGGATTGCTTGTATGCCAATGACAAGAAAAAGCTTCAAGCTAATACTCGTATTCCCTGAAGTAACCGTTTTGATGTCACGAACATGACATTGTGTCAGTGAAACTGCCTCGTGACAACAAATCATTGCATTTCCATCTTGGGGAAGACTGACTGACGGCAACGCTTTACAGATTGTTCAAATCATCTCATTTCAATTTAGTTGCAGTGAAACACTGTGTACACTACATGTATGTTGGTGTGTCTGTGCGTCTTGAGTGTGCACAAACGATCTTATTCCTCGTATTACTAATAGATTATTGTCCCCACCCTCACCTGTTCACAGGTCTTTGAGTGGATTGATTTTCATTGAGCATCACATTCGTTGAGAACTTGGTAGTTGTGTGCTCCCATGCATCATTACGTTAATAAGCGTATCCTTGTGCTATATATTTGTTGCAGGTGTGCTGATCTTCAGAAGCTTGCGGAACTGAATGCTGCTGAACATTTGCATGGCCATGAGCAATGGTGAAGCTTGCTATTGCACTCTCAGCATGTGCTAGTATTATGCTGACCACTGCACTATGTTACTCTCTTACCTTACTATGTGTATGTAAACGTGCGTGTACCCGTCCCCGTATGCATTCGTTTCGTATAATTATTTGTTATCCCTCTTGACTTTACGTGTAAATGGGTGGACGTTTGCATGGCTGTTGGAGTTGCGTGTGTATTGTGTCTCTACTCTTTTATTGGTGTTTTCTTGGCGTTCTATAAGTTTGTGTGTGTGTGTGTGTGTGTGTGTGTGTGTGTGTGTGTGTGTGTGTGTGTGTGTGTGTGTGTGTGCGCAATAGTTTGAAAACAAATAATTGATCCTGGGCTCTCCATTATTCTCTTTCGATTCTTGTTTTTTTCTAGGTATTTTCTTGGCGTTGTGTGGGTGTGTACATGTGTGTGTGTGCGTGCACAATAATTTGGCAAAACTGCATGATTGAGATATTGTAATTTGCAGCGTCTGCGTAGAGACCACTTGATTTGAGGATGGGGTTTGTAGGGTTTTTCATGTAGTGAAGTGGCTGCAGTGGCGCCTCAATACATATTTTTATCTTGAGAAGTGAATGATGTAAAGGATAAGGGAGAGGCCGTTTTCTGGTTAATATTCACTGCTTACAGCAGATCCTATGTCTAATTTCGAACTCGATAGGGGATGCCTAATTGGCTGGACTTTATACAGGGAGTGTTGTCCACATAAAGACTCTTTAATCTTTATAGTTGATTTCAAAATTTGGACTCCGTACAGTTGATTTTGGACCAATGGACTCTATATAGGGGTGAAGCCATTTGGCTGGACTCTATACAGGGAGTGATGTCCATCTAAACTGAGCTCACAGTTGATTCCAGTTTTGGACTCTGTACTGTGGATTTTGGACCAATGGACTCTATATAGGGGTTGGACATCATATAGGGGCTGGACGCTCTACTGAGTCCAACATATATAGTAGGGGGTTCTTAGCTTTCGCTTGTGCTTTTCTTTTGCAGGTTCGGCCCATCAGTCACTCCGACTTTGTCGACGCCGTCAAGCACGTGCGTGCCAGCGTAGACCAGAAGGACCTGGGCTTGTACATCGACTGGAACAAGCGTTTCGGCTCTGGCACGTGGTAGAGTGGCCATTCCCGCTTTTTATCGTGATGTAAGTTGGTCAGTGAACGTGTGCGTACTCATCCACGCACTCGCGTACATGTATACCTGTGTCGTGCAGAGCGCAACTATAGTACTCTGGCTGACCAGCAACCATACGAGTGCACCTATAGTGATCTGGCTGACCAGCAATCGCACCAGTGCACTCGTCTTACATTGCTGCATCGCCCTTTTTGTCTTGTTCTTTTCGCATCTACGGATTCCCAATGCCCGCTGCTGGCTTCCCCTGCTTGCTGATAAAATTCCCTTCCAAGTGTCATTTCAGTTCCCTTCTATACAGTTGAAATCTGTGCTCAAACATTAACCCCATCCATCCGCTAAGAAACGCGACGGCACGAAATCTTCATCGTGGCATTCAACCTGAGCCTAGCCTGGCATTCACTCACCGCCTCCGTGTCTGTGTCCCTGCGCACACGCATGGGCATGCACACCTATCATTCATTATTACATTGTATTATTATTGCGTTGAGAAACGAGACGCTATGCAGAGCAGCTGCAATAGGTAGTAGATGTCACTTTAAAAAAAAGTTATCCTCCCCTTCCTGCTCACACAGGCTTCTTGGCACTAATAATATGTATCTTGAGAGCCCAATTGTTGGCTATCATCTTCGAATGTCAACAAAAAGCCTTTTTTTGGCCTTTCTCTGCACTAGACAAGGTGATCCATACTATGGTAGGCATATGTCATGAGAGGGGTGTGTCGTGTCTGTTTACCTGCGAAGCTACATTTGTTTGTTCTCGCACTGAATCGTATGCTGTGTAACTACCCTGAATTGCATGCAGTTGGCATGTTTTCCATCTTCATTCCGTCCACCAGAGATGGCCTTTGAGCTGTTGGTAGCATTGGGGAAACATACGGGTATTGGGGGTTTGTGCCTTTCTGGTGCATGCACTGGCCTTGTTTCGTGTGAGCACATGTACTGTGGCACTCGTTTGACAGGCTGGCGCCGTCGCTCCTTGACAGAACTGGTCTTGGCATGTGACATCGGAAAAGGCCTCTTGCCCCCCAGGCGCTTCCTTCTGCAAGTGCATGCACTGTGCTTGTGCTGTTGCGGCGGCCCTTACCTGGGTTCGCTGCCTCTTGCTTTGTAATTATGGGCATACAATCATGTATGTGACACTTGTGGGAAACTGTTTTGTAATTATGTGGGCATGCTTGACACATGCAGGGACTGGGACTGGTATTTCCCAAGAAATAATCGGCTAGCTTTCAAGTGCATGGCTTCTGATTAGCAGAAGTGCTGGTGACACAGTACAGGTTGGCGCCGTTAGTACAGCACCTATAACTACAGCCATATCGACACCAGGTTCTGATATGGTACCATCTTTTTTGGAGTATAATTTAAGCCGCACCCAGATTTTTGTCACGAAATACAGACATCTTTATTGTGTATCACTGTTGATGTGACCTTCGTTGTATAAGCCGTTCCTATTTTTTTGGGGTGTTTAAATTTAAAGTGAGGCTTAGGGTGCGTTTGGTTGGTACGATCTAGAACAGGATCGAACAGCTGGTGCACATGGAGCAGCCTCATGCCAACCAAATGGTACTCCAGAAACAGAGCATATTTTTGTGAAAAATATGCCAAACTTGGTGCATTCTTCAAAATGAGTATGGGTCACCATGGTCACTGTGTACGGTACGACAAGTCCAACCCAAAAGCGTATACACGTGATTATTTGGGACCAAAATCGATGTTCCCGCCAGGTTTCACTGTGAAAAAGTGAAACTGCTCGGTCTGCTCCGGCCTCGAGGCCGGAGCAAGCAGAACATGTTCTGGCCGACCCAGAACAGGTGCAGTCCCAACCAAACGCGCTGTTCTGGTGAATCCTGTTATAGTTCGTACCAACCAAACGCGCCCTTATACTCCGGAAAATAAGGAACCTTTTTTGTTGCTAATTCCAGCGTTCCATCATAGAATGTCCAGTTTGCAAGTAACTGTGTATATGTACGAGTAATACCACCGGTAATGAGGTTATTCTTGGCAGTTTAATTATTCTTGCACACGCCTCGCGGAAGTCCTATCCTTCACACACTGTTCTTCTTCTTGTTCAGTGGGGACTACTATGCTATGCTAGCCGGACGTCTGTTGCCAGCGGAATTTGTAGCTAGAACAATCGCATAATTATGATGCACAGAGCTCGAGATGTGTCCTATGATACTGGCGGCGGGAAATTCTTGGTCCCCATAAGAGTAGCCGACCTGGGGCTGAACCACCCCTCGGGAGCTTCCTCCGGTCCTCCCTCCTCCTCCTCCTCCTCCCCCACCCCCCGGCATCGTGATGGATACAATGCCATAATAAACGTTGAGTGTGTGCCCTGAATGACTGCAGATGTTGTAAAGAGACAATGTACATTTGTTAGGGTCGTCGCAAAAGCATTATTAGTCGTCACCCTGAAACAAACGTCGTTCATGGGGAGGGGGGGGGGGGGTATGAAATGAATGATGTTTGTTTCAATTCAGCAGGGACAACAAAACATCTTTGCGGCACGGCCCTTTACATGTGACCATGTAATGTACCAAGGAGTACCGTGTTTGCCGGAGTAAAGTGCGCACTTTGGAGGTACTACTTCTGGCCCCAAATCGCTGGTGCGCACTATGCTCCGAATATGAAAAAATGAACATGTACTTCGAAAAGTAGTGCAATGCATCAAACTGTTACGAAGTGTGCCACCTCTGACCCTGCGCAAGCCATCTGAATGCACTTTTTTATGACAATGGTCACACTATAGTACTGTCTTTATGATTAATACTGCTCTCAAATCAAGGCTGCGCATTATTCTCTGCATATACCTTGAATTGCCAAAACATTGCTTAAAATGGGGTGCGCGTTATACTCAGGTGCGCGCTATACTCCGGCAAATACTGTACTAAAACGGGATTCACACTGGCTCCCACAAACACGTGCACACATACACACTCGCTCATACACAAAGATGCACACATAGGCCACCACACCACATGTGTGTCCACGGATGCACAGCACGTACACACACACGCGCGCACTTGCGCACACACACACGCACACACCACACGCACACTTGGCAAGTACATGTAAGTTGCCCTGGCAATGATTGCATGCGAAACTAACTTACTTGGCTTTTTTAAAGTAAGTTTTAGATGGTGCATGTTACACACTTGCAGGATAAGCAAGACGGATGCCGGATGGTGCATGGCACGGAACTAGTACTAGTAAGGACAAGGCCCAGCTGCCATAAAATGACATGTGGAAGGACTTACTTACAGGTGACCTGGTGACCAGGGACCACCAAACCATGACCGCTGATATATGACTGCCCTGGCCTACCAACATAATGTAGGCCTAGCCCTGGGCTGTAGCCGTGTAGGCTGTAGACCAGACTGTACTGGTAGACTGCTGTGCATTGAATCGTTTGATCTGCGAGTACGAGTAGACCTACGTCTACGACGAGTGCGAGTCGTGGATCGTGCCTCGTTGACATGCATGATCTAATGCCTCACACATGTGCGCAGTGAACAAGCACTTGTTCGCGGATGCAACGGCCGTTGCGTCCCGTACGGTGCAACCTGCGGTATCACGTGTACAGTAAAGGACAGCTAGCTAGCTAGCTAGAGTCGAGATCCTAGCGATCGCCCCAGCTCCTTGACACGCGTTGCGCGTATGGCGATGTGGCGGTAGTTCGAGCGAGCCTAGCTCGATCCAACCCTGCAGCTAGCTGAGTTCTCGGCCGAGTAGAAAGGTTTTCTGCATGACTGAGAAATTTGAACTGTTACTTGAATGGCGAGCGAAGCAAACAATCTCTGATATGAAGTCTCCATTCGTGAGTACGAGTTGTGCTTTCCCCGTGAAACTTGTGTCATCGTCCGACTCCTGGAATTCTTGGTCATGATGATGGCGACCGTGGAAACAATGCGTGCGAAGCTGCCTGTTCGGATGCTGGCCATTACCCTTCTAGTGGGATTTACCCTCATCCAAATTGTCCTCCACTGGCCTCTCCTCTCTCAAGCGGTACGTACAGAAACACGAGTGGCTCCCGACCATCGGATATTTACTTACTGTTGTGTTCTCCGATGCCGCCATCATGATGTTATTGTCTTTGGGCCAACATTGGACATCCCTTTCAGCGCCGGCATGGCATATTTTTTGATGTATCCAATAGCTGAGTAGGATATGTGCTACTTGCGAATCTATCAAAATAATCATGCAGCTTGCTAGTTATTTGCTATCTGGAGAAGTACGGTGAAACTGTGGATGAACCACTACTATTTTACAGTATTCATAAGGACCACTAGACTGCACTTGTAGATCTACTTACTACTATTTACTAATAATAATAGAAGTAGCTGAATCCAAATTTGAAGTAGCTGATGATTATGAAATTCTTGAATATAAAAATATATAGGCTATGACGTACGTGTGGGACATTATTCATGTCTTTCTGTAAGTCAACAAAATATTTGGTGCATAGTGATACTGTAGTGTCGTGTATAAAAGCATGACTAGAAAAGGAAGCCGCTTTTTCGAAGCGCGCCATGACACAGAGGCACTATTTGAACAGAAGCTGCAAAGTACACGACTGTGCAAGTACATGCGTGGCAGTATGCACTGCACTGTGTAGACTATGATGTTGACGTAGAAGCATGTTTTGAATAGAAACATACTTTGAATAGAAGCATATTTTGAACCCCGGCTTATACGGCCGTAAGCACCTGCTTTTATACGCAACACTATGGTATCTACTTGATAGGCGACAAGCCTCTGGGTCATCCTAATAAGGATATTATTATTATATTCGGCTATTTTCGGCCTGGGCATTTTCGGCCGAAAATTTGTTTTGCAAGGTTCAGTGTGACAGTGTATCCCAGCAGCAGCAGCAGTACATGTACAGGCCGAACATTTTATGAGGCCGAAATGTGTTTTAGACCTGGGAGGCTGAAATTTAAAAGCGCCGAAAACTTGTAGACTTACAGTATTGGAGAGGCTGCATTGGCGGAGACCAACATGCGCATACTTCTATACTATCTTTCCATGTGCTTGAAGTCGACCCACTGAAAACGAGGCAGCCCGTTCTGCTTCTAATGAAACACATACTGGCGGCTGTTTCGCTTGTTCGAAGCACATCGGTGTTGAGTGCATGCAGTAGTAGAGGTCTATTCTCTGTGAACTTTTTTTGCTACACTGGTGGCAACTGAAATCCGACCCCCTGAGCGGTGAGTTCGCACTCTAGCGGTCTCTATTTCGCAGTGTCACAATCCCGTGCTGGGTCTTTGCGATGTCTCAGGGGGTCGGATTTCAGTTGCCAGCACTGTAGTAGTACGACTCCAACCTGTTTGGAGTGCGTACCGCATTTGCGGGGTATTCTAATATATAATATAATATTTATTTCAGGATTACCCAAAGGCTAACGCCTATCTGGGGGATAAGCCGCACTTTACACATTCGTAATCATCGTAATTCTAAAGTCAGTACGGCCTATACTACGATGGTCAAACGAACCGTGAAATACAGAGTACTGCAAGACATGCTATGATAACGAGTCGCGAATTTAATGGTTGTCCAAAATGCATAGGTTTAGGGGCTATCCGGCATTATCGATATTTTTCACGAAATGAAAAAGTTTAGCTAGGACCCTCCCCCACCCACCCACCCACCCCCTGAACGAAAAATAGATTGACTCGACGGCAAGAATGGCTTGATGTCTCTCATATCAATATTTTTCGAAACGAAACTCCCCTTGACCCACCCACCCACCCATAAACGAAACTTTTTCTCTTCGTGTAAAATATCCACAATTATGGACGGCCCCTTAATAATAATGAAAAGATATGGTAACGATCTTGCAGTCTTCAGGCATATCCGCACATTACACGTATGAGGCATTACCGCCTGCCTAAACAGAACCTATTATAACGAAGAAATGTACTTCGAAGTAACTCGTTAAAACATGGATTTACTTCCTCGTTATATTTATACATGTCTTACAGTAGATACATACCATCTTGGGTCTTGAGTTTTTTCCATGCCTTTTATGTGGAGGTGCCCTTACGTTTTCGAATATAAGTGCACGCCCTTTTATGCAACCGTGCGTTGACTTGGGGTTACTGCGATTCTCAGTCTCTCTCCTTCTCCGCCTCGTGCCCCACTTCTGCCTCTGCTGACAGGGCAAGTATACGTATCAGCTGCTGAGTTTGATGGCCCGTGACTCGCAGCGCTACGTGACGGAGACACAATTGCTTGGAGAGGTGAGCTGTTTGTATCTTACTGTGACCATTGTTAACGCCATGTGTGCAGCTGCAGTTCTGCTAAAAGCTGTATGGCAGAGCACAGTAGCGCTTCTGTTGTGAATTGGGCGGGGGTGCATGAGTTTGTGTATGTGTGTCTGTGTGTGTGTGTATGTGTGTGTGCTTGCACGTGCGTGCGTGTATGGATCAGATGTATTGTGCCAGTTTGAAAATGAAAGAGGTGACACCGATTTTCATGCCATCACTTCCCAGTTGCTACTGCTACTGCCGCTACCACTAGGCCCCTTGGCAATGCAGGTTGAGTTACTGGAATGTGGGAAGATCAGAGCACCAGAATACAAACATTGTACAATCGACTCCACTTGTAACGAACTCACATTATAGCAAATTTCCTGACATAGCGAACCGTTGTCCATGTCCCAGTTTGAACCCACAGTGTAGGTGCATTTCTGTTATAACGAACTTCGGCGGCTAGAAAGAACTAATTCTCCTGCACAATGGTGTCCGTTGTGTCAGGAGTCAACTGTATGTCCTATGCTCACGTGCTCTCCCCAGCCAAGCGCCGCTTGTGCGGGTATTATAAAATCAGAATGCCGTTGTGTCTTGTATTAAAGCCTATCTTAGAAGCCTGTTTTGAATAGAAGCCTGATGTAAATAGAAGCCTAGCCCTGACATCGGCTTCAACAGGAATAAGCCCGGCTTTAATACGCGACATGGTATCAGAATAGTCGCCTTATCTTGTGTAAACACGCTGGCTCCAAACTATTCACCTGTGCCTGTTCAGATAGACTAAGTCATGCGGGCTGTACGCTTGTTTTCCCTGTATCGATCACTGGTATATGTTCCAGACTGCAACGGCCAGTAAGAAGGGGCGTCGGACACGGTACGGTCACTACGGTATTGACCGTACCACTCTTTGCCCCAAGTGCCCCGTGAATCAATAACATGCACTGATTTGGGCTCTGAAGTTCGACAGTTTTCGCCTCAGCCACCCCTCCCCACGCCTAAATTGTACTTCAGACGGCTGACCGTACCACGCTAAATTACCTTCCGACACCCCTGGTTCAGGTGCCAGTATGGAATAATGGATGCTTACACCGCTCTGTCCACTGAATCATGCTCTTGCACGATATGCTCGCCTTGCTCACTATATCCCCCCCCCCCCCCCCCCCCCATGTCTGACCTTGGCTTGGTTGGGCTTGTTTGCTTGCTGCAGATGACGTGGAGACTTCACAAGTATGAACTGAACTTCAATCATCAAACTTGTAAAGTAAGGCTTTGCTGAGCTGCTGATTGGTTTCGGCCGTGACTTGTTGCTGTATTGTGCACCATTGGATGTGGCCACGTGCACCTGGTGCGGTTTTTCCCTTATTGCTACATGTTTTCCTCTGTGTGTGTGTGTGTGTGTGTGTGTGTGTGTGTGTGTGTGTGTGTGTGTGTGTGTGTGTGTGTGTGTTTGCGTAGTCGCAAGTGATGGTCAAGAAGAAAGTGGCTTGGCTCACGGCCATGGTAAGTGGATCTCTTGTCTGGTGGCATTGCCCGAACAGCTGAGGAAACAATGTGGAAATTATCAGGATTTCCATGGTGTTTCGGTGAAAAGTCAATCATGAAAATCTGAATAGCATGATGTGGACAGTAGTGTGTTCAGGTTGTGGACCGTTTTGAACCTATTTTTGGTGCACATTGTATTGTTCACGTCAATCATGAAAATCTGAATAGCATGATGTGGACAGTAGTGTGTTCAGGTTGTGGACCGTTTTGAACCTATTTTTGGTGCACATTGTATTGTTCACTTCAAAATATAATCCGATCTCGCGAAAGTTTGCCCCCCCCCCCCCCCCCCCCACCAGCTTACATCCCAGTGTTTGCAGGTCTAGTGGTGTTGACTCGCTCGATCAGATTTCATTGAGCAGCGCTGTACTTTGCCCGTACATCTTCACAACACTCTCTGAACAGTCTCTGGGCTACACTGAAGAGAATTATCCGAATTTGCGGGGGAAGTCCCATCTTCAGGAATGCCAGCACTGTACTTCCTTTTTTGGAGAGTGGCAAGCTGGTCAACTGATTGTCGGAGTGCGAAAACGAGAACATCGTTGTCGCCCATGATTGTTCGCTTTCTACGATCTTCTTTATTCACATTCTTTTTCACACTGTGTTCCTTCTGAAAATTTCATTTGATGACGTAATGTTGACAGCACAGTTGATAATGCCTCTTTTACGGGCGAACAAAACACAAGTTGACGTGGTGGAGGATTGGAACACAACTCACGCGCTGAAAACTATTGCACAACAGTGCAGTTGATTCTTTTCGTAGCAATCCTAAATGCTGTTGTCTCTGAAATTGTTGGTGTAGGTAAATGATGACTTTGTCGTACCAGCAATCGCACTCTCCTACCTACTGAAGAAGCTCTCCTGTTACCAGTAAGTGTGTGTGTTGAACGCTGGACTATCTATTTGTTTGCTGTCGCTTTTCAAGTTGTCTTGCTGTTGTGAATTGCTAAGCAACCTTTCTGAAACGCTTGGGATCTTATCTCCTTGTGGTGTGCTTGTGTAAATGAATGCATACATGTATGTGTGTGTGTGTCTTCAGGGACCGCATTGTGATGGTATCTACCGGTGTGTCGCAGGCAGCACAAGCAGCTTTGAAGCAGGTATGCTGCTCTGCTTATTTTAGCAATGATGCAGGCTCTCCTCTCCGTTTCCTCTACCGTGTTCTCTTTGAAGTTTGGATGCATCTACGAATTTGGCAGAGTCCTACCGTATCTACTGTAAAAGCCATATATATATATAACGAAGTGCTAACTCTAACGAGTTAACGAGGAGAAATCTGTCGTTAAAATAGAAATCGTTATACAGAAATCGACACATATACTGTCCTATTGAGCGTTGAGAATGAGTGAGAATCGTTACCTTTGCTACACGTAAACTAGTCAATTTTGGGAAATCGTTATATATGCGCCTCGTTAGAATAATGGCTTTTACAGTAGTCTCTTGAACTGTAGCACGACTTTGCTTTCTCGTCTCTTGAACTGTGGCAAGACTTATCATCTCCGCCTGCTTGGTAATGGCTTCTCTGTACACAATTGTCAATCGAGATTTCTGAGCGTCTTGATAATTATTAAAAAATACAGTGAAATCTGTCCTAGGCAACCACTCAAGGAACATTCGGGATATGGTCCCTGGGTACAGGTGGTCTGACTCTCCTTATCCAGGGTAGTTTGACTGGAAATAAGTTCAAATAACATCCCTTGGCCCTCTGAGGCAGGTGGTTGCCTTATCAGAGTAGTCGCCTTGACAAGTTTCACTGTAGCTACGTTATTTGCTTGTTCTTCGGCTGCAGGCTGGTTACAAGATTGAGGTTGTGCAGCCTATGGACTGTGACTACATGGACAAGCTAAAGGGAAGGAAGCCAACAGGGAAAGGTATGTGCAGTACTGTGAAGCCTACGAGAGCAACTGCTGTAATAGCCCGCCTGGCTTTAGAGACTGACCATATCAATCCATTGACTATGTTCTAGCATGCAACTAGGCATGTGTGCAAAACCAGCAGGTGTTCAAAAATAGCTTTGTGTGCATTGTGCGTAATTTTACTGCTGGACATGCGTTTGAAATCTGTCTTTGGGAAGTGCTGATGCTGCCTGCCGAGTTCCAATGCGCCTAGTGGTGTCAACGGAAATTCTCTTTCTACCTCTACCTCTCTCTCGCGCGCGAGCGCGCACACGTTTTCTCTTGCCGTCTACAATACATCGCTTCCACACTGCACCACGGACATCGCTTGTGTGCATGCTGTGTTTTCTTGATTGTGTGTGGTTCAGGAATCCTGGGAACGCATACGCGTCTGCAGGCATGGAATCTCACTCAATGGGATACGGTAAGCTACATGATTGTACTACTTGGGAGGCCGGGTGATGAGTTGAATTGCTTGTGTGCGCAAAGAATTTGGCGCCCCTACCCAAGTGCAGTGCCTTGCCAGCTTTTGTTTATGAGGACTGGCGAGTGTACTATTCGGTTGAAAGAGATGTGTGTGTTGTGTGTGTGTGTGTGTGTGTGTGTGTGTGTGTGTGTGTGTGTGTGTGTGTGTGTGTGTGTGTGTGTGTGTGTGTGTGTGATCGCAAGGACACTTGTAGAGTTGCCTCTTTCCTAGCGTATTGGAACACCGGCTGCTATGCTCACCGGCCTCAAACGGAGTGGTGCCCATACCAGTTGCAGAGGCCGGGTGGCCTTGGACAACTTATCTGGCTTATCTCCAAGTCCTATGTCCTTTCGTGTGTGTGTGTGTGTGTGTGTGTGTGTGTGTGTGTGTGCGTGTGTGTGTGCATGTGTCTCTGCGTGTGTGTGTGCGTGTGTCTGTGCGTGGTCATGTATATTATTTGTCAATGTAGCTCGTGTACCTGGATGCTGACTTTCTCCCGCTCTCCAATATGGACGAGGTAAGAATGATGGTGTTCTATTCAAAGCACTTGTACCTGTTGATGGGGTTGCTGGTGAACTCATTGGATAGCTATTGTAAATTCTCTTGGGAATAGCTGTTGCACTGGGGCTGTGTGAAGGCCAGCTAGAGCTAGAGCAGTAGACTCATGACTTGACCTGGATAGCCACGGGGCCACAGGACGTGCATGCGTCTCAGCTGCTGAAGGTGACGTCCAGGCACAAGAAAAGGGATTGTTGTGTTTGGGCGTTCGGCTAAGTGTCCATGGCGCTAGCGTTTACCACTGATGCTGCTTTTCAAAGTATATTTCAAAGTAGACTTTGCTGTGTCCACCACGTCTGTAGATGCTTGGTATTACAGTGTGCTAGTAGCCTGCGTTTGTCGGATCCTGTGCCAAGCGGAATCCTGTATTGGCCAGGCACATTTTCATGCACTGACGTGCTGTGGATCTAACTTGCATCCCTGGATGAAGCAGAATCCTGTCTTGTCAGGCCAGTTTCCGCTGCACCAGTGGCCTCCGGTTGAGGCAGGTTTTACTGTACTTGAAGAACTCGTAGTTGTGTGGTGATAAAATAAATTAAATAAATTTCACGGTTTTCCGCATCCGCCGTGGGAACGCCACCACCCTCTAGGATCAAAGGTGTGGTGATGTATTGCATTATAAGTGCTACTTCGTCCGCTGTCTTCTTTCCGCTGCAGTTGTTCACGCGCAGTTCTGGCCTATCGGCACCGTACTGCTCTCGGCCAGTAAGTCCGCTGTGTGAAACGGACACACACGTCTGTGTGTGTGTGTGTGTGTGTGTGTGTGTGTGCGTGCGTGTGTGTATATCAAAGCAGCGTGCTGTATACTGGTTGCCCCAGTAAGTGTAGGGTGTGCATAGGTAACTGTCTTGGCCGTTTTATGCCAATGTACTCCGTGTGGTGTAGACCAGGTGTGCATTGGTGGTTGATTCACATGGCTTCGTAGGTTGTGTGGCTTGGACAGTTATCTGGCGCAAGTCTTGATCTGTCTCATTCAGATCTTGTCCGCTATCGTTGCTGTAAGAGAAAATCTGTGGGTGCACATCCAGTGCATTTGCAGATCTGCATGCTTCTCTTGCGACGGGTGTATACATGGCACTGTCGCGGACATGGAAATCCAGTCGATTGACCGGGGCCGGCGCCCTCAGCGCGTACAGAACGCTGCATGCAGTGCACGATTGTTGATCCGATGCGACCAGCAGTGCATAATGCATGCGTGTACTGCTTACCTACGGCTGCATGGCCAGCGCCCTGGGGCCGCTAGACGGGCGACCGGATTTCCATGTCCACGACAGTACATGGTGTACATGTGTGGTGGGATGCATACATCAGGCTTTGCAGTGCTGGTAATCCTAGGCAGTGCTGAGCATGGCATTCCAGCTCCTCACATTTTCACTTTCGGCGACTTTGCTCCTCTGTCCTGAGTATTGTGCTTGGAAGTTTGGTTTGAAGTGGAACTGCCCTGGTTATTGCTGTGTTGATGGTGTTGGCAATGTGCTTGTTGTGTTTCAGGGTATTGCTGATCCCTGCTTCAATGCTGGCCTACTGGTATTCCAGTAAGTTGTGCTGTGTGTGTTCTTTGTGTGTGTGTGTGTATGTGGGTGGGTGGGTGTTTATGCATGTGTGTAGTAGTTGTTTTGAACATGGGTGTGAGGTCCACAGTATGTGTGTGTGTGTGGGGGGGGGGGGGGGGTGTATGTGGCAGTATTGCCGTGGTTACTGCTACTCTTCCACGCAAACATGTTGAACATTTGAAGTGGTACTGTGATGGGCATAGAAGTACAGTCAACTTCGCCAATAACGACATGTGGCGGGGCATCAGAAAAGTGTCCTTATTCGCGAAGTGTCCTTATAACCGAAGTCCCATTTGAATGTATGTGAACCCATATTTTGTATAGTATGATATGCATATCAAAATCAAGCTCTTTTCTTGCTCTATGTCAATGTGTACTTTATTTTCATATTGCAGTTGAAAGGAACTAAAAATTCAATATGCAAGGGAAATCAATTGAAAAATATGCCTTTTTGAGCCATCTACAGGGCCAGAGACATGTACATGTGTCATGATTACTGTACAATCATGTACAACTACATGTACATAATTGTATACATAATTATAGGTGTGCTGGTAAATCCAACAATTTTGAAGCCAACATGTAAAAGGAAGAAAAAGCCCCCCCCCCCCCCCCCCCTTTGGCTGCATTTTCTTGCATGTGTGCCTTTATATTATAATAATAATAATAATAATTATCCATCACCATAGGTTCTGGTACTTCTGCATGACAGGTACATATACTTGACTGACAGGTACTTGAAATAGCTGTCAAAAGCCCAGAAAGTCGTTGTTCAAGCAGTGAATATGACCTCGGGGCACTAAAAGCATGTCGCTATTCGCGAATTGTCGTTATTCAGATAGTCGTTATATCCGAAGTAAAATGTATACAGTTAGATGGGACTTTGCTCTGGGCATGGAAATTCGGTCGTTATTCGCGAATTGTCGTTATATCCGCAGTCGTTATTAGCGAAGTTGACTGTACATTGTCGATGATGGCATTAGTCAGGTCTGAATCCTTTGTGTGCTCAATCTGCAGCCTTTTGTCCTTGATGCACGTGCTTTTTCTTCTTCTTCTTCTTTTTTTATGCCGAGTTCTACATTGCATGCCGCGCTTGTGTGCTGTGTGCTGTGTGTGTGTTGCTTTGATGTTCCTGTTGCAGTCCTCACAGGGAGGTCTTCCAGGGTCTGATGGACCATTGGAGTGTAAGAGGCGATTGCGCTGCCACTGCCGCTGCTTGCATGCCTTTTAAATTAGTTTTAATAGGCCCTGTCTGCCTGCTTCATCTGTCACCGTTCCAGCTCATCTTCCCACTCTACTCCCGACTCCTCTTCCCAACTGTTGTATTGTTGATCTCACAGACTCACACTACTACCATGTTGTGGTAGTGGTGTTGTGTTATTTCAGCATCCGATCATTTGAGTTTTAGTAGTTTCCATTTTGCACTGTTGCATCTCCTGTTGGTGTACTATGCAGAGTAGCTCACAATGATAACTAATAATGATATTTCTGCACGTGTGTGTGTGTATGTGTGTGTGTGTATGCTCGTTCTCTTTGTGTGTTCTTGCATTGCAGAAAGCGTCGGATTACTCCTGCCCTAATGATCAGATCTTGCTGTGGCACTACTTTGCCGACAATGACCAGTGGGACCCGCTTCCGTACGGCTATGATGTTCGCCGTATGATCTACTTCCCGATGAAAGGTGCGCGCGCGCGTGTGTGTGTGTGTGCGTCTGTGTGTGTGTGGGGCGTACAAAGGGGTTGTTTCTGGATGCCTGGGAACCACTAAAATGTTAGGGTACATTGCTCCGTACTGTTTATTTCGAGTGCGTCTCTCATGATTGTAAATGCATTGGTGTGTATGGGTGCGTATGTGCTCTGTATTTTCACATTCATTTCCTTGTGTGTGTGTGTGTGTGTGTGTGTGTGTGTGTGTGTGTGTGTGCGTGCGTGCTTAACGGATGCAGCGTACCACTTTGCCTGCTGTCTGCGTCCGAAGCCGTGGCACTATCCGCAGGTGCCGAACCGCCACGATGCATTCTACTATGATGGTCCAATTGACGAGTAAGTTCCACCTTGTCTTGCACACTCTCTTTGACTTGCGTGTGCGAGGTCCGCTTTAGCTACTGGGCGAGAGCTGGGCATGCTTGTATGAATGCCTTGTCTTGAGAGCTCGACACGTCAAGGGAAGTAAGTGGCCGTGGATCTGGCTTGCTACGTCCAGGGAAGTGGACGTGGATCTGGCTTGCCGCTCTGTCTTCAATCCACCTAGAAAGCAGATGACCATCTTGCGTCACACCCCGTAACTGGGACAACGGTTGAGGTTTCCACGCATAATGGCCAAAGCAACTAGGTCTGTGGGAAACACCCTAGTAAAATAAATAAAATAGTAATAATAATAATAATAACTTTGTGTCGGTTCACAATACAGTCGCCTGTCACTTATCCGGCAGTCAGTCATCCGGCATGCTGGTTATCCGACAGTGTGCCGGCAGCTCAAGTTTCCCAACTTCACAATGTGTTCCATGCAGGCCGCGTTAATACCCTGAGCATTGCCTTATTGTGAGCTCGTATTGATGTTCAAAAAAAACACTAGTATCGGATACGAACAGATTCGAAAGAATGCCAAAATACAGGTATGTGGACATTTACATGTACATGTACATGTGCGGCCATGTACTAGTAGAATGATCTAGGTGATGCCATTGGTATGGTAGCTTCTGGGCACAGTACTTGCAGCTGGTCAGGGCAACGAGTACATGTGATGCCCTGGTGGACTATATTGTAGGCACGGTGCTTGCAGCTGGTCAGGTCAACGAGTAGAGGAGACGGTTTCAAATAGGACATAGGTTGCAAACCGGAACGGTCTGAATATTCACTTTCTCTCTTGGTATTTTGATTAGAAAACGTATGTCACAGTGAGACTACGATGTGTTTTACTCAGCGCCAACATTCCATGGCTCTGCGATGACCAGAAGCGCCATACCAAGCATTTGAGTTTTCGACGTGTTGCTTCCCAATGCGACTTTTTACGTCTTTTGAAAAATCAACTTCTTGTCGCAGGTAAACAGCGGCTCGCCTCTCGCCAATAAAGAACCGTATACCAATGAAAACTAATGGAAGCACACACACAAGGCTTATTGGTGCTCTGTACTGGCCGTCGTGGAGCCATAGCAATTACCTAAGTTCAGACCCAGACTGAATTTGACGGGCACTCTAAAACCTGTCCGGTTTGGAGCCACCTCTGTAAACACCAAAAATTGAGGGCAACTTGGAGGCAACGGGCCAACACAAAGGAGGGGCTCAGATCGATCGACTCTGGCCTCAGAGCAAACTTCAACATGCCAGCTTCCTTCCACAAACATGTTTCGAGTGAACAATCCATACTGATGATCGGATTGGGTCCACACAATTTTGCTGTCAACCCGTTCCGGTATCGAACCGTCGCCTCTACATGCGATGCCCTGGTGGACTATATTCTGGGCACAGTACTTGCAGCTTGTCAGGGCAACGAGTACATGTGATGCCCTGGTGGACTATAGTGCAGTATTGGTGATGCGTGCAGCATTGATGCCATCAAGGTAGAGCTTTGACTGCTCAGCAGTGTTCCTGACTTCCTCGGCTCTACTCTGCAATACGCTGAGGTTGCTACGTTCGAATCTTGGGCATTTACGTTGTGCGCAACGCCTCAATTGCCTGCTCGGTTCTTCTTCTTGTTGTTGTTTGTGATGTTGCAGCATTGACGACTTTGCCATGGTTTGGTGGCGCAGCTTCTACCGTGCCGTGGACGAGTTCCACCTGGATGAGTGGTGGACCGGTGCGCAGAAGTCCCTAGCCAAGTACAGAAGCAACCGGTCTGGTCTCTGAGTGCTATTATCTTGGATGTAATGTCTCGGCGACTCTGACGCACACGGAAAGAGCTAGAGACACACAGAGACAGCAGAGTGGCTTCTTAGAGAACTTGACATGCAATGTCACTGCTGGTCAGAAACCACATCGATCTTTCTCGCCCCGTCCTCTCTCTCTCTCCTCGTGCCTCTAACCATGTGTATGCGTGCGCTTTCGTGCTTGCGTGTGTGTTTGTGCCACCACTTCACTTTGCTTAACCACATGTTATTGATGCGTGGCCATCCGTACTAAATTGTTGAGAACATTTGCTTGAGTCCACCTTGATTCACAACACACCGACTCCGCCCGCTTAACTTTTTTTTTTTTTTTTTGCTGACCGTTTGTGATGTAGACTGCTGTTTCTGCGTAGGTGTGTGGCTGCTGCTGCTGCTGCTGCTTCTACTGCACTTGCAATGCAGTCAGTGCGTGGTGCCAAGACATCCACTACAATCCATAGTCTGCTGTGACGACCTTGAGCACTTCTTCAGATTCTACAAGCCGTCGACACGGCTGCACTTCCTGGCATCTATTTTTAAAAATTTATCTTTGCCCAGCGAATAACATTTATTTAATTATGGCGATGGACTATTTCTTTTCCAGCCCTAGGTTTGATGACGGTCTCTAGTCCGTTCCGTTTTTTTTCCATTCACGCCAACTGTGCGTCCCAATTTAGTGGATGTTTGCCTTCATATATTATTACTTGGATACTTGCAAGCTCTGCTGCTCACTATTATTGTCGTGATAACTAACGTTAGTAGACCTGTGACACTAGGGAGGTTTAGTTCCCACGTAACGGAAACGCGTACGTGGGTGATCCACGTAAAGTGGATGAAGGGCACCCACGTTGCAATGTTGTGTTTAGTCACACGGAACAAACAAAAGCATAAAGTGAAAGGCCCAAACCTGGTCAAAGACGAAGCTACCCGGGCCTACCAAGCTCATCCAATATTTTGATTTCGTGCTTCGGAAACTTCTTCAGCTGAGCACCCTCACAGCCCGCACAATGCGCTCCATTCTGATTTTCACCCACGTTTTGGCGGAACGTGGGTGAGCCTCCATACACGGTATGTCGTGAATCAGGAAACGTCTGTACGTGGGTCACTGAGTATCACGTGGTACACACACGTAAAGTACCCACGGATTACGTGGGACTAAACCTCCCTAATGCTAGGGTTACTGTACCCTACAGTCCATTCAGAAAAAAAGATGAGCGTTGGCTCTGGAGAGCTCCCGTGTTTGGCGATTTTGTGGTACACTGTGCAGTGCCGCGAGATTCGAAACTTGAAAAAGGGTCCAAAAGGTACCTCAACTGGGGTTCGAACCGCAAATGTACTGTTATGCAAGTGGAGTGAACGGCCTGGATTTTCATGGTTTTTCCCCAGTTCAGTGCTTTGGTGACAAAACCTGGCCGAAATCCTATTCTTGTTATGGCTTGCTCTTTGGAGAAATAGACTTCAAAAACACAATTGGAAGAGCATTCCACGGGGGATTGCCAAACAAATTGTAACGAAAACTCAAAATTTGATCCGTTTATGGCCAAAAGCTAGGATATCATCTTTTTTCTGAATGTGCAATGTACTGTAGGCCTCTGTTCATCTGTCCCCGGGGAAAATTGCGGAAAAAAATCGCAAAAAACGCGGCATAATATGGCATAATTTGCGGTGAATTTGCGGTAAATATGCGGTGAATAATATTGATGTGCGGCAATTTTCAGTGAGTATGAAGTGAAATCAATCAGTTACAAGTCTCTGGTGTAAGCACTCGTCATATTTGAGTAAAACGCGGCCACGGTGAGACGTTGCTGACCGAACAGTGCACTGTGTGTACATATTGTGCAACAAAAAAGTTCAAAAAACGCGGGAAAATCGCGGAAAAGGCGGTCTTTTAAAAAATCGCAAAAAACGCGGAAAAAACGCGGCCGCGGAATCGCAATTTTCCCCGGGGACAGGTTCATCTACATTGACCCACACTCGGTACCCGGCAGGACCGCCAGAAACAGTTTTCAATTGGTCTGGTCATACCATAGCCTTTCATGCTTTGTGTTTGATAGATTGGGAACAGTAAGGGTGGTGGCGTTCCTACGAATGCGGAAAACTCAGCCTCTAACCGAGTCTTACGCAAACCATGATTTTTTTAATTTTAATAGCAGTAAACATTCGTTGGTGGCCACAAGTTAGCCCAGTGATGACTGAACCAACGGGACCGGTGATGACTGAACCAACGGGACCGGTGATGACTGAACCAACGGGACCGGTGATGACTGAACCAACGGGACCGGTGATGACTGAACCAACGGGACCGGTGATGACTGAACCAACGGGACCGGTGATGACCCAACCAACGGGACCGGTGATGACTGAACCAACGGGACCGGTGATGACTGAACCAACGGGACCGGTGATGACTGAACCAACGGGACCGGTGATGACTGAACCAACGGGACCGGTGATGACTGAACCAACGGGACCGGTGATGACTGAACCAACGGGACCGGTGATGACTGAACCAACGGGACCGGTGATGACTGAACCAACGGGACCGGTGATGACTGAACCAACGGGACCGGTGATGACTGAACCAACGGGACCGGTGATGACTGAACCAACGGGACCGGTGATGACTGAACCAACGGGACCGGTGATGACCGAACCAACGGGACCGGTGATGACCCAACCAACGGGACCGGTGATGACCCAACCAACGGGACCGGTGATGACCCAACCAACGGGACCGGTGATGACTGAACCAACGGGACCGGTGATGACTGAACCAACGGGACCGGTGATGACCCAACCAACAAGACCGGTGATGACTGAACCAACGGGACCGGTGATGACCCAACCAACGGGACCGGTGATGACTGAACCAACGGGACCGGTGATGACTGAACCAACGGGACCGGTGATGACTGAACCAACGGGACCGGTGATGACTGAACCAACGGGACCGGTGATGACTGAACCAACGGGACCGGTGATGACCCAACCAACGGGACCGGTGATGACTGAACCAACGGGACCGGTGATGACTGAACCAACGGGACCGGTGATGACCCAACCAACGGGACCGGTGATGACTGAACCAACGGGACCGGTGATGACCCAACCAACGGGACCGGTGATGACTGAACCAACGGGACCGGTGATGACCCAACCAACGGGACCGGTGATGACTGAACCAACGGGACCGGTGATGACTGAACCAACGGGACCGGTGATGACTGAACCAACGGGACCGGTGATGACTGAACCAACGGGACCGGTGATGACTGAACCAACGGGACCGGTGATGACTGAACCAACGGGACCGGTGATGACTGAACCAACGGGACCGGTGATGACTGAACCAACGGGACCGGTGATGACTGAACCAACGGGACCGGTGATGACTGAACCAACGGGACCGGTGATGACCCAACCAACGGGACCGGTGATGACCCAACCAACGGGACCGGTGATGACTGAACCAACGGGACCGGTGATGACTGAACCAACGGGACCGGTGATGACTGAACCAACGGGACCGGTGATGACTGAACCAACGGGACCGGTGATGACTGAACCAACGGGACCGGTGATGACCCAACCAACGGGACCGGTGATGACTGAACCAACGGGACCGGTGATGACCCAACCAACGGGACCGGTGATGACTGAACCAACGGGACCGGTGATGACCCAACCAACGGGACCGGTGATGACTGAACCAACGGGACCGGTGATGACTGAACCAACGGGACCGGTGATGACTGAACCAACGGGACCGGTGATGACTGAACCAACGGGACCGGTGATGACTGAACCAACGGGACCGGTGATGACTGAACCAACGGGACCGGTGATGACTGAACCAACGGGACCGGTGATGACTGAACCAACGGGACCGGTGATGACTGAACCAACGGGACCGGTGATGACTGAACCAACGGGACCGGTGATGACTGAACCAACGGGACCGGTGATGACTGAACCAACGCGACCGGTGATGACTGAACCAACGGGACCGGTGATGACTGAACCAACGGGACCGGTGATGACTGAACCAACGGGACCGGTGATGACCCAACCAACGGGACCGGTGATGACTGAACCAACGGGACCGGTGATGACTGAACCAACGGGACCGGTGATGACTGAACCAACGGGACCGGTGATGACTGAACCAACGGGACCGGTGATGACTGAACCAACGGGACCGGTGATGACTGAACCAACGGGACCGGTGATGACTGAACCAACGGGACCGGTGATGACCCAACCAACGGGACCGGTGATGACTGAACCAACGGGACCGGTGATGACTGAACCAACGGGACCGGTGATGACTGAACCAACGGGACCGGTGATGACTGAACCAACGGGACCGGTGATGACTGAACCAACGGGACCGGTGATGACTGAACCAACGGGACCGGTGATGACTGAACCAACGGGACCGGTGATGACCCAACCAACGGGACCGGTGATGACTGAACCAACGGGACCGGTGATGACTGAACCAACGGGACCGGTGATGACTGAACCAACGGGACCGGTGATGACTGAACCAACGGGACCGGTGATGACTGAACCAACGGGACCGGTGATGACTGAACCAACGGGACCGGTGATGACTGAACCAACGGGACCGGTGATGACTGAACCAACGGGACCGGTGATGACCCAACCAACGGGACCGGTGATGACTGAACCAACGGGACCGGTGATGACCCAACCAACGGGACCGGTGATGACTGAACCAACGGGACCGGTGATGACCCAACCAACGGGACCGGTGATGACTGAACCAACGGGACCGGTGATGACCCAACCAACGGGACCGGTGATGACTGAACCAACGGGACCGGTGATGACTGAACCAACGGGACCGGTGATGACCCAACCAACGGGACCGGTGATGACTGAACCAACGGGACCGGTGATGACCCAACCAACGGGACCGGTGATGACTGAACCAACGGGACCGGTGATGACCCAACCAACGGGACCGGTGATGACTGAACCAACGGGACCGGTGATGACTGAACCAACGGGACCGGTGATGACTGAACCAACGGGACCGGTGATGACTGAACCAACGGGACCGGTGATGACTGAACCAACGGGACCGGTGATGACTGAACCAACGCGACCGGTGATGACTGAACCAACGGGACCGGTGATGACTGAACCAACGGGACCGGTGATGACTGAACCAACGGGACCGGTGATGACTGAACCAACGGGACCGGTGATGACTGAACCAACGGGACCGGTGATGACTGAACCAACGGGACCGGTGATGACTGAACCAACGGGACCGGTGATGACTGAACCAACGGGACCGGTGATGACTGAACCAACGGGACCGGTGATGACTGAACCAACGGGACCGGTGATGACTGAACCAACGGGACCGGTGATGACCCAACCAACGGGACCGGTGATGACTGAACCAACGGGACCGGTGATGACTGAACCAACGGGACCGGTGATGACTGAACCAACGGGACCGGTGATGACTGAACCAACGGGACCGGTGATGACTGAACCAACGGGACCGGTGATGACTGAACCAACGGGACCGGTGATGACCCAACCAACGGGACCGGTGATGACTGAACCAACGGGACCGGTGATGACCCAACCAACGGGACCGGTGATGACCCAACCAACGGGACCGGTGATGACCCAACCAACGGGACCGGTGATGACTGAACCAACGGGACCGGTGATGACCCAACCAACGGGACCGGTGATGACCCAACCAACGGGACCGGTGATGACC